TGCAAGTGTATTTCTGCTCCGGCCAATCACGTTTTGTGTTATACCTTAACTCTCTCGTAGCTCAGGGATAGGAGAATAAATCCTTACAGGTCGGCTTCCTCTTCCTGGAGGGTACCACGGGCGGAAAGGTAGTTACATCGTAATAGTTGTAGACCGAGATCAGGGTGCTTAGAATAGATCAGAAGTAAGGGGTGTGTCCCCGCAATAAGCTGCAATGCAAGCCAAAGGTGTGCGCCTTCACTTGTCATCGCTGCTCCCCGTTCTGCAATGATCGTCCTGTATCCATGCCTTGCAACCATCTTGTGCATATCTTGAAGGCCATATATATCGAAACCACAAGAGCATTACCGTGGATCGGATGGAGATTAGATAGTTGGACCAGCCTCAAAAGTCTGAGTAGCACTGAAGACTGGTAGGCTTCGATGTCATTTCACACCACCTCGGGACGTCTGTCCCGCTTCCTTTACTGAGTACGCATTCATTGCCTGATATCAATATGCCGTGCTAGACCAGCCTCGGTGCTCGTGATTCTCATCCATTGATGGAGCTTCTGTCCCTTCGTCTTGATGAAGCTTCTTCAAATGAACAACCCTCCATCTTTGGGTTTGGCTTATTCGTAATTACACCAGGTCTTACCCGTTCCGTGTAAGTTGCCGCCCAGCCCAGGCACCCAGCCGCGTTCTAGTTGCAAATTAATAGAGCATGATATCACGTTGTTTTCGCGCATCGCTCGCTGGCTGCCTGGCTTCGCGCGTCATTAGGCCCTGGGCCTTATTAGGTGATGTGGACTTGGATTGAGATGTTCTTTCCTCGACTAACGAAGGTAGATTCGGCCGACACATGTGAGGGGAGCTTGAAAGGAAGGAAGCTTGAATGGCGAGTTTGACATCCCAATCACATGCATACATGCATCAATTGATCTACTGGCAAGGGAAGTTTCAACCCAATGTTAACCCTGCTGTCTAAAACGGTTTAAAACTGAGGTGCATCCAAGTGCATCGTTAGTGAGGTGACTTTGCATTTGCATCTCCACGGCGTCGAGTTCCGAGGCGCTTCGATTGCGCCTCTTCTCTCCCCATTTCGTCCAAGTGGTGCAAGCCAGGTCCTTGATTGGACGATCCAAGTGTGAGTCAAGGTATGTCGAAGTTTCCCCCCCGAGCCCTATGAAGCACACTACATACTTCATATCAACCTACAATGAACACCAATTGAACCTCGTGTCGATCCGCATGAGTGATTGAGAAAAAAGGTGAATTCGAATTGTTAGTTATTATACCGCGGGAGGTCGGTGTTTTCTAGAAATCCGAGACAATGCTCCATTGCATGGACAGGAGGTGATCGACGGTGCGTGTTCACATCAGAGAAACCTGGAAGCAATGAGGTGTAAGCTTTCTCAAAAAGCAACACGCCCAGCACGGAATATGCGAACGGTTCCCCTGACGTCCTTCCGCGGTGGTGGGCCTACTCCGTACGTCGATTTACTGCTCATACTCGAGGGGACGCGTGTAGTGTTTAGCAATATTCGACCTATGAAATAATATGGCCACCCTACTAAGTATGTCCTGTATATCCTGTGCTTTCTGTACTTTCTGTACTTTGCAGTAAAGTTGGACTCGTCTCCGGCCTAGCTACTGAGACATGCATCAATCTTCCATCCCACCCAAGATAAATCAGTCCAATAGATGGCTTCAATTGATACATTGACGGCTGATGTACTGAGGTATTGGGGGTGGAACGTACGAGATTGTGTCGATGTACTGAGGAAGAGCACATCGTATCGACTACTTCATCCTTGTAGGTCAATGATAGAAATACGGTCCGGCGTTCTAAGCTGCAAGCAACGTTGGAGCTTCAATGGCACGGTAAATTAATCGACAGGATTGGATCAATGGTGACAAGATTGATCGACTGAGCCCCGTGGAATCCACCAAGCCACAGATCGAAACTCCAACTGGAGATCGTCTCCCTCCTTTACATGACCGCTCCACACACACTGCCGCCTGTTCATGGCGGTGCGAAGGTGTATGCGTATGTCTGGGCAATGGTCCGTAAGGCAAGCGGCACCGGCTCGATGATGACGTCCGATCAATTGACGAGTTCTCGATTTAGTTTATTCTACTTCTGGCCGAGGGAACATTAACACACCCTCAATTCATCCATCATCCTCCTCGGCCTGGCCAGGCCAATCGAAGCTCTTCTGCCAACTTCCAGATTGGCTCAGATACTTTGGATTGGTTTCAAGGTTCTCCACCCCGTCGCCGACCGCTGTGTTATAGTGTTATCCAACAGCTCAAAATGTTTGCTGTTATCATGCTCACCGCGAATTGTGTCATCGGGAGCGACCACGGACACCGTCGATCTCAACTCTGTGCCTGGTGCGGTGTAGGTCCTCAAGATTCTCGTGTTATCTTCTCAATGTATCACTCCGATGCGTCATTCAGTCCATCCAGTCCGGCACCAGTTGAACATCGAACCGTCAACTGAGTAAAGTATACGCTCCGATTTATTGATCAGTCTTAACCCAGTCTAGTTCCACCGGTGAAACTGGGAACCAGATAAATACTCAAAACCACTATTAGTAGAGACAACATTAAACCCGTCTGCATACAAGCAATACTTCGCACTCGGCGGTGATACCGCGTGCCCTCCATAATTGGGACATACAAGTAGATGATAAACGTGGTGGTTCAGTTTTAAACTTCTGTGCGGGCGCTTATTTCCACTTTTGACGACGCCCTTTTTCTTCTTGGCCCTTGTCTTCCTCGCCTGCAAGTCCACGGACCGGACACGGCAGGAAATGTCCCGGCATCGCGCAAGGGCTCGGAGAAGCAGCATGGACGGACGGACGTGCGCAACAGGGAAGGATATCCAGGTTTTTTTCGTGCCCGGACTCACGGCACCCTGCTGGTCCTGCCGTTGCACCCCAGTACAATTGATAACCCACCAGGACACCCCTCACGCAGTAACACCCCCATTGATATCGCCGAAGTCGTATCTCCATTCACCGGTGCAACAATCATTGACTCCACGGCGCGTCCATACTCTATCATCGATAGTCGATGGGGTGCAAGATAGCAGTACACTAAGCATGGGCCCATGAATTAGCAGCACGAGTTTCAAGCTAATCACCTGCAGCGAAACTACTGCAATGTTCCGTTTCCTATCTAAGATAACGATATTCCGTTGGTGTTCTCCTCTCCCAGACCAACTCTAACAGGAAACTGGGCTAAGCCTCTATTCATTGTTACCTGCCTTCCACACTGCGCCAATCCCTATCCCATCGATTCTCTCATGGTTATGCTGTACGCCCCTTTGAAAGGCTTATCTCTAGTGTACCCTCCGCCTCCACTGTTGGAGAAACCTTGCCTCGTACGCTGCAAGTCTACAGATCCCGCATTCTTATCAACCCCCGGTTTCCCGTCTCCTTTTTTGTTGTGAATCTTGACGCCACACAGCTAAGCTTCTCCTCCCTTCCCCGCCCTGTCCTTCCTACCCAACCCGTCTCGTCGAAGTCTATAGCAAGTTAGTGGCTTACGAATAAGAACCGGGGCCAGGAGGTTTAGACAAGAATGGCGGCCCGGGCGCGTGTGAGGCGTTCACCCGGTGCGATATAGGCTTTGGCGGCAAAGCAAACAACGGGTCGCCCTGGAGAAATATCCGTTGTGGCGTCCTCTAGATCCCCCTCTTCAGTTGGTCGGGCCGGGAGGACCTTTCGCTCCGGAATACACATAAATCCCGAGCTTTGGTGCCCCCCGATGCTCGTATCCGAGGCAGCTTCGGTAAGGGCCCTCTGGCAACGGACTGCTGATCTGAGGACTCGTCATCCATTCTCCCCTTTGTCCCTCAAGATCAACATTCAGTTCCATGTGGCCGGCGTTACTACTCCACCGGAAAGACTGCTAGTTGTTCCAGTTCGTGCTTCTTTTTTACCCTTGATTCATCTGTATTTGGCTTCAACCCACCCCTCAGACGACGAATCTTTAGTTAGAAATGAAAACGTAAGATTTTTTTCTTTCTTCTCGTTACACCATCTCCGTGGAGACTGTCACGGTTCCCCCTCATTCGGCGGAGTTAGAGGAGAGGAGTAAAACGACACGAACCTTATTTCTCGACAGTTTGTCGACACCCGGGGTGGTTGTACGGAAAAAGAAAAAGAAAGTTGGGCTACTCGTCTTGGCTTTTTTGCCTGATGCGGCCCGCTCCTGGAAATGGCATAGGAAGCAGGAGAAAGACCGGCCCTTTTTTGTTTTTATCTCTCTTTTGGTCTCTCAGGAGACACGGTTAGGATTCTACGTAGGCAGAATGGGATGAGCTTAAAACAAGGCATTCATCGTACAAGATATGGGAGCGTGAGCTTGAGGATGACGAGATAAGAAGATGACGAGTCCAGCTCTCAATCATGATGCGTCTTCACGTGGGATCTGGAATAGGATAAATCTGGAATGAAAAGGAATGAATCCTGAGATCGAGATCAGAGGATGTGCTGAACGAATGATCCGTAAACCCGCCATCAGAGATGATATTCTTGGTTGAAGCAAACATGACTTCACCCCTCCTCCCAAAAGGATACCCGTAGACAACACTTCCAACAATTGGGAGCTGTTCCCCCCTCACCTCCAATCTCGCCATTACAAGAGGCTAGTCAAACGTCAATCTGGCGTCTGCCTCTCTCCTCCTGCTTCACATCAACGTAATCCCACAAAATAGAAACAAGAGCGAGCACTCCAATGCGGAAAAAGGCTCACTTCTACCCCGTTTTGCCTTTCGACCGTTGCCCTGGGGAAAATAGAAATTACGTTTAGGGTGGCAAATGACCTTGCCCCTTTGAACCCCTGGTGTCAACTCCCACCAAGATTTACTTAGTTCTGAGGATGGAACAAAAATGAGCTGGTACTGTATGGCTTTTTCAAATACAGAGTTCATAAAACGTACGTTCTATTTGTTTTTCTTCTTATATATCATTTTTTTTTTTTTTTCGTTCTCTCTATCTCGGTGATCTCTCAATCCCGAGGTGCGAATGCTACTTCGGCAGGTATCCTGAAGCTCGCGCAGAACATGCGTTTGTTCGGAGCCACATCGCGGACGTCATACACCGATACTTGGCCTGAGTCTAGGTCATCGCCGGCTGGTAGCCTGACTCCAATCTCATCGTATATGCGCTTATTGATGTCCTCAAACACCTCCTCGTCTGATAGCTTAGGAGCGAAACAGTGAACGTGAACAACGGGAAGCTTCGTCTCCGTGTGAGGTGCAAAGAGCTCCTCCTTACCGGCGTACAAGCCACGGTAGCAATGTAAGAAGGTAGTAGCCGACCCGGGAAGGTTCATGACGAAGTGAGATATAGTCGGCGGAACGGCTACGCGCTTGGGCTTCGGAGCAGGAGTCGGATGACTGCGGGAGAACTTGTGACGGGGGCGGACAAGGGCGTGGTCACCGCTCTTCGAGGCTTCGTAGACAAGGTCCGCAGCGCGGCGGATGAAGTTGTGCCCGTCCTCGTTGAAGGTGCGCACGAACTGATCCGCCTTGTTCCGCTTGACCGCGTCATTCAGATACCTGTAGCTCTCCGGGTTCATGTCGTTTGCCCATACGAAGACGCCCTTCTTTCCCGCGGGCACTGCAAAAGGTCCGATACCCGCCATAACGTCACACACCACCTCTCCGGGCTGGAACTTGTTGATGAGCCTCGTGTGTTCGTGCTCGAGCTTGGAGTTCCAGTAGACTTTTGCGTAGTCGAACTTGAAGATGCAGTCGTTCTCCTTGACCTCGACGTTGAGGTCGTCGGGCCCCGCGAGGACTTCGTAGCTGAAAGTTCGGAACTGGGATTCCTGGCCGACGTTGTCGACCTTGTTGATGACGGTGCGGAAGCGCGGCGTCTTGTCTAAGATGACGTCCGCGACGACTTTCTTGTAGGGGAGATATTGATCTCTGAGATTCAGATGAACTGTAATTGGGGAGGGAAAATATACAATAAGTGCTGCCGCCCTGGTGAGAGTTTGGTTCGAGATGCCATCGACTCACCTACGTGCCCAACCGAATTGAAGCCAGATGGAACCTCATTTTGAAGTTCTTCTGGGAGAATAGATTCGATCACCTCGTCTAAGTCCTCTTTGTAAGTAACTACCACTGGGTTACAAAAAGAGACACGACATCGGTGTCACTTACGATAAGTCCACTTGTCGTACCCAAGAGTGAGCTCATAGGGTATCACGTCCACCTCATCGGCTTTGTAACCACATCGAAGGGTCTCACCCCATGTGCGCGTTACTGGAAAAAAAAAACCCCCAGATGTTAGAATCCACTCCGTCAATGAAAACGCATAACCGCAGAACGTGACAGCCATTTCATGACAAAATAATCCCCAAGTACGCACATTCATACTTGACCTCAGGGTCAAGAAGTAACAGTTTCCTTCCCTTCTTCGCAAGCTCCTCCTCAGGGTGCGGTACCATGGCGCTGAAATTTGGGCGAGAAAACAGCTTGCCCTCATCGACGAGCGACTTCCGGTACCGGGAGATGTTGCGCGGATCCCTCACCGCGGCGGCCGCGAGCTGAAAGGTCTTGGAGAACAGGCTCCGGTCCAGAGCGGTCATGGCCCGGGCCAGCGGTGCCCGGAGTTGCATCATGTCGGCATTCTAGCGAGAAGGTTAACGCGACCAATCTCGCAAATGGGGCTAAAAAGAGATTTGCTAGGGAAGGGAGGGGGTTAAAATTTGCGATACCTCCATTGCGAACAGGGATGTGAAATTGGGAGGGGATGTGAATGTCGAGTCATTGTGAGTGGAGATCGCAAGGCTGGAAAATTTAAGGTCTTGCGACGTGGTTTTGGCGAATCAGATCCTGAGGATACTGTAAGGCTGCATGGATGCGCTCCCCCAAGATGTTTAGTGACGTCAAGAGGCCACGTTACAGCGATAGGGCTCTTGTTTTCCCATAGTTTTCATATTTTCTTTTTCTCTTGAGAACGCATTTTACGGGTATGACCTGTGTCGGCTCCATATCTCGCACTACATTTGCGTGGAGACCGTTTCCCCGAACATCAGGGTGGTCATGGCAGATTGAGATGTCTATTTCCAGCTATCAATATGAATCACATCTCGTTAGCTATACTACAAAAATGAACTGGGCCTCGGTTGGCTGGTGAAGCGCATGTGCGCATGAATGCAATATCCATTAGTGGTATGCCTCTAGTTTGTCTTCGACGTCTCTCATCTTCGATTAGGTGGCGTTCCAGCCGTCAACGTTTCTCTACTCTCGAAAAGCTCAAAAAAAGATCCGTCCCACTGATTATTTCCCACGACGCATCTGGGCACCGGCATATCTCCTCAGACCCCGGATAAAGACCTGGTACTCGACGCCTTGGTTGTCCGGGAGGTGGAAGATTTCGGTAAGGCGGATCTGCCAAGGTGGGTAGCCATACAGCTCTACGTGAGGCGAGAAGAGGAGAAGCAGGTCAGGCTCGGCCATGATGCCCTCCGAAAGCTCGGCATCGATGAGGTCGATCTGGATATCGGACGGGTTGAGCTTGCCCTTCTGGGACATCTCCGCCAGGGTCTTGGTGAGGTCGACCATAGCTTCCCTACCGTCCTTGTAGGAGATGAACATGACATTGAGATGCTTCAGCTTCGAGTCTTGGAAGTGGCCGGTGGCTGCCGAATCGACGGGTTCGGTGTGGGGGGCCGCGACGGTAAGCCCGGGGTAATGCTCTCCGAAATACGAGGCGAATCTTTGTAGAATGGCTTGGTGGATCTGTGGAAGATACCTCTTCAGAATTCCTGCAAGGGGGCAAACGTCCTGTTAGCCTGACATGCGCAAGCAGCGCAAAGGGGACGGGGAACACACCAGATCGCTCATAGATAGACAGAACTGGGATCCCAGCACAAGCAGACCAGACAGCTAGATCTGCGGCCTCGCCGATAAGCCTCTCTAGCTCGGCCGCTCGACCATCTTCATGCATATTCAAAATTGCGCTGAGGTGTTGGGGTTTCCGGGCTAGGCCGCGGACGTCGTTCTCGATGAGCTCGGGGGTGCGATGGTGGTAGGAAATGATGGATGATATCCTATAGCAGACTTTGTTCCAGGTCTGACGGATCTTTACGTATAGGGAGAATATCGAGTGGAGGAGGGCGAAGATGAGGAGGTGTAACTGGTTCTTGAGGAATCGGCGGACGCCGAGCCGGAATTTCCTTTGAGACTGCGTCTTGTCCCACGATTTTTGGGACTTCGGCTTGGCCTTCGCTATCGGAGGGGGAGCGGGCATATAGTTCTATTCGACATATTAGAGGACTCGGGGTTTCAGTCGCATATATAAGTTAAGAAACGTACTTCGAGGAGGCGCTTTCGTTCGTCATCTTTGAGGAGTCGGTGGTTCTCTTTTTCATCCGCTCTATAGATGCGGCGATCGCGTAAACTTAAGGCCATCGCTAAATATACTCGATAAATAAGTTCGCAGAAAATGGGGAGAACGTATTCGCGACTCGTTATATAGTGGGCGGGTGTTGTTAGGTGTTGTCGGTGAAACTCGTACTTGCTGGTCCCGTGGCGCAAATGATGGAGGTTCGTAGATTATAACGCGGAGCTCCGTTTGAAGGGGTGAGGTGCGGTGTAGAGATATTAGGGAAGGGGAAATATCGAGTTGGAGAGATCGTGAGGTCTGAAATGTCTCCAAGTATGGCTTATGGCTCCTCAAGATTCCCACGTAATGACGGTGGCGCAGTGGGAGAGCATGGTCGCTGGCGCTGTCCACATCGTCTCACCTCGTATTTTTTGGGAGATTTGGTGGTGCAGAGAGAAATCGAGCTTCAGAAGCAACGTCGGCCTGTTCGTACGTTTGACACGAGAAAACACGTGACACCACCTGTAAGGTTTGAATACAACAGCCCAGTTAATTTCAACCTACTCCGTACACTGTTCCTTTATAGGGATGGCTGTTTGTATTATAATTGGTTTATTCAAAGTCGATATTGTTCTTGGGTATTACGGTCGAGTAGGAGACTCGGGGAAGGTGCATGAAATCTGTCGTGGTCATTGGTGCTGGTTGTGTTCCTTCCACATCATTCCTCAGCCTACGAGTGTCACTGAATGCTCTGTGAGTGGCGCAGGATGCTCTGTGCTCCAGTTGCACCTTGCCTGCTGTGGGTTCGAAGCAGAGGCACAGGGCGGCTTCAAGCCTAATGCTCGCCTCCGAGGGGCTGTGGAACGTGGGTGCGTCTATGCCGTGTACCCTCCTCTGTACCTGTGTAGTCTATGTGCCTATTACATCTCAGGTCGTGGTCACGCTGCTGCGGGTTCTCCAAGTCTGACGGGCCAGGGAACTACATTCCCCGCCGCCTCTCGAAAGCAAAGATTCACCGCCTCAAGCACATCTCTCGAGACACAGAAAGATGTCGTCGTCACAGCAGACACCACAAAATCTCTTCATCCAGATGTCTAGTACACCGGGGTCCGGGAAGAGTACGATAGCAAGGCTACTCAGAAGCTGCATTAGTGCTGTAGTCATCGACATGATGTCCTCAGATCCTCTCTTCTTGAAGGCAGTATTCCATTCGACCAGGCGGCAAAACATGCGTATCAGCTTCAATGGGCCGTAGCCCACGACGTCATGAAGCAAGGTCTGAGCGTCATTATTGACAGCACTTGCAACTTCCAGGAGGTTCTTGACCCGGGAACTGCACTTGCCAAACAACATAGCTACACCTACTGGTATGTCGAGTGCAAGGTTCAAGACATCGATTTGTTGGATCAAAGGCTGCGCACTAGAGATCCGATGACGAGTCAGTGAACTGGTGTCGACTGTCCTCCAGCTGCTGCATATGGCGCTCGTCTAAGCAAAGACTCTGACTCTCATGCCCTCTTCAAGAAGTGGATTGAGCACCCTTTCCGGCCGAAAGACAATGCCATCATGGTGAACTCCACTGATGATCCGGAGATGCTCCGAGACTATATCGTGAAGCAGATTGTCGATTAGCTCAGGCGGCCTTTGCCAGGAGCTCTTCGCTCACCCGAGTTAGCCCAGTAGATAGCATGGCCTACACGCCCTGATGAGTTGCCGCTGCCGATTTAATGCATATCTAAGAACAAACTCTTCATTCCGTGCCCGAGAAAGCCTCGAGTTATCAATAAGACACAAGACATGACATTCTGGTCCAGTCCAAGTCGTCTGTGGAGAGATTGTGGACGAATCGTTAGTCTCATGTTGCGAAGACCTGGATATGAAAAAGGTCTTCCGCCGAGTCCTCAAGAAAAGGAGGGGTAGATGAACAGGCTAAGGAGGAGTTTAAAGGAATAAAACATGACTGATGATAATAATAATATAAACAAGAATATCTACATAACGAAGATTAAGTTACAAAAGCGCAAAATAGTGATCTAGTTGCCTTTCGATGAAGAATAATGACCCTCTCCTTACAAGCGTCCCAAGCAGACGTAATAGTCCAACCACAGCCCGGCACAGTCCGGCGCGGCCTGCGGATTCCAAGCATAAAAGTCGGCCAAGCTAATTCCCGCCGAGTTCGCGAGGTCCCAACACCCATCGCCGGAAACAACCTTGTGGAACACGTTGCAGTTGTCAACCATGCCGGGCAGCGTCGGCGTCGGAGTCGAAATCCCGTTGCCCGGGGACGTGGGCGTGGGCGTGGGTGTGGTTGGCGTGGTGCCCGTGACGCCGACGCAGACATATACCTCAGCCCAGAGCCCTCCGCACGTCGAGCCCACGGCCGGGTTCCAGGTGTAGAAGTCCGCAAGGGAGATGCCGTTGATTGAGGCAACCTCTGCGCACCCCTGCCCAGATGTCACAAAATAGAAGGCGTTGCAGTTATCGACCATGCCCGGCTGGATGGGGGTTGGCGTGGTGACGGCAGGCGCTGTGCTCGATGTTGAAGAGCTAGTCTCGGTGGCCGTGGGGTCGAGGGTAATCGTAGTGCTCAGCTCCGTTGACTCCGTGGAATTCCATCTGTACGTAGGGCCGACGCAGAGCGCAGTGCCCACCTGTAAAGTCTCGGTGCAGTCCTCAGGGTCGAGGGAGGGGTTGACCATGCGGAATAGGGCGGCAGTAATTCCCTCCTCTAGGCAGATGCTAGGGCACGAGTCCTCGCCTCCGACGACGTGCCACTTTCCGCAGTTGAGGGTTGTGCCGTCCGCCACGACCGCACCGTCCGGAGGCGGCGTAACGTCGTCTGAGTATCCATCGTTGGGCTGAGGCCCGGTTGGGGTCTCTGGCGAGGTGCCGGTCCACTCTCCGCCGGCTGGCCCGAGGCAGATGACTTTGCCATAAAATTCCGTGGCTTGTTGCAGATTCGTGCATGCGGCGTCGATCCATGAGTTGTACTTCATCAGCGAACCGAGTCCGATACCCTTTGCCAACTCGATAGTGACACAAGTATCGGAAGGCTGCACGTAGTATGTCTGGCAGGTCAACGGAATGCAGACCTCGACCCCAGCGTCGATATCTAAACAGTTTTTGATGAGGTCTTGATTTCCCATGTACAGCGATGCGCCGGACACGTTGGTGGCATTGGCGATCGATTCGCATGTATTTCCGGCCTGGGTAGTATACCATTGCCCGGTCAAGCAATACGGCTCGGGCTCGGGCTGAGGAGGTAGCAGCGGAGGAGGAATCTCCGTAGGTCCAGTTACACTACAGTGTTCATAGACATGTTCGAGCTGCTCCTTCCAGAAACCGTCGTAGGTAGAGTACTGGGAGGACTGCATCATCGCAAGGCGATTGATATGGCAAGGGTGACAAAGTTCTGTTTGTGGCATCTCAGTAATATCAGACACAAGGCTAAATTCGTCAATGATGTCTGCAGAGGCGGAGCCGAGTAGTTAGTCTATAGGGCAGCTTTCGTTTACATTTCCCTTCTCTTCACAGCCCTCTTAGATGCACATACCATTGCAATAGTCGCCAGTCACCGGGTCCTTCAGGCAGGTCTCGTTGAACCCAGCCCAGATATACCCTCCGAATTTGGTAGGGAGGGCATTATTCAGAAGCTTTCCCTCGCAATTTACCGCGACGGAATCGAACCAGCTCTTCAGGGAAGCCGAGCAGCCGGTGGCGCAGATGAGGTCCGTCAAGGTGTCATTGTTCAGCGAGCCTCGATAGGTGGGCTGTGTGAACAACTTCACGTAGTCGAGACACTTTATGCTAGACGATAGGGCGCTGATGCAGCCTTCGCCCAAAGTAACGTCCAGGAAAGTCGAATTGTAGAGAGTGAACGCTCCCTCGACTGGCGAGATGCCAGAGAGGATAGCACCAAGGGCAAGGTAGAGGATCCGCGCCATGGCGATGATGTCGAGCAGGCCCGGTGATCGTGAAAGAAAAGAGAGACACGAGTGGCCAGGGACGGACTTGCTATCCACCCCGCGAGGGCAGACATCTTTCCCTTTTCTTTCTCCCTGATCCGCTTTGCCCGGCAGACATGCCCGAACGGAGATTGCTTCAACCTAGAGGCCGAGGAACTCTGATTCTTTTACCTAACTCCAATATCCCAAGTCTCCCGACAGAAGACGCCAAGTCCGACACGGTCATTCCGGGGATGTAGGTTAGATTGGAAGTGGTGGGAGTTTCCCTGGTTCTTCCGCGCTGGTTGGCCGGAATGCGAGGAAAAGAGGGTCATTAGAAAAACACCCCACGACGAAATTTTAGCAACACTGTAACCTTGCGTTGGTGATATCATGGGTGATTCTCTGCAGGAGAAGCACTTGGCAGCCGTGCACAAACTCTCCTCGACAGATATCCCTTTTTGGGCACAAAACCCTCGATTTCAGCTCATACTTCAAAATGATCCGTTCTAGATCATCGTTATCCATCAGTTTGCAGCCAGAAATTCAACCAGTTCTCTTGCTTCACCAAGACCCGATTTTCCGTTCTTGATGTCGGTTTTCCCACATTACATGGGGTCAGGGATTCTGTGCTACGTACTCGAATCACCATGGCGCAACTGGTTCCCTGCTGCACATCTCGAAATATCTTCACAACCCCACAAGTTGTCATGGGGTCTAAGCGAGATGGGAGGGGCCCGCGATATGGCACCCTGGGAGATTGAGGCCTCAAGAACCAACACCCCCACTCCAACGAACTCGGCGAGGTTAGGAAGCCGAGGACTACCGCTGGTGAGGAGGGTGGCCGATGGGAGAGCTGCCATCATATGAAGGCTCTGGTGCGCACCCCGGTGCTGCATCTGCTGTGAGCCCGTCAACTTTCCGACCTCTTGTCTCTCCTTTTTCTCAGAGCTCTCCGGACTTGGCTATATGCTCAACGCAACCGTAGCCATGATGTTGAGTCGAACCTTTTGGTCTCTTGCCTTGTTAATTACCTCCGTTGTAGCTCAAACATGCAGCAGCACGAATCCTTGCGAGATAGGTTGTTGTAACGAATGGGGAAACTGCGGTTTCGGCCCCGATTGTGAGTTCAATGTCCTATCCAAAACACCACTGGCAGTCCGGTATGGTTCTAGTCCAAGGCTAACCAGGGCTCTTTACGGGGAACTAGTCTGTGGTTCGGGAACTTGTGTCTCCAACTGTGATAGGAAGTCGGAGTGCAACCCCGGCTACGGTGCGCAGTGGGCTGAGAAGGACAAATGCCCCCTCAATGTCTGCTGTTCTAAGCACGGCTTTTGCGGTGTAAGTTACAATGGATGATGTCTATTGTGCAAGCGCCAAACCCCATCTTCATGCCACGCCACTACTTTGGAAAACCTGGTTTGAGTACTCATGTCTTCCCTCTCTCTTTTAGACTACCAAAGACTTCTGTGGCGACAAGCCGGTCAAACGCCCAACATGTCCCAAAGACAACGGTGTTTCCCGCGTCATCGGGTACTATGAAGGCTGGGTCGGCAATAGGCCATGCAATGTCTTCTGGCCCGAGCAGATACCAGATGGTGTTTACACGCACATCAACTTTGCCTTTGCTACTATTGATCCCCAGACCTTCAAAATTGGCCCGGCGGCTAGCACCGACGTTAACCTGTACAAGCGTCTAATGCTCCTCAAGAAGCGAGATCCAGCCCTCAAGATCTTTGTGGCCGTCGGAGGCTGGACGTTCAACGATCCGGGTCCTACGCAATCCACCTTCTCTGATCTTGCTGCGTCAGAGACCGCCCAGTTCAATTTTATGGTGTCGTTGATCTCTTTCATGAATACCTACGGCTTTGACGGAATAGATTTGGATTGGGAATACCCCGTTGCTGATGATAGATCTGGCCGGCCGGAAGACTTTGAGAATTTCCCCAAGTTCATGGGGCGTCTAAAGACTGCGCTGGGTCTTTTCGGCAAGGAACTCTCCATTACTATTCCCGCCTCGTATTGGTATCTGCAGCATTTCGATCTAAAAGCGCTAGTGAGTCGACTTTACTTACAAACGCTTCAGCTTGTCTCCTCCTAACGATTGATTGTAACTTCGCAGTCCAAATCTGTCGACTGGTTCAATGTCATGTAAGTGCTGTCCGAGAGCCCTCACTCCGCCACGGATACTTGAACGGGGAACTAATGCGATGGGCTCGACCCTCTCCGCAGGTCTTACGATCTACATGGAACCTGGGACAAAGGAAATAAATGGACTGGCGCATATCTGAATGCGCATACGAACTTGACTGAGATTGAACTTGCTCTCGATCTTATCTGGAGGAATGACATCGACTCTAACCAGGTCGTCATGGGGCTAGGCTTCTATGGCCGCGCCTTTACGGTAACAAACCCGTCATGTACCGCGCCTGGCTGCACTTATGAATCCGGTGCCGAAATGGGAGAATGCAGCAGAGAGATTGGTATCTTGCTAAACTCGGAAATTGATGACCTCGTTCAGAAGCATGGTGTTACTCCCGTGCTATATGAGAAAGAGGCTGTCAAGGTGGCCGCATGGGGCGACCAATGGGTAGCCTACGACGACAAGGACACCCTCAAATTGAAGTCTGAATATGCCCAGAGCCGCTGCCTCGGTGGTGTAATGGTTTGGGCTATAAGCCACGACACTGAAGACGCTAAGTATAACAGGGCGCTGGCGGAGGTTGCAAAGCGCGACATCGTCGACGTGCCGATCAAGAATAGTGATTGGACACAAAGTATTCCCATTGCCCAGTGCTCATGGACAGGCTGCGGCGAAAGTGAGTGGCGATGATTGTTGTTTCCAATGTATACAAGCCCAAAAGACTGACGCGAATCCCACGATAGCTTGCCCCTTTGGCTATGTACATATGACCCGCGAAGACCCGGGGAAGCGAGGCAAAGAATACATGCTGGATGAGACTGGCTGCGGCGGGAGCGGCACCCACGCCTTCTGCTGTCCTGCTAGCCAGGTGCTGCCAACGTGCGGGTGGTATACCCATAACAATGGGAAGTGCGACAACAGCTGCCCTTCGGGGACGGTTGAGATTGGCTCCAACGACATGTACTGCAAGAAGAATTACCAGGCCGCGTGCTGCACGACCAACACCCCAAGCATGAAGCTCTACACCAAGTGTGAATGGGGGTCGTGGCCTGTCTGCGACACCCAAACCAGCTGCCCGTCGTCCAAGCCCGATCTTCTGGCTTCTTCCGCGACCGGCACAGGGGGGGCTACATGTGCCATGCGGGTTTACCCCTATCCTCTCATTTACGCGCCGGGACAGGGCGTCATAATCTTCCAGGAACGCAAATTCTGCTGTGATGCGTCTGATGAAAACGAGACGTTTGGCGACTGCAAATGGTATACCAGCGAGGGTAGTGCTCCGGATGGCGCGGTCGACGGCTGGTGCCGCAGCGCTTGTCCCTTGGGCCGTGTCCGAGTGGCCCTCGATGCGAAATCTCAGGACTGCCTGGCCACAGGAGGTGCCAGGGCCAGGTGCTGTCAGCCAAAGTACGGCGAAGAGATCGACTACGAACCTCCGGAGCTGGACTATTACAGGACGGCTTTGGAAGCCTACCTGCGAAACCCTACCTGCGAGGACCCTTCAGGGCCCTTGAAGTCTAGAGAAGCCCCGGAAGAAGACTTGGCCGGCTTGCTAGAGGCCTCTTCTCTCGCCAAGAGAGCTGAACTACCGGCTGTGGTAGAGACACGAGAGCTCATCTTGGGGCTTCTTTACTTTACGCACAAGGCAAATCTACGGGAAGCTCTGACCGATCTGTGGAATAGCGAGATGACGAACCTTTTCCCTCAAATGCGTCTGCCCTCCTTCCGCGACTTTGTAACAGGGGAGCCCGATGTCAAGCTCGACGGGCCGATCAAAGCGGTCAGGGACATTACGTGCAGTCCCTATACGTGGAATGACCGCGCAAAAGGTTCAGGGTCGAGGCTATTCGATTGCACAGATCCCGACTGCAATCCCGATACCGGTTGTGAGGAAGGCGAAGCTTCTGTTGCACGCCGGGGCCTTTTATCCTTGCCAAATCAGACAGCAGTCGACTTCACGTTGCAGAAGAGAGATGGCCCTCCGAGGACATTTAAACTCACCATCAACTTCCTAGATGGTACTACGCTAGATAATCCAGTTACCCTCCCTGGTGTATGTATATCCCGCTGGATCTATTAAGATCCGATGCCCACCCTCTGGACTGGCCCGAGTTTTCCTCAACCTCTGCTAACTATCTCGATGCGTATCAAAGCACCCGCAAGCTGGCGATACAGCAGGACACGCTATGCGATCCGAGATGGTAACGTTCGTCAATAGGGCCGACTGCGCCAATTCCCAGCTCACTCACATCTCGTGGGCGGTTGCTCAACCGGGCTTTTGGAATGGTATGCAATCTCCCAGATAGATCGCTCTCTTCGTCTCCTTCTGAGAGGGAGTAAAGGAGTTTAGTGTCCCAATGCTAATGGCACTCCGTTTTAGTTGAGCATGTGTTCGATGGTAACGTCATGACCATGTTCATCCAAGACGCTGCGCAAGGAAGGTAATCTACTCCATCGCCCATCCACCCTCTGATCTAGATTTTAAATGGCTTCCATCAAATCATTCCGCTACATTTAGCCTCATTGATTCATTGTGCTGGTGCTCACTCTCATCTATAACAGGCTTCCCAGCGGGGCGGTCTCTCAAGTAGGTGCCATCCCCAGAGACTTCTTCATACAGGCGCCGACAATGCCGCTTCCAAACCCACCACCTCTTCGCGGCGGCGCCAATCCCAGCGGCCTATGGGAGAGAGTCATGGAGTGCCTGGGAAGTAGCCGTAACACGGCCAACTTGATGCTCGTGCACAGGGAAATCAACGGACACAAAACTCCGGTAAGCCTTGTTCTCCCACCTAAGTCCTTCCGCTCCTGCTATGCCACCCTGGTCGTCCTCAGCCTTGCACGGTCATCACGTGGAGGAATTTGAATCTTTTTTTTTTTTCCCTTCTTTTGGCCGGAGGAGCCCACCGAAACTAACGGGTTACGACAGTTGATGAGGGGCTTGGACGCCATCGCCGACTCGGTAGCAAATCACAGGAGGGTCGAAACGGCACCTGTCTCCTTGATATCGCGAATGCGAACGGTGATTGCAGTGATCCACTATTTGAACCACTCCGGGACACCAAATGCCAATCAGCGCCTCACTAACGTTGTCAACGACGTGTATGACCAATTCCAATATGCTCAGACCCAATATAACCTGGCCAACCCCGGGTCACCTGCCCGGATAGCTGATTTTTGGCGTGAATGGACAAGAGACTACTTCGGAACCTTCCTCATCAACAGGGCAAGATATATATGCAATCTTTTCATTCCAGAGATGAGGAGGATGTGGGCGTTCAGGACTGGAGATACGGCTAATGTAGTGGTTGAAGGCACCGCGAGGTTGATGGCTGAGTTGGAGGACCTGTTTATAGACATCTCCGGGTTCCCCTGATGCTCCGACCTCGAGGATGGATCCCACATTGGATGTGGGATTAAGGCGAGATTTTCAGCTTCTGATTCTTCTCCTATCATTTTTATGATATATCTCTTGAGCATGATTTTGTTTTTCTCTAGCTACTCTCTTCAAAGGAGCCAAGATATTGCCTACAGCATCCACTCCAAATTTACATTAACGTAATGCAATGGATGTATAATGGATACTCCAGCGGTTCAGTCTCAATACTTGATTTATTCATTATGCCGAGAGCTCTACCAGTCACCATTCCAAATCCTCACAGGCTCCTCAATAAAAGGCGGCGAAAAGTCTCCCAAGTTCCGAATCGATAAGCGGTCCCAGAGTACGAGGAGGCTCTGCACAGTCATCTTGATATATCCGTAATAAAACAATTGCTCAGTTGGTACCCCCTCTTCATCCTTGATAGTATAATCCTCTGCCTTATACTCTCCCTGAACACACTTCATCCAAAATTCACCCTTGGCAACAGCATCCAGAACCTCGGTATCAGCAAGGAGGAATAGATGATACTGCGGGATTTCGTGAGTCATAGGCGGGCCTCCGATACCCTTCTGGTAAATCTCGCGGACCTGCGCCATGGTGGCACCCTCCAGGAGATCAGGGTCACTCCGCGGATCCAATTTAAAGAGGGACATGAACTTATCAGCTGCCTCCGGGTTGGCAGGTTTGGTGCTCCAATAGTCATCGTGATGTTCTTTATAGTAGGCGCCCTCCTCAGCCAGGTCGTCTTGTATCTTTCTCAGGAGTGTCTGCCAGGCTTGATCGGTGGTGCCACCATATGCCGTACGGTATATAGTGAATCCCCAGTTGACGTAAGAGGCGTCGTCCCGAGTACCGCCTTCAGGAATCGTCCGCAGAGGTGGGAGGTAGCTTTCAAAGTCGACACCATGCTCATGCAGAGACAAAACTTCCTAGAGTTAAGTGTTAGTTTCTTTTGTTTATAAGGAGAGCTAAAGCCATACAAAGCCATCCTCATCCAAAAGAATGGGTTCTTCTTCATATTGCTCAGGCTGTTGCTCAGGCTCCATGCTTGGTAAATTTAGTCCCAATGTGGCTGGACTGGCGGGACGGGTTATTTTGAGCTAAGGTCCAGGTTGTGCAAGGAAAGTAGCGTCTGTATTTTTGGGACTCAATTATCTCAGGACAAAGGTAGAACATAGTTACTTTTATAGTAAACTTACACAGAAACTTGGCGGAAAAGTACGTATCTTCTCAAAGAGGAATAAAACGAAACCCTCATATTACAACTCCTCGACTCTCCTGTCAGCATCTCGGGTTTCCACAAGCAAACAGCAAGTCCCCAGGACAGTAAAGTTTTTTTCTCTCCTAGGAAATTTCTTCTAGAATTAACGATCGAACAATTATTCCTCATCTCCTTTATTACAAGTCTTCTCTCATAATACTCTCTCTTTTATAAAGAGGTGAAATAAACATTATTTTTAATTTTAGGAAGAAATTTAGAATAGGGAAATCCTTGGTATGTTGCCATTTACCGTTTGAAGTTTACTGGCCAAGCCCAGTTGGCAACAGGCGAGCCGGGCTGCTCAGAGTGTACAAAGTCCAAAGGTAATAGTTGAAAGTCGAGGTACCTGTGTACAATATTTGGAGTAATCAGAAAACGGCATGCCTGACACACCACCTAAATTCCGTTTCACCCCTCCAGCTTTAATCGACACCTCGACCAAGACAGGAATCAACATATCGAATACTGAGATCACCCCGAATCGCGCATTCATTACGAGGCAGGCTATCGCCAACGGGAAGGAGCTATCTCTCGACATACCATCCTTCATCCATCCCGCCATGTTACAGCCCGCGTCCTGACCAACATTCGACGGCAAATGGAGCGGACAGGGTCCCAGGCCAAGTCCCTCTTCCCCAGAGGGCCCAGTTTCACCTTGGACGACTTCTCTAACAAGGACTTCACCGTCAGAGACTTCATCGACAATCTCGCGAATACAGCTGTCCCCGCCAACCGGAGGTCAGGCCCGGCGCAAGTCCAATTCGACCCCAAACCCCTAATCCGAACCTTCGAGAGTACGTCTATTGTCTTCCCACCTACACGCCGTATCCTCCTCCGCTGCCCCGGTTTGGCGCATGGCTAACTTTTAATTTCTCTTGAAAATGTAGATGCCTTAGCCCAACTCGGAGAACTCTCCGAAGACCTCCAAGAGAGGGAATCGGAACTCACGTCGCAAGTCCGCCGCGCCGAAATCTCCCACAACCAGACCCTCGACACCCTCGGCCGAAAACTTGATCAGTCCATCGAAGCCTTCGAAACCCTCAACATCTCCCTCAATAGCTCCGGAGAAGGCGACGCCGACGCTTCAGAAAATGGCTCCAAAGCTGGCGCCGGCGGAAACGCCGCCGTCCAGATCGGTGAGAGGCTCGAGGAGCTCGACCGGAAACGACGCCGGGCGCGAGATGCCAACTTTCTGATCCGCTGTTGGCTTGAACTCAGCGAGACGGGACAGCTCACGTCGCTCGAAGATATCCAGAAACAGGGCGGTGCTGAGAGCAAGGTACGATGCGCGGTGATTGCGCGCCAGTTGATGCGCATAAGTCAGCGCCTTGACACGGCGTCGTGGGGTGGGCAGACGAACGGGACGCGAAACGGGGCCCCGAGCGTGAACGGTGCCAACGGGGCGAATTCTACGAGCCACAACACGAGGGAGGTGCTAGAAAAGTTTAGCGAGACGCTGGAGCAGGACCTGCTGAAGCAGTTTAACAACAGCTATCGTCGCCAGAACTTCGAGGATATGATGGAGTGTGCCAAAGTGCTCCACGACTTCAACGGCGGTGCGAGCGTGATCGCGACTTTTGTCAACCAGCACCAGTTCTTCATTGATCGGGACCAGCTCGTTAACGATGAGGTCACGACGGATACCGGGGCGTGGGAGGCCGTGGCAGACCCAGATTCGGAGTCGCCCGGCGTAGAGCCGAGCTTGCAGTCTCTCGTTGACGAGGTCAAGATTGTGATGCAGGAGGAATCATTCATCATTAAGCGAGCATTCCCTTACTATGAAACGGTGCTAGCCAAATTTATTCAGCGAGTCTTCCAACAATCGATCCAGCAGAGGTTAGAGGCCGTGCTAGAAAAAGCCAACACCATATCCTCACTCGCCTTCCTACGAACTCTTCAGTCCTCTCGGAGCTACATCAACTCTCTCGTAGAAGATCTGAAGGCCCATGGGCTCACAGAACACCCGGAACCCTGTTCTTCCCAGATATCCCAGACGCTCGATCAGCAATTGGAAGAGCTGTTCGTACCATACCTCGTCGGCAACTCGTACATCGACCGCGAGAAGAAGAACCTAGAGGAGCTTTACAACTCCCTGCTCCTCAAATTTACAATCTACCACTCTAGGAGAAAGAAGGCACCGACGGGCTTCATGGCGTCTCTCGCGCAGCAAGGAACCCAACTCCTCGCTTCCGCCAAGGATGCTTACATGGAGCGCCTCGAATCCTCCGATCTGACCGTGACGCAAAAGGCCATGATGCTCCGAATCGCAGGAATCCAAGACGACCAATCCAAGAACGAAATCGAAGTTTCCGAACAGGATGGTATTTTGAGTATCGAGTACGCCAAGCGCATGATCAAGTGGCTTGCCGAGAGTGTCAGGAGAGCCCTCGAGCTTGGCTCCGCCAGCGAGACGCCCAAGGACGTCAACATCCTGCTCAACCTCCTCCTCAACAGCATGGGCCAAGTCTACGTCGAGACAGCGCTGGACGCCTCCCTCGACCAGGCAACGTCGCAAGAAAACTCCAAGACGGAGCCGGACATGACGTACCTCCCGTCCATCCGCCCCGCCGTGACCATCACGAACGTCATGGACCGGTTCATTTCCACGGTGCTCATCCGCCTAGCCGAGTCCAACACCACGGTGCGCCGCAACATGGAAGCCCAGAAACGCGTCGCCATCGACAGCATCGAGCAAAAGACCAACGACATCATGAAGAGCACCGTCGCCGTCGTCTCCAACTGGGTCGTCAAGTCCCTCTACGGGCAAAAGAAGCTCGATTTCCGCCCCCGCGACGGCGAGCTCGATTCCCTGCAGACGCAGACGTGCCAGACCATCTGCACGTTCTTGGCCCGCGTGAACGGGCAGGCGCGCCTCGCCGTCGACGGGCATAACCTCGAGATGTTCAGCAGCGAGCTAGCCCTCGCGCTGCTCAAGCTGCTGTTCGAGCACTTTAAGAAGTTCCAGGTCAACGCCACGGGCGGGCTCATGGTCACGCAGGACCTGTCGAAGTACGTTTCTACGCTCAAGCAGTGGGCCTTGAGCAAACAGGTCGAGGGCACCGTCGAGGTGCTCACAGAGGTCGGGTCGCTCTTCATCGTTGGTCCTGAGGCGCTTAGGGAGAAGTCGAGGACGCTGACGACGGGGCCGACGGGGGCTGGGAGGAAGTTGGGCAAGGCGGATTTTAAGGCGTTTGTGCAGAAGAGAGATGATTCGTCGTCTGTGGGGATACAGAGTGTCTTGGCGGGTCTCTAGATGTGGTTGGTCATGAGCAGGGTATATATATATACGACGGATCTGAGGAAGGGGATGGGTTGTCTTTATGTAGTCGATTGGTTTATGAAGGGTTCGCTTGGTGTTCTGCTTTTTATATCATCTCCCTCTCTCCCTCTCTTGTTTTTGTCAGCCCCTCTGCTTCTCTTCGGCATGTTACTTACAGGATCCATCGGCTGCCTTGAGATCAAGATACCACAAACTTGTACACCTTCAACTTGTGCCAACCCAGTCGATGTACGAGGGTATCTTCATGAATTCATTCTTAAACATAATCATCGCACGACTGTTTGTCCAAAGCGTGCTCTTATCCTATCCACCCTTAAACCATCATCATTATCCATTGCCAACTTTCCAATGCCTTTTTCTCCCCTCTTTTCAACACCATCTCTCACTCGGCTCTCTCCATTTTACCCCAAGAATATCAAATATCCTCCTCTCATCTCTCCCCTCCACCAACCTCCCCTCCGAAAGCTTCTTCCTCCCCGGACCCCGTAAAACATCCGCGTACAATCCCCTCTGATTCAATCTCATCCCCTTCTTCGACGCAAGCAGCCGCATACTCCGATTAAAGATATCATTCCCCGTGAAGTAAATCAACGCCGCCCCAATCTCCGTCTCCGGCACGAGCAAGAAATCGATCCTCCGCCAAACCTTGCGATATTCCTTCGTCACTGGGTCGACGTTGATCGACGGCGTGGGCGGGAGGACGCAGCAGCCGTGCCACTTACTCGGGTCCGTACGCGAATGCGAAGCGGCCAGGGTGGCGACGAGAAAGTTTTCGGCTTCAAGCTTGGCTACGAGCTTCCCTAGGAACGGGGCTAGCTCCGCCGTCGACTTCGTGCCGCGCTTAGTGACGATGAAGTCGATGTCACCCGAGGAGTCGGCGCCGCGGCGGTAGCTGCCTCCAATGATGAGCTCGACGGTTGGGTCGATTTCTCTTGCCGTCTTTTTCACGTAGGCGCCGAGGGCTTCGACTTCGCGGCGTGGGATGCGCGTGTTGAGGTCATCGTAGTGCTCGATCCCGATGCGTTGGTGCTCTGTCAGCTTCGCTTTTTCGAGGAGATCATCCAGGGTTCGGTAACCCTGTGCTATCCAATGATTCGCCTGCGCGAGCCCGACGCCGTATATATTCAAGAAGAGTTGTAGGGCGCCATCGTGCGGCTCGGCTTGTGCGTATTCGAGCCTCTGCAACCGATCTGTAGTCACGATCTCCTCGATCTTCTGCGCTAGCCGGTCCCCAATGTTAGGTAACTTCCTTGCCTCCTCAGCCGTACAGATCTTATGATCCTGGTGCTGCAGTGTCTTTATGGCTTTGCGATAACCGAGGGATCGCCAAGTGTCATTGATGCGCGTGTAGTATGTGCACATCTCCTGAAGGATCTCGATCGTCCGGGCGTTAGGATTGGTATCTTTCTTGTCCTTGATTCCGCCGTGGTTGCACGCGAACTGATCCTCGAAAGGCATGTTCTTCCTACGGCGCTTGGAGGAGCGGGTTTTCATCCGGCCTTCCTCCTCGGACCCGGAGCTGCGGTGTCCCTCATCATCAGGATCCGAAGCTATAGTCGCGGTTTCGGTGCTAGAATGAGAGTCGTCTTCGTCGTGATCAATCGGCAGTGCTCTATACTTTTGCATCATATTGATATAACCGGATAACTCATCACCAACCACGTCTTCTTTCGGCTCTGATGATTTCGAAGGATTCTCCGGAGGTTGAGGCATGACCATGGACGTCTCAACGCTTGACGGCGCCAGCCTTGACTGGGAATCGTCGGATATTAATATAGGCTCAGGTGCAGGTACAGGTTGAGCTCCGGAACCAGGATCCTCTGCTGGAGTAGATACAGAGTCTTGGGACTGCGTGTCAAAGTTTGGAAGATAGTCCCATCGTTTCGCGTTCGTAGGTGGGGGTTTTAAGGGAAGTGAGTTCCTCCGAGCCGCAGAGTCCGTTACCTCCGTCGGTGGCGCGGTTTCCATATAGTGCTCCCCGGTGGGATCACCGACGATCTCATACTTTGTTTGCCTTGGATTGAGGACATGCCGAAACGCAATACAATCGAGAGGAAACTCGTCGTTGACAACAACAGCATCTCCCGATACCGGTCCCGCTTTAAGCATGGACTCTATATCGGCGTACTTTAGATTCCTGTCAACGACAACATGCGTCGCGTCCGCAATGTCCCTCGTCCAAGTCGCCCCGTGCTCCCTCGCCTTCGTGATGCGTGCCCTCCTTGCAGGCGCGATAGCGTCATCCGGTATATAAAAAAACCTCAACCCGGCAAAAATACGATCTGCCTCGGGCACCAAGCGTATGCCGTCGGATCTCTTCCGCTTCTTCATCGCCAACCCGACAGACGGCGAGGCCTCCTGGCCCAGCGTCAGGAAACTTCTCTTCCTCGGCAAGGGAGTAGTTTCGCTCCTCGTCAATCCGGGAATCTTGGGGGCAGGAACGGCGTAGTCCGGGACAGGAATGGGCGTCTCTTCGACAAACGACGTTGTAAGATCAATCACCGCCTTTCGGTTCCCTCGCCTCGCGTGCTCAGTAGCTGGCGTCGCGTTGATAGTAGTTGGTAGCGGTGCAGAAACCACTCTCTTCGGGGGTGCGCCGGGCCAATTCTGCGGTCCGCGCTGAGATGATTGGGACGAGCTCACCGGATCCTGGCGCTTATGTTCCTCCTGGTTCTTGTTTTCTAGGGACTGGTTCTGACTGGAGTCTGCCTTGAGATGTGAAAAGCTGCGTGGTGTACCGGCGTCGACCGATGCCTTCTTGTGGAAGCCGCGGCACTTTCTCCGATACGCCTCTTCTTCCTCGTCTAGGGCATCAGAGTCGGAGTCGACATCTGCGTCGGAGGGTTTCTTGCCCAGCAGCGCGTCGAGTTCCTGGAAGTACTGACGTTTTTGATCTAGGGAGGGCTGTCCGGCGCTCATGGCTAGCTGATGTAGACAAAACCTTATTTTGGGGCTCAGATTCCAAGGTTCAAAGGGAGGAGATGTGGTTCACACGAGGGAATGGAAATTGATGTTTACAAAGAATACTTCAGTTTGAAAGAAACTGGATGAGGTGAAGTATCAGTCGAAACGACTTGGGAGATCACCCAGTCTCCAGTGCTTCAGTAAATATAATCATCAAGTGATTCAGCTGAGGTGGAGCAAAGCATCAGCTCTTCCCTCGAGCACACCTGCCTAAAGGAAAGATCACCAAATCTGTCCGGGCCTGATTATGTGAATCAACTTCGATCAGGCGAGTCCAAAAGTCTGTTCAAGTCGTAACTGGTACTTGGGACACTGAAACGTGTACTTTGGCCCTGGAATGACGCGCATGGAGGGTTAATTTAGCACGTGCCTTAGTGGGTTTAGGCAACTACGACAGGGCCGTTGCCTAGCGGGTCATCAAGTGCGAAGTACCCAATGTAACCGTAACCTCGATCTTGATCCTCACCTCCTCCCGTCACTCACACCGAGATGCGGCCAATTCCTCGACAGCGTTTACACTAGCTCAAACACTAAATATCGATTTTCTTCAAGAGCCGGCCGAGCTCAAGTCGGAAGACGGGATCCATCGGCTCTCGCACCCTTGCCCACAATTGTTCACGATGGCTCGATCAAGAAGAGATCCCAGCTAACATGCCTAGACTGCAAAGTTGTTTCTTAAGATATCTAGATCCTGTTACTCTAGTTAAAAAGGGTATTTCCTGCAATATTTACATACAAAATTAATGAATGAATTCTAAGAAGAAGCCAATTTCCACGATGCCACCCACCCATGCCTCAACATCCCTCAACCTCACTCACTTCTCGCCTCTCCTCATCTATGCATCCCCTGCCCATGCCTAAACTGCGGCGCCCTCGGCGGTACCAACGGCGCATTATGCTTCTCAAACGACCTAAACGTCCCCGCATCCCCCGAATACCTCACACTCCCCGTTTCATTCTCCACATCCGCCAGCACCTCCCTCGTCAACTCAACATAATCATAAGCAAACTCCCCAATCTCCGCATCGTCGATACCCAAGATCTCGGCCTCCTCGCCCACGCGCAGCCGGAGACCGGGGATCAAGTTCATGATCAAGAGGATGACGCAGGTACCCACGAACGAGTAGGCGCCGCCGGCGAAGGAGTCGGCGAGCTGGTAGGCCAGCTGCATCCAGTGGTGGTCGATCCAGCCGCCCTTGATGACCTGGACGTTGTCGAGGTGAGCGATCTGGCGCGAGGCGAAGAAGGCAGTGCAGATGTTGCCGACGAGACCGCCTATGCCGTGCACGGCGAAGATGTCGAGGGCGTCGTCGATTCCGAGGATGAATTTGAGCTTGGTGGCGTAGTTGGCGAAGCCGCCGCCGAGGACGCCGAAAATGACGGCTGCCCAGACGGGGACATAACCTAAGTAGAATATCTCATGTTAGTGGGCTTTTGGAGAAAACGTAGAAGAAAAAAGAGAGACCAAAGGGGCTAAACGCACCCGAACCCGGGGTAATGGAGACAAGGCCAGCAATAATACCCGAGCAGAAGCCCACGGTCGACCACTTCTTCTCAAGCCTGTAGTCGAGCACACACCACGTAATTCCACCCACACAAGCAGCAAGATTCGTAACAGCTGTGGCGATGATGGCCCTCATGTTAGCGCTCAACGCCGAACCGGCATTGAAACCAAACCACCCGACCCAGAGGAAAACCGTCCCGATGACGATGTGCGTCACATTGTGCGGGCGGTAGTTGAGCTCGTGCGTACCGTGCCCCCTCCTCTTCCCCAAGACCATGGAATACGCCAAGGCCGCCGTCCCCGAAGCGATATGCACAGGCGTTCCTCCCGCAAAATCAAGACCGCCCATCTTGTTCGACCAACCGCTGGGATTCCACGTCCAGCAGGCAATGGGGTCATAGATGACAGTAGCCCAGACGAACATGAAGACGACGCAGGGGAGCATGCGACCGCGCTCGGCGATGGCGCCCGTGGCTAGCGCGACGGTGACGGCGGAAAACATGCCCTGGTAGACGGCGAAGAGGAGGTCGGGGATGCGGTCAGAGGCGACGGAGGGCGCGCCGAGGACGTTGCGGAAGCCGAAGTTTTCGAGGTTGCCGATGAAGGGGCCCGCGGTGTGCGAGAAGGTGAGGGAGTAGCCCCAGAGGAACCACTGGAAGCAGGTGACGGCGACGGACATGACGGAGAGCCAGATGAGGGAGAGGGCGGACTTGCGTCTAGCGAGGCCGGAGTAGAAGAATCTGTGATGCGGTGTTAGTGCTCTCGGTGTCTCAAGTTGGAAGATCCTCCCCGGAAGGAAGACTAGCTGAGAGGGAGCAAATAATGCGTACCCAATACCAGGGACCATCAACAGGACGAGAGCCGTCGCCATTATTACCCAACCCAGATCGCCGGACTGTATCCCCCCGTTTCCAGTCAGTTCAGCTCGTTGTTACAACTTCCACTTGTCACATCTCGCATGTAATGAAACTGATGGCCATCACTCACCTCGTACCAGATGTTCATATTCTCGGTCAGCGGATCCCCTCCCGTCGGCCCGGTGCCGTTATACGGAGCCTTGACGACATAATTCAACGAATCCAAATCGACGTTATCTTGGTCCGACATTATCAAGAGACCAATAACCAAGACTTATGGTTCAACAACTAGCAACACAGCTGCCGAGCGTACGCAATGTAGAGGAAACAAACGAGTTCTGTTCTCGGTGATGAAGTTGGTCGTCGAAGTTTGCTTCTCATTCGCGAAAGGATGTGCAGGTTGCAGCAGCAGAAACACAACAGGTATGTCACAGACCACAAAGAGGCGTAACAGTCCTTTTCAGCCCCGTGGGATCGGATCAAAGATGACGGGGGGGTGGGCAGGCAGGTAAGCAAGCAGGCGGATAAGGTGTATTAAAAGGGCGCAAGATGTCGAGGTTGCTCGGCCCAAGGAGGGAGGGAGAAGAAAAGAAACGAGGTTCAACCACAGGTATATGCAGAAGTCTTGTAGTGTAGGACGAAGATGGGCTGATATGGAATCGAGAGATTACAGGATACTCATTAGAGGAAGGCAAGGAGCATTAGAGTATTAGAGAGTGAACGGCATGGAGCATGGGGGCGTGTTATCCCACCACCAGGTTCAATGGGCTTTTAATGCTCTCTCTTTTACCACACCCCAAAGGCACCGAACCTGGTATCTGGGCACGAGTTCCGTTTCTTGGTGGCTGACGACTTTGGCGGTGGAAGGGAACTAAGTGGGCGGTAGTGTACTACTTCGTACTTCCCGTGCAAGCTTCGCCTCTGTTGCAGGGTCTGTATTTACAAGGGGGAAAGTAAGGCCCAGAGGGGGGCATTCGCCACAGATTACGAGTGTAACGAGTGTAAGGGAGACAAGCACGGGCATAGGAATGATATAGAGAGTGGAGCAGGTGGATGATAAGCATACAATTGTAAACGGCGTAATAATGGATGACGCTCCGTAGCACATCATTCTTGCCTTTTATTTTCGGGGGAGGCGGAGCGAAAGAAACGGGGCATGGATAGACTCGATGGAGGGCAAGGGTGCTCCACAACTTGGAGAAGGGGAGGAATTTGAATCTGTAAATGGAAAAGGTACGAAGTAAATGGGGTAAAACAGGGATCAATTGATCAATCATGGGGCCAATCATGGGGTAGATTGGTTGGAGATGGAGGGAGGGGAGAGACCCTTATCTCTCTCTCTCTCGTTTGATATCAGGACAAGTCTGAAGAGCGTCTGACCGCACATACTGAGGTAATTGGAATGGACAAAAAGGCATGGAGGCAAAGAGCGAAAACGGAATGATGGACACCGAATTTAGGGGGAAATGAGCTACGAAGTATACGATGCTCGAATTGACGATACAGTACACAGGGAGATGAATAGCGATGAGGCATTTTGATTTATCAAGCATTCCGATATTTTCGAGAACTCGAGAATCCAACTTGGACGGGATCCACGGATTATCTCAACACTGAGTGGGAGAAGCAACGGGGAGAACAATGAACCTTCAGCTGGACGGACCCAGGTACTCGGTACGTACTAGCTTGATTCCTCGGTTCCATGTTCCTTCTTCAAAGCTGCTCGAGATTGGCCCAGTGATAGGTGACACATCAACGAGATAAGCACCACTTACTCGCAATTGCTGATTATTTATTTCCCTTTCATTCCCAACTTTCCGGTGCGGCTTAAAACTGTGCTCTCGTCCTCGTGTCCTCGTCGATTGGCGGCCGCAAGGAGAAAAACAGTTCGCCTCCTCGAAGATATTAACGCCCGGTATTAGTCTGCAGCAGGACAGAGAGTTCGCCAAGAAGAGGTGATGGGAACTCAAACAGAGAAGAGTGAAAGTGAAAGAGATAAGCCAGTTCGGTGTCGTAAAGGGGGTTAAAGTAGGAAATAGGTTTGGAGTATATCAGCACTCCAGAGATAGAAGATCAGTTCGCCAAGACGGGGCGATAACAGCGTGCCACTCTACGAAGTAGTACGAAGGTACATCCACCGCAGGCTAGGGTCTGGGATGCCTTTGTACCTTATCTTTCACTTGAGCCCAGACGAGGCATGGATCGACTCATTCCAAGTACTTTCGTAGTGTAGAAAGTAGAAAGGTACTTCACCTGGCAGTGTGCTCCGTACCACCCCACACCAGCAACCCAATCCTTCCCCAAACCCTGGTTCCCGCTTCATGTGGCGTGGGGGGCTCCAACCCACCTTCCCGTCCATCAACTCATGCAACATCTTCAACCATCAAACTCTCCGGGGCTTACATATCTCAGACCTACTTCTGCTTGCCCGTCGTTCCCGCAACAAGTCTTCAGTTGGTTCCACAGGTCCTTGAGTTATTTTCCTTCGGAATCGTGGCGCAGCCTAGAACCTTTCCGGAAACAAAACCCGAAAAAAGAAGAGAGAAGGGCAAAAAAGAACGCCAGACGCCACAAATCCGTGCTATATCAGCATTTTCCATCTCTTCATCAGAGCTTTGATCAGTTAAAGACATTGCCACTGCTAGTTATAGTTGTAGTAGCTTATATCGCGCAGCAATTGAATGCTCCACAGAAGCACCATTTAAAGCTCTCTCAAATGTAATACCCGTCTACTTTGACAGCGGAGTGTGCCGATGTGAGATGAGTAGAGTTCTCGCCTCCTCGAGTACCACCGTCGTTTTGCGGGCGCTCGCTTTACACCGAGATCAAGGTCCACTTTGAACTTGACGAATTCGTGGTTCTTCGCCTCCAGTGGGGATGGAGGGACGTAACGCTTGCTAGATACTCTCAACTGATGACCATGACCGTCATTATCACCAGACGGCCTTCGATCCATCAACGAACTCAAGCAACTGTTGAAAAAGAGGCATCTGGATTTGCCGACCGACGTTGATTGGATGTCCATCCTCCCCGTCGGCCTTAGAAGCTTCACTGGTAGGTAGTAACACTTCAGTATAGAAATCTTCAAAGCCACCCTGCTTTCACGGCAATATATTCCTCTTGATACTACACTACTGTAACACATCCATCCTTGCCATCATTTTCAGCTTCGCCCTTCGCTCCCATCTATCCCTCCTCCCAATTTTGTTTCCCCCCTCTCACCTCCATATCTAGCTATTAGACTTTAGCTTGAATATATATAAGTGTACATGCAATATGTCTAGAAACGAAAGACTCGAAGAGAAAATAAATGGCCAATACGGCGCTTGTCCGAAGAATCCACACTTCTTCGGACTGGATATAGAAAGAAAAGGAAATAAGAAGCGAAGGTAAATTAGGGCCGGGATATCTCTTTGAAGAAATGCAAACTGGGAATAGAAGAAAAAGAAAGAAGAGAAAACAAAATCCAACTCCATGTAATCAGCCGTTCTTCGGCTGAAATGCAAATTCTCATGAACCAGTATAAATTATGAAACCGCCAGGCGGTGTGGGGCCCAGACCTCACCGGAGAAAAGGCACCGTCTTCTCCTTAGGAAACGGTTCCGCTCCGCGCAAGCGTCTTAAACCGATCCTCAAACTGTCTCACCTTCTCCCCATCCAACTCCTTCTGCAACCTCTTCGCTTGCCTAACCGCCGCATCCCTCTCCTCCTGTAACCCCATGACCTCGATCTGCGCCTCGCTCATCTTAGCAATGACGTCCTGCATCTCGCGATCCGACTCCGCCACCGCCGTTTCCAGCTCCGCCACTCGGTCCCGGAGCCTCGACACCTCGGCGTCGTCCTCGAGCGTCTTGGCCGGCGGCAAGCGGGGAGACCTGGGGAACAGCGGCGAGGGTAGCGGGGAAAGCCGCGCCATCGAGGGGCGGAGCGGGCTCGGGGACCGGAGAGGGCTGGCGAGCGGGGAGCTGGTGACGCGCCGGAGTTGCGTGTTGTGCGCCTCCTTGATGGAGGCGATCTCGGCTTCGTGCCGGGCTACGCGCTCTTCGGACGCTGTTTGCGCCGCTACGAGCTGCTCCTCTAGCGTCTTGAGGCGGTTCTGAAGGCGCGTGATGCGCTCCGTGTTGGACTTCCGGTCGGCCTCGCCGCGGGAGACGGCATCGGAAAGGCGTTGGCGGAGGTCGGAGTTGGCGTTCAGCTGGGCCTGCACCTGCGCCGCGAGCTGCTCTACGCGCTGAGCCGACTCCTGGAGCTCATCCGAAAGCGCACGCTCGTGGTCGAGGTGCTTTGCCTCGCTGGCGGCGAACGAATCCACCTGGTCCTTGTAAGACGAAGCCTCGTCGCGGGCGGCATCTCGCTCGGAGAGCGCCGATGAGAGGGACGTCTCGAGGCGCCGAAGAGCCAACTGCGTCTTCTCGTCCGACACGCTGATGTTGCCCGAAGCCTCCAACTTCTTGATGCGCTCGAGAGACTCGCTATAGCTCGCCTGGAGCTCCTTGTAGGCGCGCTCAAGCGTCTCCGAAGTTACCAAGCCCGCGGCGTCGCTGAGGTTGCTGGATCCGCTCGATCGGTAGCCCTCGACGGGAGGGATAAGGATGTCGTTCGCAGCCAGGAGAGATCGGAGAGAGGCAATCTCCTCGTCGGCGCGGTCGAGGTCGAACTTGAGGCTGATCAAGCCCTTCTCTATCCTCCACTTCTGGTCGATAGCGTCTTCAGCCCGGCGACGGAGCACTGAAACCTCGGCCCGGAGGTTGGCGATATCCCTCTCGTAACCAGCCTTTTGGGGCGAGTCCTGCAGTAAGCGCTCGCGTTCGGCCTCGAGGAACCGGATCTTCTTCTCGTTCTCCCGATTTTGGTACTCTTGGCGCTCGAGAAGGCTCTTCAGCGCATTGTGCAGTGCGTCCCTTTGTGCCTCGACATCCTTAAGCCGCTCCGAGAGCGCCTCCTTGGACTCGAGCTTCTTGACCGTATTGGATCTTGCGAGGGTCGCGGGAGGGTGTTGTAGCTTGAAAGGCTTCGATTGCGCAATCGAGTTGGACCGCGTCAGGGTCATCGACGCACGCGTGGCCCGGGCGTCCGCTTCCTCCTTGGACTTCTTCAGCTTCTCGTTTTCTAGACGGAGCGCCTCAAGATCTTGCTGCATTCTCGTCGTTTCGTAAGTCATGTTCGTCTGATCGGCCGCCTCTGCCTCGAGCCCCTCGACTCGCGAACGAAGTTGCGGGACAACTTCGTCACGGAGGTTATCTCGCTCGTTCGTCGCCGTTTGAAGCTCGCCCTTGAGTGCGGATAGTAGATCCTCCAAGTTGGTCTTCATCTCGCGCTCTTCAGAGAGCTTCCTCCGTAGGTCCTCGCAGCTGGACTCGAGATCCTTGAGCCGCCCCGTCGCGTCTAGGCTGTTCATGCGCGCGGCATCGATCTGCGACGCCTTTTCGGACAGCTCCCTGATCTGGGCGTCGAGCTCGCGCCGCTTATCTCGCTCATCTTGAAGCTTCGTCGTTAGCTCGAGGCGCAGCTGCGCCTTTTCCTGTTCAGATTTCCGCTGAATCCTCTCCACCTCTTCCCGGGTCTGATCAAATTCACTAAATTTGGCGGAGCTGATACCCGAGTCAGAGTAGTAGTCGCTAGTGCGCTTTCCGGGCGCTTGGGGGTTATTAATTTCTGATTGAAGACGGTCCACTATGTCTTCGAGATCCATCTCGCGCCGAATTGACGAAGCCAATTCGGCGCTGATGGCCTTCAACTCATCCTCCATCTCTTCGATTTCCGCCGTCGAGGATGGAGTAGTAATACAGGGGGGTGTCTGTAGTGTAGATTCGCAGTATTCAATGGCCGATTGTGATGAATGGCGAATGTCTGGCGCATCCGATAAGGACTTTTCCGTAATGGTAGGATCTGTACGTGCCGAAGGGAGAGAGGTATCATCGGTTATGGTGGTGGTCGGCCTGGGAGATGTAGGTGACGGAAGGGGGGAATATTCGCTGTTGGAGGGCGAATTGGTGTTCCAAGAGAAAAAGGTTCCAAGCTTGGCAAAAGCCGGCGAGAGGGGAGACTTGGGGCCTGTGATTGTGTCGGTAGGTGCTGATCTATCAGATTGGTGTTTGTCGACTTTGGTGATTGAGATTTCTTGTATTTGCGTGGTTGTGCTGGTCGTAGTGGTGGTGGTGGTTGTCCGTTGAAGGTCGGAGTCGAGATATTCGGGATTCAAGGTCGGTGAGGATGGTTGTTGCTCAACCAGTACGGGGTATGACATATCATTAGTAGCATTAAGATTATTATAAATCGAGTCGTACAAGGAGTCGTCAGAGTCGTCTACTTCTTCGATTTCGTCCTCTTCGGCGATCGCGCTGTGATGTGGATCCTGGGAGCGAGTCTGAAGTGGTTCTATGGTCAGGTCTTCATGCCCACGTCGCAGGAGGAGCTGTTGTCCCGTTTGAGAGCCTGTAGCAGGCTCTTGGTCGACCTGGGCAAAGTGGGCAGATGGAGGAGCCGGGAAGTCCGGTGGAGATCTGCTGGGTGCGCTTCCGTTAGCGGTCGTGATCTCCGACAGATCATGTAGGCGGAAAAAAGAGAAGCAGGCAAGAGAAACCAAGAAACAGGTTCCAGTTGTGGCTGTCCCGTTCCTTTACTGTTTCTGTCGCATTGTTTCCTGCTGAGGCAACCGTTGTTTGGGAAAGGAAGGCGTAAGGGTGCGTGTGAGTGGGGGGGAACATGAGGGAAGAGGAGGAAGAACGAAGAAACAACGAAGAAACGACAAGACAAACTACAACATACACTTCGCTGAATGCGTATTCAGAAGACGAGTAGACAGACGTATCCCGCGAGTGGGAAGGTCGGTACGGCTGTGCGTCGTGTAGCGCACTTGTTTCCTGTGAGGCTCCGGAGACGATGTTGGTGGTTCCAGGGGCCGAGCCAGAGAATCGCGCAACGATGGCCGAAGCGGTGGACGACAACGGTTTCCGCTTGATGACCTGATTAGGATTATAGTCTGAAGATAATGTGTTGGACCTGGTAGTCCTCTGAGTTGCGATACCAGCGCTGAAGTTGTTGTGATACGAGCCTGAGCCGATGCGTGGATCGGACGGGAAGGACGGTGAGGGAGCGATGGACGGGTCGGCAGCCGTCTGGGAGGATCCGGGAATCTCGTAGTAGGCAGCAAAGTCTGCGGCGGCCGTGTAGGAGGTGATGGTAGTAGTGGTAGTGGTAGTGGTTGTGGTGGCCGTCGTAGTAGGAGCGGGAAGAGCGGTACCAGAGGGTGGTGAGACTAGACGCTGAGACACTTCAGATGAAGCAAAAGGAGTGTCAGAGGCCTGTCGCTGATGGGAGGAGGCTTGAGCAGAAACGGAGGCAGACCCGGACTCTGACCGGAGGTCCAGGTCAAAGTAGCCTCGATCATTATAAGTAGCCATGGTGATGGTGTGGTTCGCTTATCATGTCCTGATGACCACCACACACGAGAAACGCCGAGCTCGAGCTGTCATTCGCAAAGAGCAGCAACGCCCATTTCCCTTTTCTCACCGTACGTCGTACTTGGTAGATGAGGGAGAAAAGGGAGATTAGGAATAGATTCGGTAGGGTCTTTTGGGCAATGGTAACTCGGACGTTCGAATACGATGAGTGGCTGGATAGGGGATCACACCGTTGCACTGCTCATTTTCATTTTGGGTGAAATGGACGGCGGCTCGAGCCATTTGGGAAAAGACCTTGACCAGTCAAGTGCTCGATGCCCCCCGGACGCCCCCCTTACGCACAAGGACATGGTTCGCCCTGTCCCTTGCGTTAGCGTGATGATTTCCATTGGCCGAAGGGGGCTCGAGATGGGAAGGTCTTTGGCGAGAAGCAGGGGGCCATCCTTGAAAGTGTGGAGACTTGGAGGGTTAGACGTGGTGGTGAGGGAGACCCTGACGTCGTATTCATTATTGTGGAGGAAGCATGCACTAAGACTGGACTGAGGGAAGATGTTCGTATGTACGAAGTAGTTGCATGTAAACTACGCAAGTACACTGAGAAGCACGAAGTAATTAGGGTGCAGTGCTGTCCTTCATCGTGTACATTAGTTCTGCAGCATCACTGAGCCAATCTCGCTGGGGAAAATAGCCAAGATTGCATCAATGCAAGTAAAATGCAAAGTCCGGTTGACGCCTTCGGACGGCCGAGAGCAGAAGCGGCACGAGCACAGCATGGGGATGGATCAATCATCAAAGAATCAATCAATTGATGCGTGACGAGCCCTACGTGAAATGAGACAGGACGGAAGAAGCAACTGGGCGCTAAATTGAACAGCATCAAATGATTAGGACGAAGAGTATTGGTTCATGCTTCACGAGAGAGCGCACTACGAAATGCACTATGAAGTTCAGAGTTCTGTGTAGCGCCAGCATTGTCGTCCAGTTGGTCAAATTGGTTCATCATTAACGCGTGATATTGAGTACATGAAGCTACACTAGGATTCCCCCATTCTCAGAGACCTCCAATGTCACTCTCTTGTACTTGGTAGCACCGTGATGGCACGAGGTCGTATTCAAGCCTCAATGTCCAGGCTCAGTCCAGTGCAGTCTAGTTTTAGCGCTGGCAATGGCGCATGTTGTGCTGGAGTGAATTACTGTAAGTTTACTTCGTACTTCGTACACTCCAATGTTGATGGATGGGGGGACGCACTCGCCTCCTGCATTATCGTCTCCCGTTCCATTGGAATTGATCTCTGCAAGGACCAAGCGCTTGATCTGGACAGACGTCCGAGTCCATCCAGCGAATCACTGCCGCAGACGACCTTGACCTGTCACCTCAATACCCCCAAGACGGGCCAGGGTCGGCCAGGGGTTATTACACGACAGACCAGGGGGGAGACGAGTGTGCCGGGGATGGGGCCTGCCACTCAGGAGTCGGGTTAGACTCACCGTCATTCAACACACACTCTAATTTCGCCGGAGAAATAAAGAGAGCACTGAAGTGGAGAATATCGCCAGCATGTGCGCTCGGTTTCATTGTGAAGGCCAGAAAAACGAGGCACATTTTCATAGTTTATACATACATCAAATCCCGCTCTCGCCGACCTTCAATTTACGAGTCTGGCTGGTCGAACTGCTTCACCATCAAAGGCTGGTTTGTCTTCTATCTTAGGAAAACCGTAGAAGGCTCTTCTCCAAACCAGGCACCACGTGTAAGGGGCGGGAGCCAAGCGAGGTCACTGAAACCTGAGGTGATATGCCGTGTCAATCGCCCTTTTGAAACAAAACGAACAAAGCGAGACCCAGGGAAATAAGAATAAGAAGAAACCCACCCAGCCGCCCTTTCCAAAAACCTCCAAGCGTCGAGCGAGAGAGCCCGGCTTTGTGCCCTACAGCTGAGACATTTACCAATGCAAATCCACGCGCCAACGGCTTGAAGCGAGGAGGATCTCCCTGATTGGCACGCGCATCGGCCTGATGGTGTTGCCAGAAGGAAAGGGGGAGGCGAGTTGACGAAACAAGAAAAAAAAAAAAAAAAAAAAAAAAAAAAAGAGAGAGAGATATTAGGATTATGAACAGCCAATTGTGTCCTCGTCTTGGATACATGATGTGAGATGACCTCTGCATCTGGTCGGTGTCGGTCATGGTCTAGTCTCGACCTCATAACCTTACTTCGTATGTTGCCTTTTAGTGATACTACTCTGTTGTACTTCGTAAATCGGGAAACTTTGTCCTTGAAGTCAGTCGGCCTATTCTCGGAAGTCATCAATTAATTATTATTAACTCGCATAGCAAAGCTGCAAAGGGATTGAAGCAATGGAAGTGCCATGGGTGACAAGAAGTACCAATGAACCTGTCGAATATGTAGTGCAGGAAAGAACCACCCCGAACTTGCCAATACACTGGAAAAAGCATAATACTTCATGTATTGATATCTGTTCATGATGTGGCTGATATGGCTTGGATGCCAGAGGATCGTCTCATGCCCCCCCCCCCGAAAACAACGGCAATGACCCGCTTCACGCGTCTGTGGTCCTCCTCTGAAAGGAGAATTTCCAAGGATCCGGCCTGTCGTCGCACGTGTTTCCAAAACCGGCATCGTGGTGCCTTCCAAAAAGAACTTCCCAACTCTGACGAAAAGCGCCGTGACAACGGGAGAGGCCGATATACGGTCCTGTACAAGAAGAAGGTCTTGCCAAAATCCTCTCAACAGCACAGTGATTTACAGGCAGGAAGCCATCATCTACCAAACCTCTTCCATGTTTATAGCAACCTTCTTTCCTTCAGAGGGAAACATTCCCAAGAACAAGAACGCTTTATAAGCGCATCACCGTTCCTTCCCTCCTTACACCCACCTCACTCCAAGCAACATCCACAACCAACCAGGGCAGACCAACAACCCAACTTCCAAACCCATCGCTAATGACTTTTCCTCGGTATATCACTCGGAAATGAAATGGCAAAGTGCGAGAATATTGCCGCCGTTCAAGAGGGCAGAGATCTTCTGACGGCGATTGAGAACCTCCGCCAAGTCAAGCCATCAACCAAGGATTCGAAAGGCTTGGTGAGAGGATGGGAGTACTTGAGCGGAGGCTTGGATAGCTAGAAACGAGGCTTGATCAGACTGATCTAAGAGTTGTTCCAGTCCCTAGGCTTTGGGGGCATCTACATATTCTTATGTGTAAAGACAAGCTAACCATGCGTTGGAAATACAGCCCGGAAACGGAGGAGTTCCAAGACTTTTCATGACACGGAATAAAAACGGTCTTTTCGGACCAAAAAGGACCCCATACTATGTAGTTCTGACAGACGGCTCCCTGAAAGCCAGTTTGGGGAACAACCTTCCTACTCCGGAGTTTCCGACAGCCTCTTCCAGGAGTGGAAGCCTCGAGAATCCTAGAGGCTCTCGAGCTTGATTCCACCGGCCCAGCTCAGCGTTCAACTGAGCAGGAGCGCCCGAGACGATGACGGAAGGCAGAGATCTATCGATTGCCTCGATGGCTCTTCTCTTGGACTCCGTCTCGGTGCCACCGCTCCACCCGGGCTACACTCCGGATCGTACAGCAAGATCGACAAACAAAAAGAGGATTGCTGTAGATCCCGTCGACACAGAGGACATATCTCATTTCAAGAATGGTCCAGCTCACATTGTCTCCGAAGACCTAACAGAAAAAAAAAAGTGGGTATCTTTGGTTAAAAGTAAAAGAAGCCAATGTGCGAAAACGTACAAGATTGTCTTGCCAAAATACTCCCAATAGACGGCAGACGGGCATGAGACAGAAATCCGAAGAAAAAGAAAGGAGAAGGGAAAAAGGGGGGGGGTAAAGCAGGAGAAGAAAAGAATAAAAACCTTATCCCATGTGTACTTCCACCTGATCTTCATCTCCAATATCCGCCTCCTGCAGAGTGATCTCGTCTCCAAGCTTCTCTCCGTCAAAATAAATGGATATCTTGACGTCTTGCGGTATGTGCCTCTTAGCTCTGAACTTCTCTATCAAAACGGACACCGTCGAAGAAGCCGTCGCCGATACCTTGACCGAGTCCCCTTGTTTCGGCCTCATCGTCACTTTGAACTTCTCTTCCGGCTCCGGCTCAGCCGCTACCGGAACACCCTCATCAAGCTCGCCCAGAAGCCTCAGCCGTTCCCGTTCCTTTTCCCGCCGGTGTTGTTCGAATAGATCTTCCGTCCATGCTTCCAGAATCACCCTCTTCCTGTCCTCACTGAAGCCTTCGCGGCCGCCGCTCTTGGAGTAGAGTTGATTGTTACCAAGTATGGATATGCCGAGTCCCTGAAGAGTCGTGGTATTGTACAGCCGATTCTCGCGCCACGTTAAGAAGACGTCATTAGCAACGACGTCTATCTTGTGCATCTGCATAATGGCACACCACGTCTCTCGCACCTGCTTGAGAGGATCATTCGCAAAGTGCTTAAACACGCAGGGCCCCGCCGCGTGGGTGTATGGGATGTCGGAAACGACTTCGACAGTAAAGTTCTTCTTCGCCAGAACCTGTTCCTGCTCCTGCTCTTTTTCTAGCTGGCGCTTGCGCTCCTGCGCGGCCTGCACGTATTTCTGCAGCTCGGGGTCCTCCTCGTCTTCTCTAAAGGAGGATCTTGCGGTATCCTCTACGATCGAGATGCCCTCCTCTTCCTCCTCTTTCTCTTTCCCTTTGGCGGGGGCCACGGGCGAGTCGAGTATGACAAAATCGTCGTCATCGTCAATGACGTTTGCCGGTTGTGGTGTGATTCTTGAAAGGTCCGGAGTCGGACTACTGAATGCAGGGACAGGCTGTGTGCTCGACGCGCTAATGATTCCGCTATCTAGTCCGGAATTTGACGACAAATCGGTGGTCGCCTGTGATATCCCGCTCTGATTGCGCTGGAACAGTCGAGTGCTGGGAGTCGGCGATTCTCTTTTTGGCCGTGAGAGTTAGCGAATAATATCTATAAAGCACTGGCAATTTTTCTTTTCCACTCGTACCTAATAGCCTTCTCATAAATGCCTTCAGTATCGTGATCCACAGTTCGGGACGTCCTCCGCTTCTTCTGCGACGAGCCGGGCGTTCGCGCTTCGGCATTCTGGCCAGCCTCAGGTGTGTTCTCCTCCTCTGTTTCCGACCGACGCCGTCGTCGCGCATCCCTGTCCGCTTTCTCTTTCTGCGCGCGTCGCTCAGCTTCCGCCGCGACCATGGGCAGAATCTCCCTGGACCGCTTGAAAAGAGCGAGGTCGTCCTCCTCATCTTTGCTGGGCTTTTCCGTCGAGGCGGGGGGGGGCTTCTTTCGGAGGGCTGTGGGCTTGAAGGGGAGCCTCTTTTTGTTCGAAGTAGAGTCGCCCATATTTGCAGAGAACAGGGGCGACCTGTATCGTATTCCTTTCGTGTAGAGAGCTTGTCGGGCGTTTCGAACGCGGGGCGCGCAAGGCTACGGAGCTACGTCCTTGCTGATCTTGGGAGTTGAGGTTTACAAGAAGTAATTCTCAGTCAACGCATGGTTGAAGAGCAGAAATTGTTTTGTAGTAATTTTGGCTCGAGGTGCTGAGGGATGGCGCGATGTTTATGTTGGGTTATATCTGCCCCCAATCGCGTGGGCGCTGGTGGCATTTTTTCTTTGTTGTCGTTCATCAATGCCTTCTTGCGATGTCGAAGTTAGCAGAGTACTTTGGTTGCTAGGCATGTCCCATGTCACCAGCTCGCGAACCTCAAGGTGGCCCCAAAATAGCGGGATGATGGTCGCGGAGCAGAGAGCCGTTGGCAGCTGTCAAATACATTGGGCGGAATATTTGACACTGTGGAGAGCCTCATTTGAGGCTTGAGAAGTGAGAACATCCACAGTGTCAAATGCAAAGTTGATCAGCATAGAAGCTGGAAGATCACAGTGTGACTTGCAGGGCTCACAAACATTGAACCTCACCAACTGCTTGTCTTATCCTCAGTCAAACTGCATCACACTCTTGACAGCGGCCCCAGCGTGAGGACAGTCATTTATTTCCGCCCATTCCGACCCGAGGCCGGGATAACACACAAATGGAGAACGGAGGTATCTCTCAAGGTGAGGGGAAGGACCCTTCCAGCTTCCTCAGCGACATCATCGGCAACCCCGTCACGGTCAAGCTCAACTCCGGCGTGGTATACAAGGGTAAGTCGAATGTGTGAATGGAGCTTGAGGCGCCCTTATTTTCTCGCCATTTCTGTATAAGACGCCTTTGTGTCTGAGGATATATTATGCCCTACTGGTACCGCAGCTGCTAACCTCTTAAACAGGAGAACTCCAGTCTGTTGACGGATACATGAACATTGCTCTCGAAAAGACTGTGGAGTACGTCAACGGCGTCAAGAGGAGAACCTATGGCGATGCTTTTGTGAGGGGGAACAATGGTGAGCATTGACATTCATATCCTAGACCGAAACGTTAGCTAACAAGCACACAGTCATGTACATTTCGGCAGACTCGTGAAAACCAAAGGCTTAGCAGTATGAGAATTTAGAGACGGGATTTAAAACCAAAGTCAAGGAGTGGATGTTCTGCGGGATAGGGAATGGCTGGAGAAAGAACTCGAGCTCCCAGACTGCCCGGTCCACGAGAGAAGCAACCAATCTATGACTAACGAAACGAATAGTAATGAGATGAAATATATCTTCATTCAAAAGGCTATCAATCATATTTTCCATCTGCATGTATATACATACATAGTTGGGTGGATATCATTTAGTCGACTCTCTTCGCCCAAGCAATAACAGTCGCCCCATGCAAGTGAACCTGGCCTTGCTCATTCCTCTCTACCTCGGGAGACTTTAGGATATCCCAAAACGTTTGTGTGAACTTGTCGGCGTCCTCCCCCTCAAGAATGGAGACCTGGCTCAGCGTCCGAAGCCTCAGCAACAGCGCCTCGTCGGTCAGCCAGACGGTCCAGCGAAATATGTTCTCGCCAATGGGCGTGACGAATAGCTCGTGGATCTTTCCGCTGTCACCGGTCTTGTCCAGAAAGACGTCCTTCCAACGCTCTTCTCGGAATCGCGGTTGGCCGTCGAGCTTGAGGGAGAAGATGAGCTCGTTGAGCTTCTGCTCCCAAGGCGTGGATGCCTTCCAGGAGGCGGGTTTGTTGTCTATGCTTAGAATGAGCCATGGAACCACCATCGAATATTCCAAAGCCGTAAGTAAAAGGCAAAACTAACAATCTTCAATGTTCCAGACAACACCGAGGGATGCTCCCGGCTTTATCACCCGTCTAAATTCCGTTAGCGCCTCGATATTTGCGAACCTGTGTCGAAAGAAACCTGGTGAGTGTCCATAGGCGCCGGAGGGTGATTGCGAAGGACAACAGCGGGCAGATCATTTACCAGTGGAATGCCTATATATCACACGAAAGAAAGTAAGCAAGGCAGCTCCCGGACCATACCGTCCAACTTAGAACTCAATTCTCGCGCTTCAAACTTCCCAAACATTGAACCCACCTGAGCGACGATACAAGCATCCCCCCACCCATCCCCAACCGGCACCGCATTCGCCGACCCCTCCAAAACCTCCACGCCCTCCAACTTCTTCGCCGCCAACTGATCCCTCATACTCGCCAGCGGCTCAACAGCCTTGATCTCAAACCCTTCTCCCCTCGCCGCCAGCGGCACCGTAAACTTACCCGTGCCCGCCGCGACCTCGATGATCTTGGCACCCCGCTTTCCCGCGACGCCGAGCTCGCTCAGGAGCGCCTCGACGGCGTCGGGAGGATACGAGGGCCGGTGGGCATCGTATAGGGCGCCGTTGTGGAAGCCGTGCACGGCGGCTTGGTCGATGGTGGGAGGGGGCATTGCGCGGGGTGGCGATGAAGAGGACGGATGGGGTTGGTTATGTGATTGGGGTGTTATTGAAAAGTTTCGCTGGAAAGGGATTCTACGTATACCCGCAGATGAAAAGGAAAGACGAGAAGATCGGAGTAGGGATAGGAGAAGAGTGGGTGAAGTGAATGACGCCATCAATGGATGCAACAGTGGGTGAAGACCGACCATGCGGGGAGGAGGGGGAGATGACTTGTAAGTTGGCCACACGGATAACAGAATAGTGAATGCGGATTTTTAATTGTTTATTTTACGAGGGTCATTCTTTTCAGTTCTCGATGTACCAAGTTGGAAACTCAATTCTTCGAGTCATCGGGTTAATGAGATGCAATTGTGAACTTCAAGTTGATGGCAACGGAGCAGTCACAATTGTCTCCAAGTACATCTTTACTTGTACTTCATAGCTTCAATGGCTGACTCATTCCGCAATCGGATCAAAATCTCAGTGCAGCTTCAAGACATAAAGTCAAGCTGCAGAGAGAGCTTGAGTCGTTCCCTTGAATCATTGATCCACTGAAGCCCGGAGAGGGCGACAATTGAGTGTTCAAGCTTGCCATTCTGATTCACCAAGCTGCAGACCCCGAATCCAAATCCGCGAATTAGCTGAGGCCAATTTCCTCGTTCCTCGTCCCGCGTTCCGCGCCGCCCAACATTCAGCCAGCTGGAGCCCAAGTTTGAGATTGTGCACCTTTTATCTCGCATCAATTGATTGACTCATTGTCCAACCTCGAAATAGCAAAATACCAGACCCATAATACCCATCAATTGATACCATCAGACACCCTCTTCATTCCCCTTCCCAATTGTCCTCTCTTCCCCCCCTCAAAACCTCACCAAACACCGCCGCGACCATGACCTCCCAACCTGCCCCTCCCCCGCCATCAGCATCGACAGCAGTCGACCTACCCCCCGTCGACATCAAGCCCCTCCTCCAACAGCTCTGGCCAGGCGGCCACCCCGACATCAACCCCTCGCGCATCGCCGACGCCATCTCGCACTTCTTCACGAACCAGGTCAGCGAGGCCCAGGCCGCCTCTCTCTTGATATGTCTGCACTTCACCACCCTCGACCTCCAGGGCGACGTGCTCGCCGAGTGCGCCCGCGTCATGAGGGTTGCGGCCGCCAAGATTGATGTTCCGGCGCTGCAGGAGCTCATTGCGTTGAAGAATAGGGCCGAGGGGAGCTATAAGGGTGGATTGGTATGTTTCTTTTATCCTCTTTCTCAATCCCCTGGGGCAATACAATATACACGCATACAAGAGAAGAAGGGAAAAGGAAAAAAAAAGAAAAAAAAAAAAAATCTCCGTCTACACTCAAAAAGCTAACTCACTTTCTCCCTACGCGCAGTGCGACATCGTTGGCACCGGAGGCGACTCCCACAACACCTTCAACATCTCCACCACAGCCTCCATCATCGCCTCCTCCCTCCTCCTCGTCTCCAAGCACGGCAACCGCGCCAGCACCTCCAAATCCGGCTCCGCCGACCTCATCAACAACATGCAACCCCGCGCCCCGGTCATCGAGGCCGTCACCCCGACCACTCTCCACGCCGTCTACTCCGCCACCAACTACTCCTTCCTCTTCGCCCCCGTCTTCCACACGGGCATGCGCTACGTCGCCCCCGTCCGGAAACAGCTCCCCTGGCGCACCATCTTCAACAACATCGGTCCCTTGGCGAACCCTGTCGAGGACGTCCTCGAGGCCCGCGTTATCGGTGTTGCGAGGAAGGAGCTCGGCCCCGCTTTCGCTGAGGCTCTCAGGATCGCAGGCGCTACCAAGGCCCTCATCGTCTGCGGTGCCGAGGAGCTAGATGAGGTTTCTTGCGCCGGGAAGACGTTTTGCTGGTTGGTTCGCGGGACGAAACCCGAGGATATCACCATCGAGCACTTCACCGTCGAACCCGCCGACTTTGGCCTCCCCGCCCACGCCCTCGATACTGTCTCATCCGGGAAGGAACCCAGCGAGAACGCCGAGATTTTGAGACAGATTCTTCACAACGAGTTGCCCGATGATAACCCGCTCCTACACTTCGTCCTCATGAATACAGCCGCTCTATTCGTCATCTCGGGCATCTGCGAGGCGGACTCGAGCTCTATGGGCCCCGATGATGACGGCGTCGTCGTGACGGAGAGGGGGCCCGGTGGGCAGCGCTGGAAGGAGGGCGTGAGGAGAGCGAGGTGGGCGCTGAAGAGTGGCGAGGCGTGGAAGCAATGGGAGAAGTTTGTCGAGGTTACGAACAGCCTTGCGGGGCCGAAATGAAGAAGGGAGAAAATTCTTTACGAGGGTTTGCTTGATATGACTTTTAGGGCCTTTTTTTTTTGCGTTTTTCTTTCAAGGGCATTTGGGTTTCACAAAAAAGGATTATCTCGACTCGACCTTTCTGTCGGGTGATCTCTTCTTCTTTTTATATGTTTTGATTAATTTCTGTTGGGTTGATGGACCGCATCTAAAAAGCTCAAGTACAGAGACGCCTCGCCTCTTTTCCCTCGTATTCTAGAGCGGGCCTTGAAAAAGCAGCAGCCAACCCATTCCCAACCTTTGAGAGATGGGGATTTCCCTTTCCCCTAAGACGCCTTGTCTATGCGTGTAATGCAGGTGTAGACAAAGGAGCGTATAGTATAGAGAGTCAAACGAACTGGTTCAAAGCAAGTACGCTTCGAAAAGGACAGGCAGAGAAGAAAGATAAAAAAAAATAGAGCATCATAATGAATGTTCCATGATTACCCCGAGTCCGTGAACTCCTTGCATAAACAAAACAAGAAAAGACGACTGCATCCTAGTCTCCACGCATTATAAAGGATACAAGCTTTAGAACATGTGAGAAAGTCGGTGACATATCCGACAGGATAAGAGGCAGATTAGAAGAAGGCAGGCATGTCAGGGGGACCCGACAGCCGGGATGAAAGTTCGCTGGTCTCGCTCAAGGGGGATATTATCGGCGACCCAAACGTCTCTTTCATCGTATCACGCCCATACTCCAACTCCACATATGTGGGCCATCCTCTTTCATCGCGCGGAGTGTTGGGATCACGCACTCGCCCGGCCATAGCCGCGAAGTCGGGCGAGTAGAACAGCGGCGGTGATATATTTGAAATGGAGCCAGGGGTGGGAGCGTAGAAGAGTGGTGGCGGCGGCGGTTTCGATGGCGCCTTTGGCGGAAATTCCGCCAGCATCTTGGCTTTAACGGGGCTAGCAAAGTTTGCGCGGCAGAGCGTAGAAGCCTCGTCCGTGTCGGGAGTGCCTGGCGTTTGAGGTTGCGGTGGAGAGGTCGTAAATACGGAGCTTGTGGAGGAACCAGGCTCTATTTGAGCAGGCACACCACGCCGGGCCGGATGTACGAGCTCAGTAGGCCGAGCCATCGCCGGAGGCGTGGGTTGCCTCCGCGGTTTCTGCAAGTCCTCATCCTCCCCTAATTTATTCGGAGACGGCGACCTCGATGACGACTGCTTCGGGAGAGGCGCGCCGGTCTGATCGAGAAGGGAAACTTTCAGTTCCCATTTTCCCTGTGCCACGGGAAGGCGGTTGTCGAAGGACTGTGAGCGGAGATGGCGACCGGGGCGACCGGTAGCAGCGTTATCACCCGGCTTAGGTTGCCCAAGTCCAGACGCCTGGCTTTCGTTATTAACGGAATTAGATCGATTTCGGTTCGGTCGTGGCACCGGGAGGTATTGCTGAGACTGAATTTGCCTAAGAGGGCGGGCCTGGGACGGCTCCGGGGAGAGATCCGCTAGCAACCCTGGTCCTCTGAACTGAACTAGGTCTTCCGTCCCCGACTCTGAGGACACTGGACTGGTGGTCCGTTTAATAACTCTACGAGGAGGTGATCGGTGACGCTCTAGTTGAGACTCCCTCTGGATAGGCCTCGGACCTTGGCTGGGGAGAAATACGCGATCAGAAAGCTTCGGCGAGGATATTGGTATCTTTTCACTAGAGATAGGGAGAGTAGTTTCGGCGACAATAGTGGCCTCATCCTCTAGCGCAGGGACGACTTTTTCGGCTCGAGGTAGTGGAGGTGCCTTGGCTATGAATTCAATGGGAGTAGGCAGGATGGAAAACGCGGAGAGAGGCCTGCCGGATGGCTGGCCTTGGTCGGCCGGGGCTGCCGCGGCTGCTGAGATGATGGAAGCTGATGAAGCCTTGGGGGTCACGGCTCTGCTAGGAACAGGTTTCCTTCGGGGCAGAGGTGACACGGAACGTATTCGTTCGGTAGATGACGATGTGTGTAGGTTCCCATTAGATACAGGCCGCCATTGCCGATCCCACGAGAGGGCCCTATTATGTCTCTGTTCCGATGACGGAACTGTGGTTTGTATTATATCTGGGGAGAGTAATTCATTCTTCTGCGGAGCTATTGAGTTTATCCTGGCCGTGGGGGGCGGAGGAGAGACGAGAACGGGAGATATCGCCGGCGACGCCGAGTGAGACCGGATGTGCGATCTAAAAGTAGGAATTGGTGGGAGAGGACTGGTAGGTGGGGGGCTAGACAGCCGCAAGGAGTGGGCTGACAAGGTGGACGAAGGAATTGATTGAGGCAATTGCCGGGGCTGTAAGGGTTCCATCGAGATGGCGCGGGCTCTCCTAGGAGGCATGAGTTCAACGCCTCTCATTTCCATAGCCCTTGCTTGCCCTAACGAGGTTTGGTGGATTCGAGGCTGAGGTGAGGCGGCTTGGACTGGGGCTGCGGGTAGGGCCTTTCGAGGAGGTGACGGGGAAATTCTTCTGTTCGACATCTCTTCGTGACTAGCATATCTCCTAGCGTTTTGTCGCCTTTCCCAGAGGGCCACGCTGGCACGGCGAGGTTCATTTCTGGTTTCCTCGTGTGTTTTCTCGGATGTTCTCTCGGGCGCCTTCTCAGGCTCCCTATCCGCTTCCTCGTCAACATCGGGCTCGGCAAGTAGAGGAGTGCGTGTAAGTGAGTTCGATCTCCGAGGGCGTATGATGGTCTCGACGTGGGGTTTAGGCCTCTCTACTTCAACCATGGCAGGGGGGCCGTTTAAGAACGGGCTGTTCTCTCCGACCTCTCGCCCCTGTTCCCGGCCGAGACCAGCATCCCAGGTTTTAACCTCTCTCTCATGATTCGCTTCCTTGGGCTTTTCCGATTTCGGACGAGCATCCCGGCTACCGTCTTGGTCCTCTAGGTCGTTGCCCGCCTCCGACTCGTTCCGGCTCGACAGGCGACTGTACAGGGTTTTCCTCAAAATTAACCTGCGCTGATCCTCTTCCTCCTCAATCCGTTCTGCTACGCTGAGTTTCCGCCGCCTCAAGAACTCCTTTCTCGTCAGGTACGGATCTTTCTTGCAGGCTTCGAGATATTGCTTATACCGTAACCGGCCAACGGTGAAATAGATGGTGAGGGCAATGGCGGAGACGGAAACGACGACAGCGGCAATAATGATTCCGGTTCTCAAGGTGGTGGACTCGGCTCGGCGATGTAATATCGGGGCCATGACTGTTTCTGTTTTCTTCGTGAACTCTACGATGGTGGCGAGTGGGATGATCCACGAGACCCAGTAACGAGTGTATTTATTCTTCTTCCTGAGAGAGTCGAGGACCGCGACTAATTCACCGACATTCGCAGTAGGGCCCCGGAAGAATAAGTAGTATTATGGCGAGTGATCGCTGCAGGGAGCGAGGAGTGTGATTAACGACATCAAATGCAAGGACGGCCGGAGGCAAGAGCATTCGAATGAAGAGAGGATCAATGAGTAATGTGGAGGAAGTGCTAAAAAGACAAAATAAAATGGAAGAATAAAAAGAAAATTCAAATTATAAACGCTATACAGACCCAAGGAAATGGGGAAAAGATCCAAGGAGGTGCTAAAGATGAGCTGGATGGGACGAGTTCGTACATATATTGGGGTTGTGTTGGCGGTGTTGCACGCACCTATGAAGTATTAGTCGACTGACACAGCCCTTGGCGGGGAGAGTTATGGGACGGCAAGTTCCACAGAATAAAAGGCACTCTATTGATCCATTGATCAATCGTTTCCGGCGGGTTGCATGGTGCCTACCAATGGCCGGCGATACGTACCTGTAAGGCAGCCTCCTCAAGAAGAGGATGGTCGGTGTGCTTCTCCCAGATAAACCTCCCTGCGTGCGTAGTGCATGCGAAGGCTGCTGGTGCGTTGCAGTCTTGGTCCGATTAACGTACCGGTGCTATTATGGGCCGCATAAAAGGTGGCAGGGAACGACGGGAAGGATCAAAACCAATATGGATGATCCGAACGCTTCACTACCCGGATGCTACCCTTGATCTCCGCCCAGAACAGCGTTGGGGCTTAGTGCTGACGAGTATTCACATGGTACCCGATGGCATCGAAAAGGCAGGATTCTCAAGCTCTCGGCCATTTAACCTGGGCTTTTGTTTGGGGGCGGTTGGATGACCCCCCCCCCTTGCCCACTGTCAGCACTTCTTCAACTGCCAGAGAACAGGTTTCCCAGTGATCAACCTTCGGTGCAGATTGAAGATCCCTCTGCCTGGCTGGCCACTTATCTCTGGTACAAGCGACCACCTGCTCCTCCTAGTAGGGCGACCCAATGACCAACCCTGTCGCTTGAGAAAGTTCAGAGGAGAATCTGGAGGTGGGGGTATTACTTCGCCTAGGGTGGAACGAGGACCGTTTATTTCCATTTGCTGTACGAAGTATATCAATGTGAATCGAGCCCTGTAAGATACCATTAATTGAGCTGCGCCAAGCCTGGACAAAACAATATTCAACGACCAACATCAACGAGAGTACGAAGTAAAAGCGAGCCGGATCGATGAGATGTAAGTGATCCTTCACTGTCCGACGGCGTGAAAGCTGCAGTTGGAAGGAGGACAGGATTCGAGAACAGACCTTGGGATGCACCCATGCTTCGTATGTGATCTTCAGACTATTCTTGCTTGCATGGGAAGGAGGAAAGAGGTGCGGGATGCATCGATCCAATGCCCATTACGAAGTACTCTGCCTGCCATTACTACAGCTGGGAACACTACGGAGTACACTTCGTACTCCGTACCTTCCCCCAGCAACAGGACATTAGCCGGTGACATGTGAGTGAACTTTGTAGTTTTGTACTAGATCGAGTACGGCAGGCAGAACTCGGGAGACAAAAATCCCAGAGAAAGAGAGACCAGATTCACCAGTGCCATCGGAACGATGTTACCCATGGCCCTTTACGCGATGTCGTAATGCCACTTTGCAGGTGAGCAGCCATTGCCAGCCAATTTTAGTGTTGCGCGGCTCCAGGCCCTATCACGATTCAACACTCGCCCCTCCTTTATCGGCAGCCAAATGCAAGAGGGCTGTAGGAAGACGAGCCGAGTCGCGAGCAAGTACTCGAGAGTCGACGGCCTCTAGTTCGACTGACTGATGTAGAGAAGCGAAGTTACAGTAAGTATACACCAATGCTTCGTACTTGGAATTGTTCTGCCCCGATTTCCTCACTTTCCCAGACCCAGACCCGGACCCAGATCCATGCGGGATACCTGGATTCCTCTCGGGCGCAGTCAAGCAGTTAAGTTGGTCGGCTTCTCCACTCTCCACAGTTCCGCCGTTGCCCCGTGGCATGACTTGCGTTTCTTCATACGAGACCGGGGCTCGAATGATACCTTCCAGCCATTTTCTGATTCTGCCTCGGGCGGACACTTCAGCACTTGTAAGTGTTCTGCAGAAAGTGGAAAATCACTGAGAATCAACTCGCTGGGACGGGGGCTGTGTAACGCTCCAAGAACTTCCACCGCCTCTTTCATCCCGGGCAGATCATCACGCAATGATAATTAATATTACTGTTTCCGGAGGAGGGGAATCAATCTGCTCACACTTTGTGGACGGCTGAAGAAGATTTCAAATCCCGTCTTTCAATCCCGGTCGAGGTACTGAGTATATTGAATTCTTCGGCTACATAGTACGCTCCCTTGAGAGCTCCCGGCACGCCATGGACCAACTGGGCATCGAAGGATTCGATATCCACATCATTGATGGGTCAAGCTGACCCAATTAACAATTGAGGGCAGATTCTTAACCTTCTTTAACTCATATCTGAGAAAGGAAATTGTGAAACTGCCAAGATCTACGAAGTAGAGGTCTCACTGAAATCCGATCTCCCCTTGGCGATATGATGGCCTGGCTCGCTTAATTTGCAGCCGTAATCCGCCAGTTTGCGATCGCGTTTGGCTAAAACAAACGAGGGAGACGAGCGAATGGGTTGATTTCACGGCTATAGTACCAACTGCGAAATAGAGTGTCCGTAGGGTTCGCTGCCTCTTTCGTTCTAAGATTGGCGACGGCGCAGCACTGGATCAATTATCGGTAACTGCATGCGCATCGCGTCAGCAACGATCAAACGGTCTGGTCAGCCTAGGTAGGTGTGGTGTCGTATCAATCTATCTTGATTTTTTCGGTTGAGGCGTCACCCTGTAAACCCCCCCAGAAAATCGGGCAATGTCTGTTAAATAGGGCAGACCATTGTTGCAGTGCGGTTCGTGTCGACTCGATGGTGCATGCGGGTACTGCCACGCCCAGACTCCTTTCTCAGGCAAGGCCTTTCCAACTATCGTGAGCTTCTGGCACCATATTTTTGCTATCGTTGCCCATGTATGCGTAGGCTCCTCTGTCCATGCCCGTTTTTGTCGGCTCCGGGATAATAGTGTTGAAAACGGAACGCGAGCCATTTGACCATGAATGCGGGCGGGATTTCGTCTTCATCAGCGGTCCGTCCACTAGGTCCGTCCACTAGGCGTCGTCATACATAGGCCCCGTTGCTGTTCAAGCTCGCCCGGATGCCTGCCCCTCAAGAACAAGGGTCTTTTAAGTTTCCGGAAGCCCGCTGAGCAATTCGCACAGCGACCCCCATCTCCTGAGCAAGGATGAACAAGACCGGGGATCCAAAACTAAGTTAGATTCAAATGGGAACTCGTATAACCCCTCTACATTTTGTATGTTTGCTTCAGTTCGCTTTGCTCGTGTTTCCAAATATAAGTTCGCCTTTTTAATACTGGATGGGCAAATCCATTTGGCGAAGAGAAACAAAGTTCGATGTTGTATCCTGTCGTGGGACAGACGCCGCCCAAAAAGCCCACTACATAGACACCAACAATCACTCAAACATCCCTTACTCCCTTGCATCAAACTCGCCGTAAGAGAATTCCTGGAATGTGATCAAAAACTTGGAATTGCAGATGTTAGCCAGGAACAACCACCGACAACCTGCAGTTCTCACGACTCATTGCCTTCCCCCACCCACCATCTTCGTTCGTTCCCGGAATAGAAACACTCACAGAGGTGCGTGAGCCAAGACTCCGTTGGATTGTACCAGCAGAGGGATCATATCATGACGAAGTACTTAGTATCTTTGTTTCTCGCGATGCATCGAGCTGCAGTCTCCAACTCCACAGCCACAACCACGGGTCGGAATATCGAACATTCCCCCAATCACAGCCCGGGCGGCGTGTACGACGTCTAATCTTGGCTTAGCTCCGAAGTGGATAAAGAATCCAAAATGTGACGCTTGATACTGCTTTGCCCGGCACCATCGGCGTTAATTCCTTCCGTACTTATAGTTTACGTCTCAGTTGTGCGTGGCGTAGATCTGCCAGTGTGCCGTCTTTTGCTGGATCGCTGATATCATACAGCTTTCCTCTGTTTCTTGACATTTTTGTGTCTTACTTCCTATTCTTGTCCTGCAGCCGAGTGGAATTGGTGCGGCGCTTATTACGACACCCTTCTCTCGCTCGTGGTGTAGTATTTCTGTGAGAGATACAGAAGGATTGTCAGACCCAACTCGCCCAAGACGAACTAACTGAATCAACTTGGTTCTGGGTGGTGTCCAACAGCCGCCGTCCTAGTTCCGCTCTTCCGAGGTGAGGATTTCAAGACCGCCTCCGTACGTAGTCTCTTGCATAAGGGCCCCAAAAGCCATGGCTCGTATTTCGAGAATAGCACGTCCTTGGACAAGAGCGAACACCAACACGAACTAGTCTTCCTCAAAACGCATATCCGCCCAACAGGCCAGGGTAGTGCCTCCCCGTGGACAGAGAGCTAAGGGCGAACTATTGCCAAGCGTTTTCTCCAACCTCCCCCGTACCATACCTCTCGATGCGCATCATCGGTTTGAAGTTTCATCCACCCCCACACTCCCTCTTCTTTTTCTACAGTAATTTGCCCAGAAACTGCCCATCTCTTCCTCGTATGATGTATGTACGAAGTAGGTTGATCGTCGAAACGCCCCGAGTCAACGCGAAGCTGACACTTCGTGGCTGAGCCACGAGCCACCGCATCACGATACCCTCTCATATCAAGGCATTTATTTTCCTTCAGATCCCAAGACCCAGATTTCAATATGCAGGGCCGTGGCTGAAACAAAGCCACCAAGTGGATATGCCACTAGCGAGGCATACTGTCCTGCATGGAGAACACCCTTGTTGCTGATGACCTTTGCTAAGTCTTTGGTTGCTTGCGATTCGTCTCCCGTGGGCGGGATATTTGCACTCAAACCTTGCCCCAGTCATCTGTTCTAGTCTCTGGAGATGTTCCCTCTTGCCAAGATATTTGTTCATGTTCTTGGTAGGCCTGACGATTTTCATCCGTGTTGTAAGGCATGTGTCGTTCATCTTAAGCTTGAGTCTTCACTGCACCTGTTACATGCCCTCAGTCTATCACACAAAACCATATCCAGAAAATAAGCTTCGAAAATAAAACAGTTCCTCAAAAGATAGTCAATGGCTCCATCTGCACCTCAAACATTCAATGTAATGACCCATATTCTAATAACGAGGATGGCTGGTAACCTGCGAGGGTCAACCCACAGCCTCCGGAATCGAATCCGGCAATCTCGGCTCCCGATATCCAACCTCTCACCGGTCCAAGTCCATCCATTCTCGAGAACCTGTGCACCCTCCTTGTCCAAGCCATACATTCGCTTCCCGATGCTGCCGATGCACCGCCGCGTAGAACCTCCAGGCAAGGCTGAAACGTCAGATTGAAGAATAAAAAACGGAGATAGGATATTGTCGTTCACTGGTTGTGGCTCGCTGAAGTTAGGCACAGCCTTTTCGAGTCGTCTTGAGCCTCCCACTCGGCCCGATCCGTTGCATTCATATAGCCCCAATGTCTAAGCCATATCTAGGACACCTCGTGGGCCCTCAAGTTAGGTGTTATCGCCAGCGTTGCGAGTATCGATTGAAAAAACGAGCACAGCTAAGAAAAGCTGTACCAGAGGTAACATCGGTCATCAGAGCAAAGAGGAGATGCATCTCGATACGGGTATTGTTTTACAGCGATTGCCTGCAGGTGGAAGAGTCCTTGGAGTGGGAACTGATGGAAGTGCGCTCTATATCGACCAACTTTTAGTCTTCTGTAGTTTATATCGTAGTTTATACCTAACGCATCGAGGTTACCAGTTCACCCAAAGCATCAAGAATGTGAGAAAAGACAAGTAAAATAGTATACGAGGTTTGTCCTGTTATACATGGTACACGACCGGCTACTCCCCAATCCTTCCCGTATCGGTCTCGTCGCCCCTTCCAAAATCATCCGAGCAAACGAATCCAGGTCGGCGCGGGAGGCCCGGGTCCGGGGTCACGCACCATTCCTTCCAACAATACCGAAAAACATGGTCTAATGGTCCCTTCTCACGCCCAGCAGCCCGTTCGCGCCCTTCTAGGATCCGATGGAGGTAAAGATGTCCGTCACCGACCTGATGCCACTTTCCTGAGAGAGATGATGCCGAAGATTTGGGCAGAAGACGAGTTCTTAGCGGCTTCTATCCCTTTAATCCAGCGAGCTCGTAACGTTGGTGAACTCGCCTTTCTCCAACTTCGTCTTCCAGAAGATAGGGTTCGTATCATTGAAGCCATGCTTCACCCATCCGGCCTCCTTGACATGGTACAGGTTGATGTAACCACCCGAATAAGCATCCCTATGCGTCGCCGCAAGGATACTCCTGCTCCCCAACTCCAACGCCTCCTCATCCGTCAAATCGTATCGGTACTCAGCGTCCAACACACCATAGGCAAACGTCTGTCCGCTACCAACGCAGAAAAGGTTCCCCTTCAACCTCGTCCCATCGCTGTCGACATAGTACAGCGCGGGGCCTTCCTCCTTGGTGACGCCAGCACACATGGTTCCCATGCTCAGACCCATGCCCTTGTACGAGTAGACGAGGTTCGCCAGGATCTTGGACGCCGCCGCCACCGAGATGCGGCGCTTGTGTCGGAGCTCGTGGAGACGGCACTGCATGCCCAGCCAAGCGAGCCAGTACTGGCAGTCGGCGGCACCACCAGCCATGGTGCCTAGAAGGACAGAGTTGATCTCGATGACCTTCTTGACCGTCTGCGAGGCGATCCAGTTGCCGGCCGTGGCTCGGGAGTCTGTGGCTACGATGATGCCGCCCTGGAAGAGGAAGGCGAGCGTGGTGGTGCCGTGGGCGATCTTGATGGGGCATTGCGGGTTCGATCGGTCGTCGGTCGCTGAGCGGAGCCAGGCTGAGGGCTGTTTGATGAGGCGAGGTCAGCATTTTCCAGTATCATTTCATCTGCAGTGGAGGAAAATGCCAACCAGCTTGAATACAGGTGAAATCGGCAGAGATAGAGAGTAATGAAGAAGTTGGAGCGTATGAACTTACGTGAGTAACTGGAGGCATGGCAAACTTGAGGGACAGGGCAGGGTTCTCAGCGCCCATGATGTCCATTTCCTCCTCCTCGCCGAACTGCTCCTGCATCATGGCCGCAGGACGGCGATACTTGGCTACTAGTGCGTCCATCTCGTATGATATTTAATTGACGACAATGATACCGGTGGTCGGAGGTTCGAAAGGCTATGGGAGCGGAAAGGCCAAGTAGGTGATGATCGATGGATCTCTATCGGAAGGGTAGGGCGAATGTTGGAGAATTATTATCGGAAAACGAGGAACTCAATAATTCGGTGGGATCAGAGTAAATTCAAATTGGTTTAATACAGAGTCTTGATGTCGGGAATCAAGAGAAGGAAACGTGATGGAATGACCGACGAAATAGTTGTGTGGTTGTTGAGCGGAACTTGGGTGACGAAGAGTCAAGAGCTCAGGCAGCTTCTGAGCGCGTCACCTCGACAGCTGTGCTCCTTCCTGTTCCTGCTCACTCACAGCAAGGCTACCATGTACTTCGTACCCGTCCAAGCACTCTGCATAGTCCGTGGCGTCTGTGGCTGATTGATCAGGCTGGTGTAAACTCACGTGATCAGAATCTTGACACTCTCACAGAGCCTGAAGACGCCGTCAACTCACATCAAGGGATCTTGAGTATTTGAAATGGAAAATGGAAAATGGAAAATAGAAATAGAAATAGAAAATGTATATCATGGAATTATTCCTATCATAATCGTGTCTAGGTTTGCCTTAAAAATCCTTCCGCTATCGCCGTTCTTTCACAGTTCCTCTCATCGAGCCTTGAAACCAATCTCGCTCACCCTTCCAGGTAGAGCCATCACGAACTCACTCTCAACTAACCGAACATGAAATAAATTTTCATCTTATTAAAAAATTTTTGCTCCAGGTAAAGAACACGGCAGAAAAGGACCCAAAACACAAGAAAACAAAACAAAGAGTGTTGCGACTAAAATAGAAAGCACAAAAACGAAGTAAAGAAAGAGAGGAACAGAGAAAAAGGAAATCCCGGTAGTCATAACATGCATCATATCCCTATAAGTCCCGCCAATTTTTCACCACGGACGAGCTTCTTCTTCTTCTTCTTCTTCGAGAAGCGGCCCCCAATTCTATACCGCTAACCACCACTGATGTATTAAATTACTCCGCGATGGGAGTCGTCTCCCTACTGCGTGACTCCCGCTTGCTGAGGAAACCCCTCTTGAGCCCGGAAGACTTGGGGCTATCCGTAGGCGCCAGAGAGTCCGAAGTTGGAACGAATGAGCTCTTGATGACGACGGTGCCCTCGTTTATCTTGACCTGCTTCTCCTGACCGCTACCGCTGTCATCGATGAAGAACATCGTCTCGCCCAGGTCATCATCGCTTCGTAGCTTGTGGTGCTCCTTCACTTGGATCTGGAAGACGGCGTCAGGTTGGCAGACGAACTTGAACGTCTCATCAAACTTGAACACGCCGTCCGACGCGTCGCGGTGCTTGGTCTTGCCCACCGTCTTCTGTTTGGGCGCCGTCTGGAAAATCGCCACGTAGAGGTCATCTGAAGTAGGGAAACCGCTCGCCGAAATGACGTTGAAGGTAGCTGTACCCGACGCCACACCCGGAGGAAGCATGCTGTTTATCGAGGCTTGACCTATGCTCTTAGTGCGAGAGTGGCCCAAGCTGCTGTGCGCCGTACTGGGCCTGGCAGCGCCATCGGCGTCTGCGAGGGAAAGTCCGGTTGCGCGCTTCATTCCGAGACCGGGAATACCGCCACCACCGTTAGTAGTGATTGTGGGCACAGGCACCTCGGGGATACTTGGCGTCGAGGATCCCGAGTCATCATCCTTCTTGCCCCTGAAACCACGCTTGATGAACGAGGCTCCCTTGCCCACGCCGTGGCCAACGGCTCCAACTGCCTTGACGGGCACACCCGCAACACCGGTAACAACGCGACCGGGCGCTGAGGCGAAAGTTCCGGCGAAAGTCGAAGTACCTTGGCGCTGTCGAGTGACATACGACGGTCGGAAGACCATCCGTAGCTTCACCGAGCCAGATTTAGCATCGAGCAACACCCGAGTCTCCATTGGCCTAAAAGGCTCGAGTTCCGAAAGGCTGATGTCAGCCTCACCAAGGGGATCCGGCTGGCTCGCGAGATCCCAGTCCCAGACAGAGAGGCGGAATTTGGCCCCCGTTCGAGATGGCACCGGCACTTCGAAGTACTCGTTCCATACAGGATTCAACGTCTTCTTGATTGTCTTGGTCTTGTACACCTCCTGCCCGTTGAGATCGAACTTGCAGTAAGGATCGCTCTTGCCGTTCGAGTCGGCAGCCTGAAGATCCTGGGCCTCGATCACATCGACACGAAGGGTGCCCATGTTGTTGATGCTCTCGCTGGGATCGAGCCGCATTTGGATGGGGACGTACTTGAGGCTAATCTTGATAGTGCTGATGCCACCATCTTCACCCTTGAGCTTGAGCGTCGTGGGGTTATTCTGGAACAACATGTTAGTAAAGTAATTGTACACTAAGTGGAAGTTACCAGAACAACGAGATATGCCTTACCAAGCACTGCTTCAAAGTATCCAGGGTGTTACCGCCCAATCGAGCAATGACATCATCCTCGGCACCCTCACGACGCTTGTCACCTTTGCCTTCCGTCACTCTGAGCGTCAGCCGAGAGAAGTCGAGCTCACGAATCACGCAGTCGCCAACTTCCTCGAATTTATGCGTCCTAGACCTGGCGACTGATGACACGTAGGATGGGAAGGCCATATCATCAACGAATACCTCGACGCGGCAATTACTCCTCTGGAACTCCGCATCCATGAGGCGGAAGATGAGGAGGCCAGTTTCGTGCTTCAGGAGCTCCTCCGGTGTCATGCGAATCTTAGGAGGCTCTGGTCGCTCCTTCTTAGGATGGCCATTCGCGGTCGGAGTAACTGGCGTTCTAGGAGTTCTGGGGGTGCTTGGCTCGCCATCGACTGCAGGAGCCTCGAGACTAGGTCGACTCTTGGCCGTCGAGATGGACCTGAGATCGGACGAGGGCCTCGGGCTCGGAGTTTTGCTGACAGTTCCGTTGGCAGCTCCATCGGGGGTTCCGTCAGCAGCCGCCTCACCAGCAGCCGCCTCCTCTTCTTCGTCTTCAGGATCAGCGATGTTGAGGCAGGGGTAGAACGATACGGTGTAAGTCAGACGACCCTTCTCGATACCCTTGCCGTGGAGACGGAGACCATCCTTGTGCACTTCCTTTTCATCATGAACGAGGTATTCACCGTTCTCATCCTGGTGAATATACTTGCTCGTCTGGACTTCGATCAAACCAAGGCTGCGATCTTTACCCATCTTCTCGGCATCCATGACATCAAGGGTAAGTCTCTCGCGAGATGAGTGGACAGGGACGTAGAGGACTTCGTCCCACTCGGGGTTGAGATCGTTTTGGAAGGTGACAGTTCGGGCCTTTTCGATTCCAGACTGCAGGACGCGGACATAGGGATCCGACTTGCCCATAGCCTCAAAGTTACGGAGATCGTTCGCGCGGATAAAGTGGAACCTCATAACACCGATAGGCGTGACGTAGCCTCCAGTGCCGGCCATGACACCAGAGATAACAACGGGCTTCCATTGAGCCTTCATCTTCACACGGCCGGTCTTGGCGTTGGAAAGCATGAACCACTCCTTGCCTTCTTCGGTGCAGTCGAGAAGATCGGTGAGCTTAATCTGGTATTTTCCGAGGGTTTGGTCGCCGGCCAAATCCCTGTCGTCCTTGATAGTGACGCCGAGTTTGGCATGCCTCTTGTCTGTGATGAGCATTTCCTTGTAACCATTGTCCCAGATGGGATTGTTTGTGCGCTTCAACTTCTTGGTAGCATGGACGTCATGGCCGTTGAGGTGCAAAATGGCATACGGGTTGAGTTGGCCGACAAGACTCTTGCTGCCATCGAGTTCCTTCGCCTGCTCGACGGTGAAGCGCAGAATACCCTGATTAGATTCTGGGGGCGGCTCCTCCGTACCATCTTCGTTCTTTTGACCGCTAAGGACGGGGAAGAATCTAATATCGCAGGACAAGATACCACGAGCCTTGCCGTCGGACGTAACCTCGAGTCGCTCATTCTCATACTCGGTAATCTCCTCGAGATTTTCAAGAGGGAACGAGGCAACACCGAGCTCTTTGTGCTTTCTGATTTCATTAAAGTCAAAGACTTGCATGCACAAAGTATCGTTGAAGGTGGTGACAATGATGTAGTGGGTCTCGTTCCATCGTGGATTGGCAGTGTCTTTGATGACCTTTGTCCTTGCGAGCTCTGTTCGCCTGTTTAAGGTAAGGACGGAATAAGGATCGACGGTGCCAGCGAAGTTGTCCGTGTTCTTGAGGCCCTGTGCACCATGGATGGTGACGGCGAGTACGCCGATGGCCTGGTCGACAGGAGTACCCGACAGCATCTTGGCGACCTCGATGGGGAAGACATGCGGGGCATACATCATGGGGGCAAGGTTTCCGTGAATCTGCTCGAGGATGAAGCTCTCCAAACCGGGAATAATGTTGATGTCAAAACCAAACATTTCACCGCCAAGAGGCTTACAGACATAGTCGATGGTGGGTCGCTCGAGGAAGCACATCTCAACCTTTTCGATATGGGGGAACGGAATCTGGAACTTGATCTTGAGTCGCATGAGGCCTGAGAAAGCCATATCTTCAACAATAACGTCAAGGCCCTTGCTAATCATCGCCTTGCCAATTCGGATCTCGAGAACGACCTTGGGGTTAATCTTGTTCTTGATCTGGCGGGAGGTCATATCGGCCGTGTCATTGGGGGTGAAGCTGAACTTCCAGTCCATGATGACGACATCGTCCTCGGCCTTGGGATAAGTCTTGACGTGCTCCATCCGCGGCGGCTTGGAACCGAGAGTGAAGGTCTTGAGCTTCAAGCTATCGAGGAAAGCAGGAGTGGCGGTGCTGAGAACCTGGTCGACCGAGTTGATGATGGTCTGGGCGAGGACAGGTTGGTAGATCGGCCAGAACTTGACAAGGAACGAATTGATCCATTCTAGGGATTCGGTATCCGTGTCGAGCTTCTTGAGCGCCATCTCGCGCGTGATGTCGTCGCGGAAGTTTCGTCGCACGCGCCGAAGAGAGGTTCTGTAGTAAGTAGCGCAGAAGGCCATAATGATGAAGACCCACCCAAGGCCACCACCCAGCACCGCGACAAGCCACGAAAACAGACAAGCGAAGACGATGACGGCGGCATTATGGTACCAGTCTACATCCGTCAAAAGTTAGAATATCCCTTCTTGGTTACGGACAGGACACATGGCAGTGTGTAGAGTAAACTACTACTAACCTCCATAGAGATGATTAGGGAGGCTATCCTCCAACCAGGTAGAATGATCTAAGAGGCTCTCGCCTTCTTGAACACCCTCCGCTGGCCAACCGAATTGTGGCGCCCAACCGGTCTTGGAGAAGGGAACCTCGCCAGATTCCGGATCTTCGCCGTCCCTGACGGGCCTGCCTTCCATATCCTTGGGTACATCCAAAACTCCGGCAGTTGTGGCCTCGGGCAGGTCAGTGACAGGCATGCCGCTCTCGTCGGCGTCTGTAATGACGGAGAAGCCATGGGGTCGTTGGAGGTCTTTCGGGATAGCCTAGAAAGCGCCAGGAAGAAAGCCAGGTTAGCCTGTGGTCTCAGAATACCACTTTCCGAACGGCTGAAATAAGATTGGGAAAAAACTTACAGCTCGTGCCTTGGCTCGCTTCTCCTCGAGGGTGGCGTCAGGGTCGAACGTAAACGCAGGCACACCAGCATTCCTGGCTTCTTCTACCATCCGCTCCTGGGCTCTGTTAGCGCTGGCGAGGGCGGCTTCCTCCTGGGCCTTCGCATTTTCAACGGCGGCCGCTTGCCCGACGTCCACCGGATCTTGTTCAGTCCCCATAATGGCGATGAATTCGGCGCCGACCGCGACACCGAGTATGGATGTCTCCTCTCGATCGAAGCTGGAGGCTAAACCGTTCCGCTAGAAAGATAGACTAGTCCTTCTCGTCGGTCTCGTTATCACTGCATCCAAGTGCGTACCCTTCTCTGTCGAAGGATCAGATGCTTAGCGCAACCCCCAATTGAATCTGCTGGGAGCTGAGGCAATGTAACAGGAATGGCGCGAACAAGGGGAATCGGTTCGCGGCCTCGCAGAAACTTGTCGCAGGAAATTGGGGGAGTATGGTTTCGTTGGGGACTTGGGGGAAAAAAAGAAGGAATGGAAATGAGAGGGAATTGGGATGAGCTAGCTTGAGGAGGCCGAGATGGCCCTATAGGCAAGGCAGCTGGGTCAGAAAGTGAAATTAGGACAAGGGTATGTTGAGGACGACCTGGCTAGCCAAGCTCCATCAGTGACGTGATCCTTCTCTCAGCTTTGGCTTAGTAGCTAATTAGCTGGCCGTAGCCGCATTCTAGTTCTTGCAGAAGGTAACAAGGGATAAGAAACAGGATGCACTTGTAGAGAGGAGGGAGAAAAGAAGAAGAATAAAGGAAAAGCGGAGACAGAGATGGAGACAGGATAAGAGCAGAGGCACAAGGGAACATGAAGTGAAGGAAGGTCGCTGAAAGCAGATGCACGTCAATTCCAAGATCTTGACCCAATTTGGCTCAAGCTGGATTGCAGCACGACGTAATGCCAGCTGTGCTGGGAATGATTGATACAAGGAACATTGGTGAACTGTGCCTGTCTAGCTTAGCTGGCTGGGGTCTGGTGAAGTATTGAAGTACTTCGTACACCACTATGTACTCAGTATGCACCTGGTATCATTAAAGATTTCTCTCGTCAATGTTACGTCGTACTAGGTACCTGCACAGCCTCCAGCATCCATACAGTGTGTCTCCATCAACTCCAGAGTCCACAATCAGTGTGAGTTTTGTTTCCTCTGTGTGTTCCATGTTCGTTTGTCAAAGGAAGAAATTCAAGCTCAAAGCCCAACTCATCAAAGAGACATCGAATTTCAGCATTAAGTGGCACCTCGAAGGTGGTCTCCCAAGCACCAATTGATAAGCGCTGATCCGCGCAGTTCTACTACTTGGAGGTCGTACTTAATGGGGGAGGCCAATCTTGCCCGATGGGTTAGTATGAGTTGATATCCTGCAGCCTGAGTATACCTATCTATTGATGGATGTGTTTCAACAGAAGCCCATCCGTCCGAAGCAGTGTCTGAATTCTTATTGACCATCGACCCCTCTGAAAGTTTGCAGGTGTGGACAAAGATGAACTCATTCTCAAATTAAACTGCTGGTCCTACATGGGCGAATCCCGCCGTTATTGTTACATGGCCAGATCACTAAACTTACTAGCGACCAGAGTCTGAACATCTGAACCTAGATTCAAGATTACACAGTGTGGCCCTGGGGTCCTGAAGCCACGAAACAGGGACAGAATGTAGAAGCGACCTGGTCGCCAGCAGCGTGGGTTCCCTCCAGAGAGTAGGCCTTGTCGAGGGGGTTCAGTGGTATTCTCGAGCGGAGATCGGACATGAATCCCGACGTTTCTGGGCATCCTCGCCTGATTGACAGTCGATCGGCAGCTACGAAAACCATCAACAAGCCCAAAGGTATTAATCGTCGGAGTTCAAAGGAGGAAGCTCATGACTGAACTAACGAGTTTCTGCGAGCGCCAAGCTCAATTTGACAACTTGTCCCCCAGAAGAGGTGGTCGGTCAGTCTGCCCCAAGCCCCCTCAGCGGCTCCACAAAGGCAGTGCACTCAGCTCTCGTCCTAGTGTCTGGTGTCTGCTGGGAGAAGTAATTTTACTTTGTTGTGGGAAAAAACGTTAAAAATTGCCACTATCACACAGGTGACAGAAGTATCGACATGAAATTGGGCAAATGTAAGTCCGCAGGAGCTGGGGTTACAACATGTTCCCAGCTTCCGTTGCTGGCTGTCGATCCGGGCTAGTTCCAACGCGCTGGACCCCAAAAACCCTAGGATGATGACCATTGGTCCTGGGTGTCCTGGGTCGTTCGGTCTTGGTACGCACTGGAGCTTGGAAAAATGCAAGACGCACAGGGTAAGCCCGATTCGATGCTGGGGTTTGCGGGACTGCCGAATTGTAGTGTACGAAGGAAGAGCGGAATATCAGTGGGTTCTCCGAACTCTCCAACCCTACTCGTGCCGAGCTGCACAAGGTTGCCCAAGCGGATGGACAGACCGAGATACTTCAATGTCGTGAATTGGACCCAACCACTTTAGCCACTCGGTGTTAGTTTCACTCTCAGCTGGTCAAGGGTGCCGCCTCTAATGTACTACACCTCCAACCCACCTCCAGCTGTCGCTAACCCGCACCCTCCCCGACACTACGCTCTCTCTCTCTCTCTCCCCCCCCCCCCCCCCGAAGTAATCTATGTACACTAGTACATACCCATAGTGTACCTCAGCATCCCCACATAGATTGACAGACCATGAAGGGTCTTGCCGCGCAATCCCTTCCAAATAGATAAAAGTGCTAAATCCCAACCACACCAAACGAGTAACTTCCAGACGGCGCACACCTCGGTATGCCCGTGGACTCTGTTCTTTGAACCGTCGTGGGACGAACAATTGAACAGGAGATATTGATATCCACACTCTCCGGGACTTGCGATTCCTCCGCTGCGGGAGAAGCGACATATTGCAAGTTCAAGGTTCATCTCCAGTCTAAAACCACCAAGCGATCGGCGATCTTGACAGACGTCCAATCTCTCCCAGTCCTTGGACAGCCTCTTCCCGATGACCGGTTGATGTCAGAGTGCCGTCAACTTAGTTTTCTTTGTACGTTTATTACTCGGTTGGCATCATTGGGTGTTGCGGTCCGTGCATCCCGCTGGCTCTACACTAGTGTACTGAGGTACCAACTAAGAGTTCAATCCGCCACTATCACGGACGACTAATGTTTGGGATGGAACATTCCCCGACGTCAGATTTGCTCAATTGCCCTTTTCTTTGCCTTTTCTTTTTGGAGCTTGCAACGACACCGCAAAGCCTCTGTGAAGTGGGCTAGTGACTTCATCTATGATTCAACTTCAATCTTCCCATACAAAGTAAACAGAAAGAATCAATATTACTATACGTACTTCTGACATCAAGGAATAGTCGATCAAGTTTCTCGGAGTCAGATACCCTCCTGTTCAAAAAAATTCGCCTATCCTGGTCAGACCTCTGCCCTAACGATCACTTCCTTGTCGTCAAGCATCGATAGAAACCTCCTGCTGCATATGACACCAAACCTTTCTCGGCTGCCCCTATCAGGTAAGAGTTCCCAAGACTGTGCATCAAATCGATCTTTTTGCAGGTTTAGCCCCGAAGATCTGTGAAGCCCCAAAACCCCAGCCGCACTTTTCACGATATCCCCCCAGCCACTCGAATTTGGCAAATCTTCGTGCACAAAAAAGAAAGGAAGATGCCGAGAGGTAATAAGTCATAGTGTTCTCGCTAATAAGCCACCGAGTTTTATTAGGTTGTGAGGGAATAAAAGTGATGTCTCATGTTCGCGATCGATTTCGCTTATTCCCGCTGTTGCATTCGATCTCGTTAGTCTTATCTGACTTGCAGTGTCAGAAGTATTAAGCCCCCTCCGCCCCCACGTACCAAGTACATTAAGATGCTGACGACTTCGCCATTCATGTCCCCCACCGCATGTAGATTCCTATTCCTTTCTCCCCCTCATTTTCTTTCTTCTTCTTCGGGGTAGTTTATAAGTTTATTGTACCGAGGGGTATGAATTGGTTTATGGATATGGGGCCGAGACAGCGAACTTGACCGTTGGTGCGGTCTTGGGCAGATGGGGATGATACCTTCCTTCACCCACACACATAATATAGAGGCACATCTAGCAGTGCCATTCGATGAGATTTCTATTTCCTATCCACTAACACCACTATGCTCTCCTAATTGCTCTAGAATCAATGAGCGGAGGTTGCGATCCACTATCCCAAGGGTATGGGGAATCCTACTAGCTTCCCACCGCAGAAGCCCCTACCAACGGACAGAGTCTGGACATGTGTTTGTTTAATCTGACATCTATAATCCCGTCATCGCCAGGTGGGTAAGACAGCGAAAAATTAAGGAAACATGACACGACATAGTCAATCAAAGAAAAGAGGCGGAAAATACAGCCACCCACAACAAGAAACTCCTAACCAAAACCCCAAAAATTCCCACAAACACCAAGAAATGTATAAAGGCCAGAGGTGAGAGATCACAAAAAAAAGTCTCAATAACCGTAACTATCATGCTGGTGAACGGGGCAACGACCAGGGTGGTTAACAAACCATGCTGATATGCACCTCCGGTGAAAACGACAGAGACACTCCAGTCGCGCCATGGGCACGCCAACCTCGAATTCCTCGAGGCAGATCGTGCACTCGGCCGAGTCGACGCAGTCCTTTTCTGTCGCTAGGTATGGGAACATGCCCGTTCGTCTTATGGACCTGGGGGAAGCGAGGGCCGTCCCGTCTCCAGGAGATCCGCCGCCCTCGCCCGCGGCGCTAGTACTACTTCCATAGGCACTATGAGAGGCAATGCAAGAGGTAATATGCGATTCTCGCAACGCCTCAAAGTTAGGGAGGGTGCGAGACGGCAACTCTCGGTGGCAGACCGGACATTCGTCCTCCTCCGGAATTTGCGGAGTGGGCGGTAATGCTCTTTGGCTTGAGGAAGATGCGGTCGCAGAATCCCTGACCGCGCGGTACCTCATCCGGGAAGAAGGGTGCTGGGATGTCGATGCCGATGCCGATGATGAATAGTAGACAGGCGGGGTACCGGCGAGAATCTGGTTCTCCGTCGACGTGAAGGGGCGTCTAGACCCCGAGGCGGCGGGGTAGTTCTGCCTCCAAGTTAGCAATGGAACCCATCAATTTGACCACAAAATTCTCTAGGCCTAGAAATGCTCACCATTGTAACGCTTCGACCACGTGAGTAAGGGTCGCTCAGCGCATTACCCATAATGCTCTGAGATCGATGCCGAGATCGAGGCGAGTGTTGGTTTGGTGACGTCACCGTTAAAGGAGGAGTCGTGTTGGGATCTGGTACACATGGGTTACAGAGTCTTACGCGCTCTCCTCCATCACCGTAGGGTAAGCCGTCCTCACCAAAGTACAACTGGGACATGCGCACTTGGCTAGGCGGCCGCACGATGTACTGGTATGGAATGGTGATTCTATGGGGAGAGCATGAATTGCACACTACGCGCCCGCATTTCCTGTAGCAAGCAACGAGTAATGTCAGCTAGGTTGTCCTGGAAGTAAAATGACGAGGCTACGAACCTGCAATGGTGCTTGCGAACAAAGAAGCTAAATTGTGAGCGGCAGATTGGACAGAAAGTGACGTCAGAGTCGGGCTGCCATCGAGGTAGAATGATCTCCGGGGGTTCTTGATAGTTAGATCCCGATGCGAACGTGCCAGAACCCAGAGGATCTCCCCGGTTATGCGAGGAGGAAGGCAACTCTAAAGTGCTTGGACGACTCCTCTGCTGGGGAATTGGCGGGAGTGGAGGACTCGGAAAGCGGCGGTAATGTTGACTGGCGTCGACAGTTTGGGATGCGCTCGTAGTAGGGTGAGGGAGGCTCGCATTTCGGGTGGGTAGTAAGAGGACGGGATTGGAAGCAGCTGGTTCGGGATTTGTGCTCGTGATATCGCCGCTTGTATTCTGGAGAGTAGGTGCAGATGCAGATGCAGGATCGCGGTAGCGTGGTTCCTCTTCTGACTGCTGGACAGGGGATGTCGACCTCGAGGCCCTTTCCTGTTCAAGAGAGCTAGTGTCTGACACATGTTCGCTGTCGGAGCTTCTTTGCTCATTACCGGAGGATGGGACATCATCGTGCCCGGGTCCAACCGTATCTTCCCGCTGACTCAACGACCCGGACTCAGAGAGACGACGTTCGACGAGGTGTGTCGGACAGTCAAAGTATCTCGAGCACTCTTCGTCATGAAACTCTTCTGTCCTCCATGGACAATTGAAATTCGGCACGGCAGGAGCGTCGCTGCCTATGTAAGAGCTCCCTGAGGAGGAGGACTCGTGGTCGTCTGCATCATTGATGTCGGCCGAAGGGTCGGCCGGGGGGCTGCTGCCCTCATCGGCAGAAGTGGGCATTCTGACGCATATGGGTGGGACGGAGTACGGCAATCGTTATCGATCGTAGATCAGTCGGATGGTCTATCACAGGGCGGAAAGCGAAACGAATTAATAAAAATCCTTATTGACCAACGCGGAGAGGCGCTGTCGAGGACTACTGCCTCTCTGATTGCGGGCACCTAAAGGAGGAGGATCGTGATGGTCAGTCAGTGTGGAAGATGCGCAGCGTCGAGGGGACGGAAGGCAGGGCGGCAAGGCTGAGATTCCGATAACATTGGAAGTGGAATTAAGGATCCCGGTAGGACTTACGACATTCGCCCCAAACTTAGGAATCCAAGGCGACCGCGAAAATTATTTTGGGAGATGGTGAAGGCTTGTGGCGAAGTCAGAGTCGCGTGTCTGCTGTTGTTGGTTGTTAAGGAGTGGTCAAATCGGATGGAAGCCCCGCCTATCTTTTGCAACACTTGCCTGGTCGTCAATGTTATTAAGACGACCGCTAGTTGGCTGTAGCCGCCTGAGGATTAGCGTGCGTCAGAGGAGTGGCATTGGCTTGGCACTCCTGTTACTTCACCGTGTGAATACCGTACAAATACGAACTTCGCACCTTCAACTGCCAAGCCCGCCTGCACTTTGGCTCCTGTATTAGTAGGACACTCCGGCAAGCATGATAATCGAGATACTCCGTAATACAGGTAGCGGGGTATCATTTCTCCAATCTCAAACTAAAATAGAATACGATCGCGAATGGAGGCACTCATAAGAGCCCGGGTTCATGCGGACTGGCATTGAAGTCCATGAATCCAGGCCGGCATATCCGGGTCGCCCTCGAGAGTAAAATCACCAGTTCGATAGCCAAAGATTATTTGACTAAAATATAGCTCGATAGGATTAACCTTTTAGCTTCGAAAATAGTGAGGTAGGTCTGTCTATGATTACACTACTTAAACAGTCAGCTTCTGATAACTTCGGACCATTATCGCTTAACGTACATCACCTCCTACCAAGAAGAGGTTTCTACTCAGACCGAGGGAAGCAAGATACTTTTAAAAACCTACTGAACTTGAGAGGGGGAAACAAAAAAAGTGCACAGGGTGGATTCGAATAAGGGAACCCCAAGACGATGGCCGAGAAATTCACGCACGGTATCTTCAGAACACCGTTCCCAAGAGTTGAAGTATCTCGGTGGCTAGAATAATGAAATTACTAGCTAGAAGGGGAAAAAGCAGAACATCACTTTTTCCTCCTCCGATCCGGCCGGTTTGGCCTGAGTGGCCTCCACGCCGCCCCCTCGAACCGCGTAGTTCAGTTATGAGTACGGGGATCTTCCATCCAAAATTTGAAGCTTACTGCTATCACAGCCGTCTAGGCACCGTGTTTCTTTCTTCAAACAGTCGCCCGCGAAATGACAATCTACCTTTCCTTAGGGCATAGAATAATGTCTATTGATGCACCCTGTGATGGGTATCATGTCTTCTGCAACATGTCTCGATTTTGTATGCAACATCTTTGTAGTGTCTCTAGTGATGAACATGGTATATCCCATCTGACAGATCCTTGGGACATGGTGGCCGAAGCAAAGGGCAACATGTTACTCGGTCCTTAAGAACGAAGGGTTCGATTGCGCTGTGTCAATCGTCTTCGCCATCTAGGGAAGAAATACCTACTCCGTAGATCAGGAAGTGGGTGCGAATTCCACTCCGGATTCTCAGTGGTCTACTCCGTACGACCCGGAGTTTGGGGATGATAAGTAACATGGCTCGGTGAGACTGTCGCATCTCTGTCCTACCATTGATAAACTACGGGGCTACATATTAAAATGCCTCCTTCGCAGTCACCCTTCGATGATACCGGGGTTGATCCGGGAATAGTACCTTCGCAAGTTCGCAGGGTCTAGCATTCTTGATAACCTTGCCAAAAGCCCTAGACTAATACGGCTGGGTACTATTAATATTTTGGGTCGAAGTCGGAGTCAACTAGGTGTGGGAAATCTGATACATTGCGTACTAAGTGAGGACTAGAGAGAAGACACCATTTAAGTGAATTCGAATGCATTTAGCTGACTGCCTGTCATCGGCGAAGTCGAGGCTTTAAACATCATTGATGTTCGATTGTTTCCAAGTACTTTGTACAGTGACAGTCGTGGAAGAATTCGACTCTCTCGGAGAGACTTGGAGTTCGCAGATACAAACGATTCGAACACGTGTTGGCGACACATGGTCGCGAGACCGAAGCTGAGTGGGACGTGGAAGAGCCAGCAAAAAGAGACTTCATGTTGACGTCTGAAGTGCAAAGTGGCACAGGTACCAGGTACGGTACCAGGTACTCAGTATTGCTGAATTAGGCAAGCACGTTTTAGACTGCGTAAACTTTCTGATGCTTTCAACCCAGCATTTGGGGAATCTCCAGGGTATCATTATTCCTCGGACTTGAGAAACATTCCGGCCCGGAGTTGGGCTGTGGGGAAAGGGAGAGAAAAGATGGGAAAGGTGGGAAGATACTTCGTACAGGGGAGGGAATTACATCATCTTCCACGATCATGAGGTATCTCTCATAAACTAATCTTGGGAGAGCTCACAAGGTTGCCCGCATGGACAGGGCTGAGTGACCTGCTTGTTCGATAGGCCTCAAAAGGGGGTCTGGGGAGTGCCAGCCCAAGCTTGCAAGGAGTATGATCTTGTGGTTCGGGAACCAAGGAAATTACCTGGCCCAGGCCAGCCCATTTTGATATTGATCAATCATTCCATGTACTCCGTAATGCTGGCTGCGCCTTGTCAGGCCCAAGCCTCCGAGGCCATGTTCCAGTTCCACTTTGAGGATGGAGCAGAACACACCCTGTTTGGCGCCAGGCCAGGCACCGCTTCACCATTCCCCAAATGCAATTGCCAGACACCGTTTTACTTTATGGAAAGTTTGCTGCTTATTTCCGTTTTGGTAATTCCTAGAATCTCCCTCTTCTCTTCTCTTTTCTCTATTTTCTTCTCTTCCTTTCTTCTTGCTCTCCCTCCTTTACCGTCTTCATCTTTCTTGCTCCCACGACCCCGACTCGACTGCGAGTGCCGCTGCCCGACTGACGACTGCGACTTACACCCGACGTTTGGTACAAGAGTTTAGGCGCACCAGAACAGCTCGGTCGGTGACGTAGTCTTGTCGTCCACTAAATTGTCCCTACACTACGCGCGAGACCGAAGCTCCTCGCGTCCAGTTTTCCCACCTTGATCAAAGGACTTTACACACGGAGACAGAGGCAATAGAAAGAAAATGTCGCTTCTCTATGACTTCCTCGGCCTCGACCTGGCCGACGAGTCGACTCGCGCGGCGCTCGCCATAGTCGCCATCACCATCCTCGCGACCCTCACCACCATGGCCCTCGCCCGCTCGGTCCTGTATCCGCGCAGACCGTCCGTCATTCCCAATCCCCTACAGACCAAGATCCCGGCGCTTTCGGAGAAGGAGGTCGCCAAGTTGGAATATAAGCCCGATTCGTATCCGGGTGCGCGTGATGTTATTACACCGGTACGTTTTACTCAAACCAAAAGCCGTTTGCGATGAATACAGGGAAAAAATAAAGAATGAGGAAAAAAAAAAAGTGAAAGAGAAAGAACCCAAATTGACTCTCCTGTCCCTATTTAGTATGGCAGTATAAGAGTATATGAATGGGGACCCGAAGACGGCCAAAAAGTCCTCTTCATCCACGGCATCTCAACCTCATGCATGACCGTCTCAAGACTCGCCAAAGCCATGGTCGACCGAGGCTACCGCGTAATGCTCTTCGTACGAACTCTCCAACCCCACCCCCAATTCCCGCCTTCTGTCCACTAACACTTCTAAAAGGATCTCTTCGGCCGAGGTTTCTCAGACGGCGTCGGCGATCTCCCCCACGACGCCCGCCTCTACGTCAGCCAAGCCCTCCTCGCCCTCGCCTCCTCCCCGCTCCCCTGGACCGGCACCAACTCCCTCCGCCTCGTCGGCTACTCCATGGGCGGCGGCATAGCTGTGCACTTCGCCAGCGCCTTCCCGCACATGGTCGAGTCACTCGTCCTCCTCGCCCCCGCGGGGCTCATCCGGCCCCAGAACTTCGGCATCGTCAGTCGCGTGCTCTTCCGCTCGGGTCTCGTGCCCGACCGCTTCGTCGGCGAGCTTGCGCGCATTCGGCTTCGGAAACCCATCGCTAGTAGCGTCACGAAGAAGAAGTCGGCTACTCCGAGTCCCAACCGCGCTGGATCTCCCGACGATGTGGTTGCCGTGTCGGCCGACGAGCTCCACACCGCGCTACATCGATCCGGCTCTCAACACCACGACCATCACCACCAGAAATCCATAGCCGACCTGGGCGCCGCCGAGGGGGCCGATCCCCCCAACCCTGAGCACGTCACGGCCCTCGAGAAGCGCGTGCTCGACTACATCGCCTGGATGGCCGAACACCACGCCGGATTCGTCCCCGCCTTCCTCTCGAGCCTGCGCCATGCGCCCCTCATGGACCAGCACGATTCCTGGGTGAAGATTGGCGAGAGGGAACCCGGATCTACCTGTATCCTCCTCGCGAGGGACGACGAGATCATCAACCCCGACGATTACCGCAGTGATGGCCTTCATCTCGTCGGTGGCGAGGATAGGGTTACTTGGACTCTTGTGGATGGTGGGCATGATTTCGTCATGACGCATTCGAGGCAGATTATGCAGGAGTTGGACCGGTTTTGGGGTGTTAAGGCCGAGCTAGCGAATTAAAGCTCGTCCGCTTCGGATGGAAGGGGGCAGACGTATACGCACCTATTTGTTTATCAGATCCCCCCCCCCCCCCTCTTTTTTTTTTTTTCTTTCTGTCTCTTGCTCTAGTAATTTGCATTGCATGGTGGTTTCGGGCCTGGAGGTTGGATGGACGGGACTTTGGATGCGCGTTGGTGGTATACAGCTTTCTGGCCGTTAAGGAGTGCTAGGCGCATTCTAGATAAGGTTTCACATATTCATGGTCTTTCATACAAGCTTATAATGATACTCTCCTCTTACATTTATGCCCCTTGCAAATATATGCGTGTATTAGAAACTATGGAAGTCGGGAGCAGGGATGTGTTGCTCTATTTCATGCATCGATAAACGCGCTGGAGTGGTGAAAAGAAAAGAAAATGATACAAATACAATAATTCGAGTAACAAGAGGGGAGGCCATTCACACGCGACTCGGTGTGGCTAAAGATCCCCTGAAAGGAAGTGAGGTATCATGGATGAGACAACAAATAAACTTTTTTTTTTTCCTTTTTCGAATGCATCGAATCCCCGAGACCATGACTCGGCCTCCTCCTACCTATCCAGAGCTTGGCTCTGGCACTGTAAAACGGAAAACGTTAGCAGCTGAACTCTCATGGCAGATATGGCACAGGGAAAGGAAGGAAAGGAAAAAGAAACCTACCATATTCCAGTACACACCCTTAGCCTTCAACAACTCAGCATGGCTACCCTTCTCTAAAAGCTTGCCCTCGCCAAGGACGAAGATGACATCGGCATTCTGCACGGTAGCCAAGCGATGCGCAACGACAACCATAGTCCTACCCTTACCAGCGCGCTCGAAGGCCGCCTGAACAAGCTTCTCTGACTCGGAGTCAAGCGAGCTCGTCGCCTCGTCGAGGAGGAGGACTCGGGGGTTGCGGATGAGGGCACGCGCGATGGCCACGCGCTGCTTCTGACCACCGGAGAGAGAAACACCCTTGCTGCCGACATCAGTGTTGTAGCCATCGGGTAGGGACACAATAAAGTCGTGGATCGAGGCGTCGCGGCACGCGGTGTGGAGCTGTTCGTCCGTGATGGTCTCTGGATCGACACCGAGGAGGATATTTTCACGGAGCGTGCCCTGGAAGAGGGTCGGCTCTTGGGCAACGAGTGAGAGGTAGTTACGGTAGGTGTACACGTTAACATCCCGAACGTCTTTACCGTTGACAAGAATCCGGCCTTGGGAAGGATCGTAGAAGCGCTCGAGGAGTGAAATGATGCTGGTTTTGCCGCAGCCGGAGGCGCCGACGAGCGCCGCAAACTGGCCCTTCTCGATAGTAATGTTCAGGCCCTTAAACACAGGAACGTTGCGAGTAGGGTACTTGAAGTGGATATCCTGCAGTTCAATCTTGACACCGCCATCGGTGTCGGGGATACCTTCGTCTCCAGCGACGGTGTCTGTGTTGCGGCTCTCGCGCATGTTGAGGATTCGGTTAGATGCCTCGCTCGCCTGAGCCGCATTCGGGCCGAAACTAAGACCCTGACCTGCGCTCTCGGCGCCTTGGATGACCGCCATCATGCAGATCAAGAAAGAGGTATTGTCAACCTTGCCATCGAGCATGAGCTTACCACCATACCAGAAAATGAGCGCCTGACATCCCAAGCCCGAGCTGTCCGAAAAGGCGAAAAAGAGACTAGTCCACAGAGCCTTGCGGAAAGCGGTCACGACGTGACTTTGTAGAAGCTTTTCGTAACGGGTGGCGATAGTGTTCTCCAAAGTGAGCGACGACACCGTTCTGAACGCTCCAATCGTCTCGGCAGCAAACTTGGAGCTCTCGTCAAACACTTCGTTGTTCATCTTGTCGAATTCGAGTTCGTACTTGATACGGTAGAAGGCGGAGGCCAGACCGATTGGCACCGTGACGAAGAACGCCAGAATAGCCAGTTTCCACGAGAAAATGAAGGCGATTATCAGGCCACCCAAAAGAGAGAAGACGGCCGAGTACACCATTCCGGCGTTAAGACCTGCCATTTCCTCCATCTTTTTGGGATCTCCCGACACTCGGGAAGTAAGGATGCCATGAGCGTTCTCTTCCTGGTCAAAGAAAGAGATCTTTTGGTAGAGTATAGAGGCAAAATAGTCCTTCCGATATGCATCTTCGACAAACTATTAAGCACGGGCTGGTTAGCTTATGTTCCACCGACAACAACATAAACACGAGCGAGGCCATTTCCCGGCTGGAGAGAGGGAGATAGGTGCGCGAAGACTTACTGCTGAAGCGCGTTGGGCGATGGCTACCATGAACAAATACGAGAGTCCGATGGCAACGGCGAAGACGACCCACATCAGAGCCCAGAACCTGCTTTCCGAACTCATCTTGTCCGGATCATTAGCGTAGTTGAAGACGACAACGATCTTAGCGAAGAGCCAGGCCATGATGGGAATACCGGCTATTCAGGAAGCAATGGCTGTTAGAAACATGCTGTTTAGGGAGGCGGCGGGGTTCATATCATACCTCCAACACAAGCAGCGAAGAAGACTGTGAGGGCGAAAAAGAGCCACTGGCTACGCTGCTCGAGAAGAAGACGGCCAAAGCTGGCAAAGAAGGTCCGATGCGCCTCTACCGCCGTTTTCTTCTTCTCACTACCCTCCTCCGTAGCAGATTGCGCACCACTCCTCACGCGGCTCATAACCGTGTCGAGCTTGTGGTCCGAGTCCTCTGAGTCATCATCGGCGGCCGTATCACCGAGATTCAGCTTCTGCGCGAGGACAAGACCGGAGTAAACACCTTCAGGGTTCTCAAGGAGCGAATCGTGGGTGCCAGTTTCGACCACCTTTCCCTTCTTAAGAACGATGATTCGGTCTGCCTTCTTGATGGTAGACAGACGATGGGCGATGGTTATTGTGGTGCGATTCTTGGCGACCTTGTCGAGAGCGGCTTGCACGATCTTCTCTCCGCGGACATCGATGGCGCTCGTGGCCTCGTCGAGGATGAGGATTTTCGGCTTCCTCACGATCGAACGCGCGATCGCAATCCGCTGGCGCTGTCCACCGGAGAGCTTCGCTCCGGACTCACCAACCTGGGTGTCGTATCCCTGTGGTTTGTGGAAGAGAAGTGGTTAGAGACGATTAGCCAGGGGGGCCGGACTAGATATCAACGCTGGAATGTTCTTACCTCGGGCAATCGGTCAATGAACTCGTTGGCAAAGGCCTCGATACAAGCTTCCTTGACGAGTTCGCGCTTCTTCTCCTCAGGCTCGTCCTCCCAAATAGAGCCGATTAAACCATAAGCAACATTGTTGTAAATGGTGTCGTTGAAGAGGAATGGTTCCTGTTGTACCAAGCCGATTTGCGTTCGCCACCAGATAGCTTCGATATCGTCGATTTGAGTCTTTCCACTGATAATCCGGCCGGCATTCTTGACAGGTTCGCCAGTACCATGCTCCTCAGCGTTGTGGGGCTTGTCATCTTCCTCGTCGGAGGAATCAGAATCGGCGGAAACAGCCTTGCCCTTCTTCATCTTCTTTGCTCTGGCCTTGGCCTTCTTCTCTTTCTTCTTCCGTTTGTCCATTTCCTCCTTTCCAATGGCCTTTTCGAGAACGTACTGGTCATTGAGAGAGTACCATCGCTGGATCAAACCCACAATCGTGCTCTTTCCGGAACCAGAAGGACCAACAATAGCTGTAAGCTTGCCGGCTTCGATGGTGAGATCAAGGTCATCGAGGACTTTAACATGGGGCCGACTCGGGTAGGCGAAGGTAACCTTCTCAAAGATAATGTCGTCATTTGCCGAAACATCAGGTTCCTTGAGGTGGCCAGGGTTAGGAGGCGGCGCATCGATGACGATAAAGAATTGGCATGCTGCGAGCGTGGCTTTGCCGAGGGCCAGGATGGGCGACGAGACTCTCTCCATGGACATGACCATCATCATCGAGGACATGAGGACGCTAACAAAAACAAAAACAAGTCAGCATCCCAACACCGGTCTCACAGCACCACCATGGAGAGAAAGGTGACTACGTACATAACAATGTCTCCAACGCCGCCAAGCCGACCATCGAGGTAGGACTTGATACCGTACCAAAAGGCGAGACCGAAGACAGCCCATAGCGCAAAGAACTAGTGTTTCCCACCTCTCTGTTAGTACTCCATCCCCTACCTACAGGTTTGTAGTCGGTAAGGAGAGCAGCCAAAACTGCTAGTACTTACGACGAGACCAAACTGCAGAGCCAAAAGAGGAGACACTTTCTGGGCCAACCTCTTTGCTTCCTCGGACCACTCTGTGTAGCGCTTCAACATGCGGGACTCGGCGCCACAGGCAGCAATCATGCGAATGCTACCAAGAGCCTCAGTAGCCACAGCTGTCGTCTTCGCTTCAGCCTTGTTGAACTTAGCAACGCCCTTCAAGATAAGAGGCAGGAGAACGCCCAAGGTGATGACGATGAATGCAGTGGCCGAGAAGCACACGAGTGTCAGGCTCCAACTGTAGATAAAAGCGATGGTTAGGGACGCCACTATCGTGGCAGTAAACTCCAACAGCACGCCGAGCTTCTCAGAGATGCCGATTTGCAGCGTGTTGGAGGTAGTCGTGATCATGGAAGCGGCAGTACCCGGGGGGAGGGAATCGAGAACATGGATCGACTGGGCGAAGAGAGCGCGCATAAAGTGGGCTCGCACGCCGGATGATATCCGGATGCCCACCATGCGGAAAACGACCTGAAGTACTGGCGTTAGACGACATACACGAGCGAGCGTGAAAGATCGAAAACCCGAGCGTCGTACCTTGTTGATATAATTGCACCCAAATCGAACAATGAAGAGAGCGGTCATGAAGAGGCTACGGACGAAAGCACTAGTCAGCGGAAAGAGCGCAAGGCCGCAGCATTCTCGAGGGATACTGGCGAAACTGACGAAAGTCGGTTGAGTTCCTTCCGGAAGTCATTCTCTAGATCCTCCATCGCCTGTCGTGCCTCTGGAGACAAAGAGGACGGGTCCAAAGCGGCCGGATCAAACGCTCCAGGAGCGGAAAAGGCCTGGAACTTCTCAATGAGTTGACCTAGACGATGCTGGTGTTAAGAAATGCGCGGCAAGACGTTGTTTCATGATGGCAACCACGGGGAGTCCTGGCTGGACAGGGCATCTAGCGTACCGAATAAAACCATTACCAACGGCAGAGACTAGCAGCATTATTAGCCTTGAGCCACCTATAGATCTTCTCTGCAGCTGAGATACTTACAACGCCTGCAGCGATAGAGCTCACGGCTCCAATGAGATAGGCTATATAGTCCCATTTTGTCGCATAAGAGAAGACGCGCTGAATCTGGTATTAGTGACTATTCACCAAGACGAAGAGCCCACGAAGCTCCTGTTAGGAAGAAACCTACCACTAGATCTTTGAAACCGGCCTCCCTTTCGGGTTGAGGATGAGCTTTGGGGTCCAGCTTGTCCTCTGTAGGCATTGGGACAGCCGTGTCATCAGACCCCGCCGTGGTCTCGGGTTTGGATTGCCCAGTGTTGAGCGCGTCCGAAGCCCGAGGCGGCGGCTCCGCGGGCGTGATTTCTTTTTCACTCATGGCGTTCTAGGTGGCGGTCATGGGGAGGGACAGGAGTAGGGTAAAAGGACAAACAAGGAGGAGTGCGTTCTTGTTTGCAATCACAGTTTCCCGTACGAAGTGCAGTCCGTATCCCTCGAGCTTGTATTCCCAGACGTTGACGTCGTGTAAGAATATCTCGATAAATAATTCGGCTGCCTAAGGATGCGGCAGGCTTCACTGGCGGGAGACGTGACTAGGGTGATGAAAAAAGAGGGAAATGAAGGAGCTAATAAGGGGAGTGAGTATGAGAAGAAGCGCCACGAGCGTCCACCAACGTAGAATTAGGGAAGAAGAAAAAAATTAAAACAAAAATAGAGAAGAATAGGTTCTTGAAGAGAGAATGAAGTCCGAAAATAAGACCCAAGGACAGGACCAAGAGACTCTGAACTGATGAAATGCGAAGAAGAGAGGGGATGTTCAAATAGACTAGACTCCTAAAGGTGTACAAGTACATCTTACTTCCCTTTCTGGCAATAGTATGCAATTTTAGCTCTCTGTCAAGACCCAGGGTGAAATCGGGTCTCCAGGGGAAGAGGGCCGTATTTCTCGTGTTGCTGGCATCAACTCATGCTCTGTGAAGACACCCTGCACAGGGCTTGCCAAGCCTGCCATGAGGTAGGGACGGAAAAGATAGATGACTCTGCTCCCCGGCTTGCATCCTGGCTACTATACTTCGTAGAACCCCAATCGATATGATGTACCCCAGCTACAAGCGGCATTCTGGCCAAGAAGAAGTACCGCCTCACCCTGGTTGTGAAAGAGAGCTTGGCCTTGGCTGGCCTCTTTGTCTGATATCGGATAATACGAAGTACTGATTGACCCGATCTTTGCCATCCCCGCCAGGCAGCAACATTTCAAGAGCATCAACCTTCGCCTCATAGCAGACTAGTATGTCGTAGTATGTCACTGCAAAAATAAATAAGAGGCAGAACAGTTGAAATGGATAATTCATCTTCTTGAAAGGTGTCAAGTTTTCCTGCTCACCTCGAGAGGTTGCCACCTAGATCCCAATCGGACTATTTTGCGCGTCAAGATGACCTGGTCATCTGGGTGCTTCCACTGTTCCAGACGAGGAAAAGAGAAAATAGGAACATGCGACGTTTCGCGTAATCTCAACTGGGTCGAATACGATTGGTCAGTCCGCCACGTTTTCCAGACGGAACGGAATTAGCTTCTTAGGTCCTCGGGCGACCAATGACCTGTGGGGGACAGAGTTGAGTGACCCGAACCCACAGATCCATGATCATTGTCGCACTGAGCAGGCTTGGGGCATGATCGAAGGAAGCGGGTCATTGAACCAACCCAATTCGAACAATCAATGTACCTTTGTTCCAAAATATTACCTTACGTAACAGTCGATGCACTGCAACCAGGGAAAGAAGTCCCGATTCTCGGGTTCCACATTCCCCCGGTACCCCGAATTACTTTTAGACATGGACCTCCCAACATTACCTTGAGCTCTTCCAACACGCTGCGATCTCATACAAGCCTACCACAAAAGAGCGAATGGCATTGGGAATCCGAGTCATCGCTGCCGTTCTTTTTCTTTCAAAAAATAAGGAGGGAAAGAGGGAAAGAGAGAAGAAGAAGAATGTCCGGAACCTTCAGCCCTGATCGGATAAGAATTTCTCGTCTGATCAATCAGCAGACAAATGCGTGTTGAGGGGATAAGACACAAATGGTTTCTCTGGACTTGCCCGACCCGGCGAAGTGGCTCTTGATGAGAGGGCCGGAGAACGCGTTACGCCCCTCAAGCAACAGCACGGTAAGGTGGGAAGCCGTGCCGTCCGGCTCCAGGTCTGGCCTACGGAACCGTGGCCCAGGTGTCTGTATAATAGGACAGGGTTGTTACCGGCTTCTCGAAGAACTCAAAGCTCCGGACCGGAATGGCGCTGAGCCGCCAGTCACTGTCGAATGTGTTTGCAAGTTAGCTAACACCTATGGATTAATCCGAATACACGTCTCGCCAGCCTTGGCCTTAGTTCTTGATGCTCCGAGTCTTTGTCGGCAACCGACATGGCGCGAACCGGAACCCTTAGTGGAAATTAGAAATATTGCTATATCTATTATATCCTCTCCCGGTCCGTCCAGATCGAGGAATTCCTCTAGCTAACCTCTATTAGGAACGTGATATTCTCCGCCTCGTCGCTGTTAAGAGGCGCGATGGCCCAGGCAATCCCAAGGCATCAGATGCGCATGCAAAACCCACCATTATGTGGAACTCTTGTACAGCCAGTAGCTGTGGCATATGCAGAGCATCCAAGCCATCCCACCGTTCATAGAAACCCGTCGGACGTTGGCTCGGTCATCTCAGAAAGCAGCCTGTACGGAAGAGGGAAGGACGGCTACCTAGCATGGATGTGGCGTATAGGCTGTAAGCAGTAGGAACTACAGGTCCGTTTCCCCTGTCCAAAGAAACACGTCAAGCTTCAGGAATGGCCAAGCTTCAATGCTCGACATTAGCTTGAGACAAGATGAAAGGGGAGCAACCGCGATAGAGACCAAGGTTATTTTTGTCTGCTTCTGATCCGCAGATGGTAGGACCTCCTCTTCTACAAAGAACATGAATATAATTGCAGGTCTTTCAGTCGGTCTATGCCGGACCGGTATTGGCACGTGCATCAAGCAATGTTTTCCCCATTCCAAGAACCCGATGGAATGAATGCATGTTGACCAGCATACGTCTTCCTCGCCCGGATAGCCGAGTCTAGCTCTAAACCGTTCAACTCTCGACTATCGTCATCACCGCAAGGTAAATTGCAATTGGAAGTGGTCAAAAAAGCAACCGGTTCACCATGGACAACAATTCAAAGCCATCACTACCGAGTGATCGGCGAGGCCCGGGAACTAACACCCGCCTACAAGAGTTTGGTGATATCACGACCGTCACGGCTTCACCACTGCCCAACTCAGAGAAGCCTCAAAAGTGGCCGCGAGGGTGGAAATGGGTGTATATTGCCATCGTTGGCTATTGCGAATGCCTCACGTCCGTTTCGCCCCTTCTACCAAGCCCTCGTCTTTTGTCAGGCCGTCGATGGAAGGAGTCCTATTTGCAATTGATCTCTTCTCACTTCAAGACTAACTTTCCATCAAGATTTCTCGTCTCCATGATGCTTGCGCCAAGTGTCCCTCAAGTTCTCGCCGAGTTCCGACCCCTCGGCGGATCCAAGTCACTCGGGTCTTTCTCGGTTACCGTCTACATCCTGGGGTTCTGCGTCGGCCCGCTTCTCCTCGGCCCTCTAACCGATCTCTATGGACGTATTGTAATCTACCGGCTGTCCATAGTCGGATTCATCCTATTTACTGTTTCCTGTGCCCTTTCCCCGTCTCTCGAGGCACTTATCACCTTCCGCTTCTTTGCCGGCTGCTTCGGTGGCGCCCCCATGGCCATTGGAGGCGCTGTCATAGCTGACATGTATGAGCCTGGTAAAAGGGATTGGCTGATGGTATCCTACTCCGCCGGGACCATGATGGGGCCCACAATCGGTCCAGTATTAGGGGGCGTTATCACGGGTCATTATGGTTGGAGATGGTTGTTCTGGGTCGCCGCAATTCTTGTAAGTTATGTGCCAACCCCCGCCATGACAAGAAGCGACAGCGGCTTTCCCCTGGTGCGAACTCTCCCTTAATTCCAACCGTTATAGTCAGGAGTCGCAGCTGGGCTGCTCCTCATCCTACCCGAGACCCACCTCCCGACTCTCGAGCGGCGCCAAACCCGTCGCGCATCCCGGCCAAACTCTGACGAAAACCCGACCGAACGTGCCTCTACCCGTTGGAACATCAAACTTCTCATCCGTACCATCAGCTGTGCCGTTTCCCTGCCGACCAGGATCGCAGGCCACTCCACCGTTCTCTGGATGCTAGTCCTCATCGCCGTGTTCAATGGTCTGGTGAATATGGTTTTGTCCTCGCTCGGATCCATCTACCAGAGGAAATACCACTTCCGACCCGCCACGGCGGGGCTTTCATATCTAGGGATCGGCGTCGGCGGGCTGGCTGCGCTGGCTGCGACGAAACGACTTAAACGGTATCTAGCTGGCATGTTCATCGCAAAGGGTGTAGCCGAGAGTAGCGAGGCGTCTCTCCTCTTCCTTGCAGCTGTCACTCCTACCACGTCGATCGGGCTCCTCTGGTACGGATGGTGCCTGCAAGGGACGACCCACTGGATTTTTCCCATTCTTGGGCTCCAGTTCTTCGGTTTTAGTTACATGTGTACGAGGGTAAGGCTTGACCCGTTCCCGCACTCGCCCATTTCTCCTTTGTTTTCTGTTTTCTTTCTTTCCTCCTTATAAGCCTAGGCTCTCGACACGGCCGTATTCATATGCCTTCTTCATCTGACCTCAAAACAATAGCTATCGGCCCAACTCTTCCTCATAGAAGCCGTGAAGAAATACGGCGTCTGCTCTGTCAGCTTTTATGGTGGCTTCGTCCGTTGGCGGAGCCATTGTGCCGTTCTCTACCTTCCCTCTTCTCGATGCCATCAGTTACGGGTGGGGGAACACTCTCATTGCAGTAGTTAACTTATCCCTCTCCCTGATTCCGATTTTAATGTATTTCGCCTCGCGGAGGTCAGGAGAGGAAAGGTACTTGGAGATTAACTTGAGCGATGAGGATTCTGGGCAATAGTTAAGATAACATTTCAAGGCTGGGCAGTAACAGAGAGTTAAGTAAGATTCACAAACCTTCATACTTGTCTGGGTTAACTTTAGTACAGGAGAATAGATGGAGGAGACGTCAAAATAAGGATACGTATATATGTAGACCTAAACTAGATAGAACATATGGGCAAAAATACCCACCCCATTTGGTTCCGAGGACCTTACGAGCATCGCTTCAAGACCATTTCGCCATTGGTCACATGTTCTGGTGCTTGAGCTCCCCCACCGGGAGTTCCCGCTGTATCGTGGCCTATAAAGTCATCAGGAGGGCGTGTAATCTTGGGCGGCGAAGGAGGAGAGTGGCTTTCGTCGCCCTCCCACGAACCACCTGTTGCTTCGTCTACATACAAGCCATCCTGGCATGCCCAACTCTCCTCCATCAAAGACAGTACCGAGGTAATCTTCTTTAGCACTCTTTACCCCCTCCTTGCTGTTTCCATCTAATGCACTGGCATGGCCGCCATAGCCGGCAACTCAGGCTCACCGTCGCCCGAGGAATCGCAAGGTGGGACCCTCACAATTCGGCAACGAAGAGCCTCATGACGTCACGCATGAGATCGGACAGCTCCTTGCATAATAATCTTTACCTCCCACTACTCACACACCCGCGAGATGCGAATCGCCAACCATTCAAAAAGGCATCGGCTACATTTTCTAGTAGGACGTTTCCACCTCGTAACATGCTGTCTATCGTTATGCTTTATGGGATACCCGTTGCTGTCTCCCGTATTTCAATCGTTCACTCTTTACAACCATCGCCAATGAGTATCACAAACAGTCGAGAAGTTTGAAGGAAACACACGACGTCACAAGCTGTCAAGATCAAGTCCTCGAGCTACGAACTCTGGAGTTGCCAGAGGTTAAAAACCTGGCCTCGACAGCGTCACGAGGCCACATACATTGCCGCTATCTAGCCTTAACCATCCAGACTGTCCGGGCTAGCCCAGACTCGCAGTAACGCAAAAGGAGAGGATAAAGGGAAGAAAAAGAAAAAAAAAAAAAAAAAGTATTCCGCCTACGCCCTGTTTTTAGTAGAATCCCATGCTAGCTCTATGGCCCCTTACCATCTCCAATAGCCAGCCTACACTTGCACACCGAGCCTGTTCGATTCGCTTCCATAATCCACTTCCACACGCGCCAAAGGGTCCGCAATCAGAGCGCGCTAAGGAGGCGAGAAGGGTATGATGATCATAAAGAATAAAGAGGGGCCGAACTCCATAATGCGCACGCCTTCCTTGCTATGTAGACGCGGGAGGGTGGGAGAAGGCCTAATAACAACGCTCCTCCAGCCGCCAGACCTATCCACTTAGAATGCACTTGATAACCGCAATAATACAAGAGAAGCTCTTCGAAAGACATTTCTCTGCCGTACAATTTCATATCTCATCAACGTATATCGGCATCGGCACCTGCCATTCCCAGCATGACAACTACACGGTGTTATCGTGATAGTAAAAATCGATGTCTCGAGGGCGCAGGCGGTTTCCTCGTACAAACTCTTCGTCGCCGGGGGGTCGCTCGTTCTTAGTGTTACCCGTCAACATGCTTTGTAGGCTCATACACACGCTCTCGACGTTTTGGACTGGGCTCCATCCTTGCTGACCCAGCAAGTCAAGACAGATTATCCCGTTCGAGTAAATGTGCGGATGGATCGGGATCGGCCGGTCGGTCGTTTTCACGAAAGTGACCTCGGGAGGTTCTAGACGTGGGCACGGCGCATTAGAGGGCTGATCTGGGACAGGTAAAGAGACATAGATCTAGATTCTAGGGGTATAGATTTCTACAGCAGAGCGTAGTAAACTAACCGATGGGATAGGAGCTGGAAAATTTGAACTTGAGACGGTACGTCTCGTTCTTGTACAGTGGGTTTTCGTCGAGGACTTTAATATCGAGGAGCCATTCTTCAAAGTTGTCCGCTGAAACTAGCTCGATGCCAGGAGGAAGACTGTTATTGATCTAAAAACCACACATGTTTAGAGGCTGTCCATTAGACATTGTTCAAATCGCAGCTTGATCTCGAAAGCCCATGCACGATGTTCAAGCACTTTCCCCAGACTGCTCGACTCTCGTGCCGTGAGGTTGTGGGGCAAGGTGTGTCGGCGACATAATGATGGTGGGGGGTGGACTGGAGGGGAAATGCAAGCCCGAGCCGTGGAGGGGAGTGGAGCTCACCTTGCTGAGCTCCTTTGCTAGTCTCTTGGACGCAAAGTTGGCCATTTTCGGTGACAAGTGACAACGAGGATGTTTACGGTTGCGTTGCCACGGGAAGGTGTTGTTTTGGGGGCGGCTCGAGGCTGAACGGTAATGTCCGGCGTTTCCTAAGGTCGCTGCGCAATCTCTAAGCCGTGGCAATAATGCCCATCACTTCGTACTCGTGGAGCTGGACCGGACAAACAGGTGAGCGTGACAGAAGAGATGGAGAAAATATTGGCTGGCGGTGGCTGAGGCGGTAACCCTCCAAAAAATATTGGTTGTGCTTCGCGATGTGACCGGTCCAGCCTGGGCCTGAGAGTAAAGGAGGGGCAGCTCTTCCGCAAGTGTCGATGGTGCCAGGCAAAGCGTCAGGCTGCCAAGAGTATCAGGACGGACGACCGGGGAAAGGTGTACCAGAACTCGAGGGTCAAAGAGAAGGCCAAGAACTTGTCTTCTGCGCAATGTCAATCAGTATAGCTAGGATGTAATATCGAAGCGGCGTGTCCTTGCAGTTTATATGATTTTGATGGTGGTAATTTTAGAATACTGATCGTGAAGTAGCCAGGATGATCTGCCATCGATGCGGACAACAATTGAACGACCAGCAATGTCCACCAGCTTTCCCCGCCGTGTCAGGGGACGAAGGACAATGACGGAAGCCCGCAACGTGCTCTGACATGAGATTGATGAGTAAGAAATGTTTTGGTGGAACTGTGCATTGTGAGCTCATGGAGGCCAGGCCTGTAACTTCGTACAGACACTGCAATTGCTCATACTTCGTCCTGTCACTGGAATCTGCCCAGCGTCGCATGCGTTTCTTTCTCAAAACAATTGAATTGATCCGATTTGACGATGATGTGCTCTACGAAGCACTGTGCTTCAGGGAACAATGGAAATAGCAACGTCTAATAGATCAATCTTGAGGTCTGTGAGGTTGGGCACCATCGCTGTTGATGAGTTCCACAGGTCCGGCACGGCCTAGCCTGGCTGACATCGTGCTGGCTGCCTCCGAGGATTGGCAGCCACGAAGCACGAAGTATGAAGTAGAGATCATTCGCCAATTAATGTCCTCTTGCCTGCAGCCCTGTACCTTGGTGTCATTGATTAGATCAATCCAACCAAGTGATCATCGGCGTCATTGAACCTTCGACTCGAGGTGTCTGTCATCGCAACACTGAGTTCTGACAGCAACCCATAACGTCACATAATTAGTCGTCCGCAGCATTAATGTCTGGATTTTCATTGTATCTCGAGTTTGCACATTTGAAGACAGAATGAATTGACTAAATTTCCGAGGACTATGTGCGAGAGCATGCAAGAGAGACAGAGGGCAAGTTCTGGGATCAAGTCTCACCAAAGTTGACCTCGCTTTTCACCCCTTCTTCTTTTCCTCTTGGTCTCCTTCCCAGTCTCCTTTCCATATACTTCGTAATTACTCTTGGTCGGGCCGGATTTTGCGAGAATGGACTTGTCATATTTTTTGGCGCCAGGTCTCTTCCACCTCCGTACTTCGTATGAAGTAGTTATGAAGCAGGCGCAGGTTAACACTGCCCGCCCATCGTCTCAAAGTTCCCAGCTCCCATGCAGCTGCAGGTCGACTCCAGCTGGTCGCTTAAAGTGGAAAGGCGACTAGTCTCAAGTAATTTGAATCCCGGGAAGCTGAGCCTTGCTAGAAGGTCTAATGAAGCGAGGCGAAGGGGGGGGGTTCGAGGTCTTGACTTCTTGTAGTGAGCGACTTTCATACATTCAGTCTTCCCGATTCTCTCAAGATTCAAGAGGGCGCCCATAGCCGCCCGTTCTTGTCAACACCGAACAGCGTATATTACGAGCTTGGCGCTTAGGCGGCGATTGAAAACCGAAAATCTTGAGGTCTGGGGCTGCCTCGTTGCTTCCTCGTCTTCCTTCACCAACCATCATCACCAAAACTGCATCCCCGGAGCATCCCGGAATATTGAAAGGACTCCCAACGCATCAATAGGGGATTTTCTATTTTTCCCAAAGCCTCTCCGTGTCACGTCTCTTTTCCAATTCTTTCGAGAGAAATTCGCGACCCGTCTTTTCGGGTCTGATTTCCAGCCATCTGCCTTCCTGCGCCTCGTTGTCAACACTACTTGTACTTATCCACTGGGCTCCCCCACCATCGCAGCAGCACAGATAATAAGGCTGACTTGACCCCGCTCTCCGTCATTCCTCCTTGTCATTTCCCCTATTGCGAACCCCGCCATCCTTGATCTCTTGATCCGTCGACCTGAACCAAAAGTCCCAGGCGCACTGGTTTCCCGTTTTCCTAGCTTTACCCTGCCTCTCTCCTAAGCTCTCTGTTAGCCTGATCCTTGGTGTGCCCATTCCATCATTCGCTGCTCCTTCATCGATATTCCTTCCTTGTTACCTGGTTACGTCTCGTCTGCCCATACGACACGCCTGTCCGCAGTCGTCTGCAACAACCCCTCCTTGTACCATCTGGTGCTTCCTGTGCCAATCAAACCTTCGAAGCTTTAGCTTTCATTCCTGCCCAGCGCAGGTCTCCACGCCTCCAGACTCGACTCCATATCTATTGCGCGTCACCACTTGTTGTCCAGCCCAAGATGAGCTGTGAGTTGATGATCGACTCCCCTACAGGCTTACTCGATTTATACACAGTCCGCTCTGTGGCGGCGATGGTACCCAAGTCAACTCTTGGAAGACAGTCTTGCTTCGGGGCAACGTCGCAACACCACACCATCGATCACTGAAGTTCTCTCGGGTGATCTTCTCAATATGCTAATCAGATTCTTTCCCAATTCGCTAGTTTCCGGAATGCTCAACCGGCTTCACGGCCAGCCCGAAAGCTATGATAAGAAGTACGATTGCGACATGATAGCTAAGGCACGCCCGTCTCCGTCCCTTGCTAACTCGGTCGCGTCTAGGTCCAAATACAAGTTCGGTCGAACCCTCGGCGCCGGCACATATGGCATTGTCCGCGAGGCCGATTCGCCTGGCGGCAAGGTCGCCGTCAAAATCATCTTGAAGAAGAATGTGAAGGGAAACGAGACCATGGTATACGACGAGCTCGACCTCCTCCAGCGTCTTAACCACCCGCACATCGTCAAATTTGTTGATTGGTTCGAATCGAGAGTAAGTTGCCGAATTCGTGCAGCTGTCCCTGACCTAGCTAGGCCTGCGCCTTCTCGCCTCGTGCTTCTTTCGTGCATCTGACCGGTTGGTCGCAGGACAAGTACTACATCGTCACCCAACTAGCGACCGGAGGCGAGCTCTTCGATCGCATTTGCGAGCAAGGAAAATTCACAGAAAAGGATGCGTCGCAAACTATTAAGCAGATCCTTGACGCCGTCAATTACCTTCACCTGAACAATGTCGTCCATCGAGGTTCGTTTGAGCTTCCTTGATGAACCCACAGCCCGTGGATTCAACCTCCACAGTGTCTAAGTCACTAACACAGCTCTGCTTAGATCTCAAACCTGAAAACCTCCTCTACCTTACAAGGGCTCCCGACTCTGACTTGGTACTTGCCGATTTCGGTATCGCCAAGATGTTGGATCGCAAGGACGAGGTCCTCACCACGATGGCGGGGTCTTTCGGCTACGCGGCACCCGAGGTCATGCTTAAGCAGGGACACGGTAAGCCCGTAGATATGTGGTCGATGGGCGTCATCACCTACACTCTCCTCTGCGGCTACTCTCCTTTCCGATCCGAGAACCTCCAGGACCTCATCGAGGAGTGCATGTCTTCCCAGGTCGTTTTCCACGAGCGCTACTGGAAAGATGTCAGCCAGGATGCCAAGGATTTCATCCTTACATTACTTCAACCCTCTCCCGAGAAGCGAGCCACGAGTGAGGTGTGTTATACCAAAATAGATGTCCTTTTTTTTTTTTTTTTTTTTTTTTTTTTTTTTCTTTTTTTTTTTCCCTAGTTATATCCCTAGATTTTGCTAACACTTTCATGCAGGAAGCTCTCAGTCACCCCTGGCTGACCGGCGAGACGGCCACCGACCACAACTTGCTGCCCGAGATCCGCTCTTACATGGCCAAGGCCAAGCTACGACGCGGCGTCGAGATGGTCAAGCTCGCGAACCGCATCGCCGCACTCAAGGCCCAGGAGGAAGACCCCGAGAACTCCGACGTCCCAGACGACCCCGCTCTCGGTGGCGGCGAGCCATCGAGCAACGCCGCGGCTGGCTCATCAACTGGAGAGGGCAAGCGCTCTCTATCAAAGACTATCAAGGGTGCCATCTTCCGCGAGGTCGTGTTGGCCAAGGTGCGTGAGATGAAGCAGGAGGAAGAGACGCGTAAGATCCAGGAGCAGGCGACGAAAGATTCGCAGAACATGTAAGAGGAGGGTCATCCCAGGATATTTTTCCTGTTGGGCTGCAAAGTGAAGCACTAGTATGAGGGTTAAAAAGTTGACCGCGTCCTACCGCGGAGCTGGTAGGGGTATTATGAGGAGCAGAAACCTAATACACCAGGTGCAAAAGGGTGTAACGAAATAGTCCACATCGGCATTTACCAAGTTCATTTTTTTTCTCAGTCTTTTTCTTTTTAAGTCCCTTTTCCGTGTCATTTCATAGGTTCTTGAGAATTATGTTGTCTCTGTCATTCGCATTTCCGCTTAGTATTCGAACTCTATGCCCTTGATCTGATCTATCCTTCTGCTTTTCTTTTGCTGGGACTCGGACTGGCACTAGGATACTTAATGCAGTTCTCGTTGCTCCTCGGTGCCAAACACTTTCTTCCATGTCTTTGAGATATCCAAAGAAGCCCCGTATCCCCGACCGAAACTGAACTAGACTAATACCCGCGAACTGCACGGAAATCCGAAAAGAAATGTACGAAAATCAAGCCCTTAAATGCTAATATATGAAGAAGTAGTAGAAAAGCTCGGTTCGGTTGGATATGTAGGTACGAGTGAAAGGGAAAATATATTAAAAAAGAAAAAGGAAAAAAAAAAATTGGCAAAAAGCTCGCTCGCGGGTTGCTCCTAGGATCGAATCCGGGAGCTTCCCACGAGCTACGAAAATTGCAATTTTCTAACCTTCTGAGCGCTCCAATGACCACTTGGCCACTGGTTGCAGTCTTGGTGCTTGAGCTGCTAGGTTGGAAGTTCCGGCCTTGCCCTCGTATATAAAGTTATTACGAGGGCATTCTCTGAGATCGAGAGGAGGGAAGGAACGGGTTGGTGGCGGACCTTCCTCGAGCCGACTCTGGATGTTTGATGCTAGGTGTAAGTCGAGAACATGAAGAGACTGGGTGACTACACGCTCTGAGGTGGCGCAGAGGAAGTCAAGGGCGGAATTGATTGTATGATGGAATGAAAACGAGCATCCGTCTGGTTTTCTCTGTGAGCCTGAGGACCCCTTCGAGTCCGACTCGAGGGTAGACCAGAGTGATTAGGTCGCAGGAGCCGGAACTTCTTTTCCTTCCTCTCTTTCTTTGGGCTTTTCTCTCTAGCATCGGGAACAGTTGACCCTCCAACCCTTTCTTTGTATTGAAGGAACATCAACTATTTAGCTATAGATGTACGATACAGGATCCCTTGGCCGGTCTCCCTAATCTCAACCAATGCAAGGCTCACCGAGCTGCCTCAAGAGTAACACCCAACACGCGTTGTCGTCAAGCAGAGACGCGTAAACTCGTCCAAATCTTCGGGTGCCCCAACTCGGTCATATCCCGAGTTGCAATGAAGAGCCCCATCTATAACTTCCATGCTATATATTTATATTATATATATTGTCCGACAGCCGGGGAACCAAGATTGGAAAGAAGAAGAAAAACATCTTTAATTAAGAATCATTAAACCCTCTATCCTGTGAACCTGGTTATCTCCCTCGTGTAGCTTACCGGAATTCTTTCAATGTTAGCCCTGGGTCCTTGGCGAGCATAACGCCTCGTCATATTCTTGGAGTTATCTAGAACACTCCCATAGATGTGCGAAGTATGGAGAGCAAGCGAATTCCACCGCATAATTCGAGGGGGAAAATTGATGACCGCGTCAAGAGTCCCTGTCCGGCCTTCTCCCAAAATGCCCTCAAAGTCTTCACCCAAGGAAACTTAGATGGTGTCAATGCCTTGTCTCCCTTGCGCCCCAAGCTCTCCGTCCGAACTCGGGTCCCTGCCTCTGATAGAGATCTGCCTGGCAGAAAAGCAGGTGATGGCGGCTAAAGGGGACACACAGACAAAGATTGCTCCAAGCCGAGACATAAGCGGTTTGGAGATTCGGTAAGAGGGTGCCAAACGGCATGTTTCAAGTTACCTGGTCCTGCGGGTCTTACCACTTATTTTCAAATTGATAGTTGCCAAGTTGTCGATTGGAATGACAGCTCACAGCACAAGGGGGACAGGTCGAACAAGGTTGAAAATATCAAAATTCTGATTATACATTCAGACTTATCAATACATTAGTCACATGAGGTATGCGCTATCTGGTATAAACGAAGAAAAACACTAGTAAAGGCGAGTCCAAAGTGATATGTAAGAAGAAGAAAGAAAACCGATGGGAAAGGAAAGCATCAAGTCGACTCCATAAATGCGTCTTATCCGTCAACACCATGTCGTAGAGTACAGTCGTGTAAGAAGGGTATCTGAAGGTAAAAGAAATAGGAAACAGTTGGCAAGAACAGTTAACCGAAAACGCCGCGAATATAACCGAGCCGAGCGCAGAAGACCGTTACTCGAGCTCGGCAAGAACACTCTCGCGTAGAGCTTGGTACTTCGACGGATCAAATCGCCTCCGGCGCCATCCGTTTTGCTTCAGTCTGTCGATGCGTGCTCGAAGCTCAAGTGCCTTGGCGGCTTCGACAGCCGCGTCAGTGGCACCCGTGGTGGACTCTGGTGTGGACCGACCGGACATGAAGTTATCCTCTGTCGTGGGCTTCTCGAGTTCGGCACGAATTGACGCGAGATGGATCATGACTTGAGTGCCGAGGCCCGAAAGTATCGAGCAGTATCGGTCGACCGACGTTTCGGGCAAGAAAAGTTCGCTATCTCGGAAGTTGAACACTCTGCGCTCTTCGTCCTCGAATTCCGGCGCTTCGGTAGATTCCGGTTGGTAGACGGGCTGCGGCTGGGGAATGTGGAGAGCCGACTTGAGCTCGGTAGGGGGAGTGGGGGCTACCCAGTCATCGAAACCAAGAGTTGGGGAATCAGGCCGGATAATGGGCTCGACCACCATATCAGAGAAAGTGACACGCTTCTTCGCCGGCGCCGTCACTGCCCCTGCGGCAGGCTTGTCATCAACGCCGTAGATAGATGGAGTGGGCGAGGAGAGGCGGGTTGACGTGGTCGACGCTCTCGAACTAACAGAGCCAGCGGGCGAGTTGATGTTGGACGAAGCAGTAGAAACACGAGAGAAACGCTTCATGGTGTTATCCTCGGCCTGGATGAGGTCGGCTGCGCAGTTGTAGTGGGCCTCCGCCTGCCGCAACAAGGTCGTCCTGTAGGGCGACGCTGGGTGAAGGGCCCTAGAGCTCATCTCCTTAGAGATGGCGGCGTAGAAATTAAGGTAGATGAGGTAGGCTGGCTCGACATTAGACTAAGGGGGGGAGACTATGTTAGTTGAAACCTTTTTCTCAAGAGAACCTATATTTGCAACATGGAGTTATACTTACAGTGTCCTTGATGTTGTCCAAGATGGAGCTGCACCTTACGGAGCAAGGCCTGTATCTTCGGTGCAGGTACAGACGCTTTACCTCGCTCACCGCTTTGATCCACTCCGCCTGGGTGTAAGGCACCATGGGAAGAGTGGTCGGTGCCGCCTGATAAGAGAAGCGCCTCATATGCTTCTGAATCGCGACAGGCGGTAGGCTTTGTTGCCCTGACGGGAAGGCGGGAGGTGAAGACAACCGTTGCAAGGCATCCTTCGGTGTCCCCGACGTCGCAGATGGGGACCGCGATACTGAAGGGGAAGTAGTCTGGGGATTTGAAGAGTATAGGACGCTTTGCCGAGTGCCCGCCGTTGCGGGCTTGAGCATTAGAGGTATTAGACCAGGCATGGCTTTGTGTGGGCGTGGGTGGAGATGAGCGTGATGCGGGCGAGAGCAGGGAAGGTGGATGTTCGACTCGTAGGAGTCTCTAACTCTAGCGCTTGGGCAATGTAGATCGAGATGAGTTTATGCTCCGATTAATCTTGGAAAATCGCAAGATATTCCTGGAAATTGCAGAGGTTGAAGTTGGAAGGGGGAGAGAAAGAGAGGGGGAGATGGTGTGAGCGGACAAAAGTGCGGGTGCGGGTGCAATGCAGACCAGCAGAGAGGATGAGATCAGGATAATATCGTAATTTTCCTTTTGCCGGTTCGTCTGATTCGGACTGTCTAGTTATCGCAAAGGTCCGGGATATGTGTTCCAAAATGCTGGAAAACTAGATCGTCAACTCGTCAATGATGGTTGAGTTGCATGTGTCAGTGTCATCCCAACTCTATGTCCGGAAACTGATGGCGAGTTGTACGACGAATAAGCGCAAGAAAAGACAAAAAACTGGTACCGCAGAACCGAGAAGTACGGTACAGGATGAGAGAGAGGGAACAAAGCCGGGGTCGAGGAATCGAAGACAGGTTTGCGTGAAAGTGCTCTTGAAACGAGAGCCCTTTTTTGCCCGTAGATCGTTCGTCCCAAGCCAGAGAGTGGTGAGGCTGCTGAGCGAAATGGCAAGACACTTTTATCAGTAAGTTTCGTCCTATCCTATCCTGCCAGGAGATCGTCTAAGCCGTCCGTAGGTGGGTGGGTAGAGCGGGTGGTAAATGATCTTCAACCGGGTTTGGTGTCAGGAGGTGGGTGGACTCGACGCCGTGTTAGAAGTTTCGTTTAGCCTGTATACTAATGGGACTTCGGATGACGAAACCCGATGATTCTGAGAGCCCTTTGGGCTTATGCGTCGCCGGTCGATAGTCGAGGTCGCGATGTCGAATGCGAGGGGCAACGGACCGAAGACAATGTCATCAACTGATGGGATGTCGCGATGCTTATCGATGATGTGCGGAAATGATGAACTGGTTCCGTTTCGGGTCCGGGTATGTTGGAAAAGGGGAGAAAAGAAGAGATGAGAAGAGGCAGAGAGTAATGCCAACACACACAAGTCAAGATGATAGATAGAATGTTACTTGTAGGGGTCAGGGGCAGATGGGTATCTGAGTGGATATATACACAGGTACGAAGTAAAAGGGGATGATCTAGCGCAGCCCAAGAGGGTGGCGCATAGCTAGACTTTTCTAAGAACGAACACGGAGGATTAATCTAGTCGAGAAGAGCTAGAAAGCGTCCAACTGTGGGGCCTGGGCCTGGAATGGGACACCAGAATACGCAGGGGGGAGAGATAGAGGCAACAAGATGGGAAGGGAGGGTATGTGGGTGAAGTCGACCGTAAATAACACCGAGTCTGAGAGTGCATGTGCCCAAAGGCCTGAGTGTGCTCTTGTCATACTTCGTATATCGACTAACACGCACACACACTTGCTCGAGACGAGTTAGCCTTCTTGTAGTCCTCGTACGTCGAGAAGGAAGCCAGAGTCGACTTGCGTCAACAACGCCAACCTCGATGTCAAGCCATGAAAGCTATTATGCCTAAAGCGGAATAGCGTCAGGTACAGGGGGGTCAGGGGGTGGTGAGCAAAAGAGCAAGCTGAGGCTCGACCCTTTCCAAAGTCTGAAGAAAGGAGAGGAGGTTGCAGAGGAGGACGCAAGAGGATGGGGACAATGGGGGGCAAGGGAGCGATAGACAGGGGTGGCGAGGACTTGAATGTTGGAAAGTCATTGAGGGAGGCAGGGGTAGACGACGACAGGGAAGGGGTGACAGGGACCAGGGCCGTAGCCAGGCGGTGGAATGCAGATTGCTACACGACAGCACAGAGTACAAAGTACTCTCGAACCTCGTCCACCACAATAGTACCGAAGCTTGGTGCATTTCAGGGCACCCTAGCTTCACAGTATGAGAGGAAAAGAGGAGAGGAGACATGCCAAAAACTGAAAATGCATTGTGGCCTTCGTTTGCTGCCCAGTCTACTTCGTAGACAAGGACACACGGTTGGCAAGCGTTGGAATGGCACGGAGTACAACATACAAGCCTGGCCCAGGGAAATTTCCTCCCGCGTGTCTATCGACTGCATGGCGTCAATTCAATCAGATCCGGAAATGGCCTGGACTAAACAAGGAGAATAACTCATTCCAGCGCCGATATTATTATTGTCCGCTCTTCTCAGCATAACGGCTCGCCGCAGGGCGTCATTTCGTTTTTCGAGGCGCGTCGTTGACATGATGAGGCGATAGAGATCAATATCGAGATCCTTTAGAACCACGCACAAGCGAGGTTTGGTAGAGCTCATCAATACACCAATGCTCGGCAGATGTCCCACTGGAAAGTATATTACTAGTTTGCACTCGATCGATGGATCTTCCCTGTGGAAAAGAGTACTCTGCATAGTTCCCGAGGGCGGTTTCCATCAATAATGATCGGGTCCGCAAAGAACGGGGTAGCCCTTCTTGTGGCTGTTGGGTTTTTGGATCTCGCTGCAGCTCGCATGAAAACGCTAAGAGTTATGGTTTGCCCATCGCCATCGTTCGACTGCCGCTGCTCCGGGGGGACCTTTGGTTTCGAAGGACGGCGAATCGTTTGCGCCAACCACGAGGAAACGCGGACCGAAACGTGGTATAGAGGCTAGTGTAGAGCCCTCGGTGAAAGCCCCGGAGCACTTGCAAGCCGAGGATTTGTTGATAAATGGACAAAGTTTGTTCCAAAGTTCCGATTCCTCACCCGGCCAGAGCCGTCGGGTCGATGTGCAACCACGAGCGGCTAGGTTGACCTGAAGGCATCCCTGTGCCAGATCACTATAGGCGCACCATACGAAGTATTTTCTCTGCAATTACTGGCTTCGGGAGCTTGCATCGGATAAATGACATTTCTGGTACATTAACTGACACCTGAATCCTCGTCGACTTAGATTGACAGCGCATCCGGGTCGGAAGTACGAAGTATGTTCGTATCCGTGAATACCAAGACAATGGAAGGCTCTGGAGGTGAGGTTCTCGAGAAATCGGATTTTTGTCTTTACTTTGCACAAGGAGCTCCTCTGAGCTGAAGCGGCGAGCAGGGGGGTAATTGCCGATACCAAGATCCCGACAAAAACATCCGTAGCTGGGCGTCGTCGCGTGGTGCCAGATTCAGCCGTCACTGCTAGTCCTCGATATATCCAAGGAATGAAAACCCATGAACCCGGTCTTCTGATGTCGATTCTATGTCTCTAATCGCCAGCCACTATCTGGTTATCCCAGGCCTCCGCCATGTCGGCTCGGCACTAATTGTATGTATGGCCAGGATTGCATGTATGAAAATTTCAGCAACTGTTTCTGCCGGAGGGCCACGCCGGACAGCAAGCTGAGAGGAAGAGAGGAAGAGAGGAAGAGAGCATGATACCATTCAAAGAAGACAATCCGACGAGGCGAGGAAAACGCCACAATGTGCCACTCGTCGGCTGCCCCCATCGGTCTCTCCCTAGCCAAGTGGGTAACGTTGTGTGAAGCCAAAGAAAATTATTGCCCTTTCGTCACAGGCAGCAAGCCAGGTTCGAAGCCTCCAAGGATCTTGGCGCAATCTTCACACCTCTGTGCTCATTATCTATGTAGATCGGACTTTGTCCTGCTCATCAGATGCTAGCAACTCCGCACCCTATGAAGTGTAATCGAGCTAGGATTCGACGGGATCTTTTGAAAAACAAAACTGTCCTGTGTGCTCGAGATGTGTTTGGGCGTTGCTGTCACCCTACCTCGCCGGTGGGGGGTTGCCGTCGGGATGCTCTGCCCCTCCATCACACTGATAATGTACTGTTTGGGTTGCAATTCTACTTTCTGGTATGAAGTAATATGCTGTTGATAATATTGGAAATCCACCGAGGTCAGGCTCTCAGACCAAACGGCAAACCCTCAAACAGTGACCCTCCATCCCACAACCCCCGCAATTTGTTCTCAAACTGCGTGTAAGTGGTCATTTCCTTGTTCGTCGCTGCGACCTTGAAACGAAACACTCAAGACAGACTCATCGCTCACCCGTCGCACAGATCTATTTCAGAAAGGCACTTTACCCTTCTGATGCCGCACCCCGGTCAGATTTCGACTGTCCTCTGCAACCTACGTCCGTGTGTCAGGTCCTACTGCATATCCTACGACACCGCAAGAGGATCATATGCGTAACTTTGATGCTTGCCATGGTGGGGTGCAAATCCTTTTCTTTTGTTTTCTTTTCTTCACTCGGTGCTATCACTTTGGACAGGAACAAGTGCAATCAAACGAGAGGCGGCACATGGGCCTCGGTGGTTGTGAGTGGGTGCGAGATTGGTGTTTGTGTGTCCCAGCGCAGCAACAACAAGAAATCAGATGGAAACTATCCCGTTTCACCACACTTGGCTATGCGAGTTTCCGTTCCATCTCGATAAAAAGCCGGTGATTAGAAACCGACCTGTTACGTTGGATTTTCGTTGGACTGCAGAGTCGTTCCCCCCGAGATATATTCCCTCCCCTCCCACCATTGTAAAGGTGATGAGATCTGGTTCGGAATCCGAGAGAAAGAGGCTGGTGACGAGAATAGAGAAGAGACAAAAAAGCAAAACCGAGGGGCAGGATTTCCCCTCCTTTGCCGCGCCGTTAAGGTTGGTGATCTGCAACAATACCACTCGGCCATCCGAAACTGGGGTCGCCATTCAGAACCATGGTTTGATGAGGATACTTGATGGCTTATCGATAAGGGACGGTGACAACAACACTGTGGCTGGGAGAGGAGGGAAGGTCCTGTCCTGGTCGGTCGTGGAGAAAAGGGCGGGGATCTTGGTCCATTGACCGATGGCACAGTGACAGAAATCCACTGCGCTCAGGGCATCTGTAGCTCCGTTCAGTGCTGGACCGCACAGTAACCTGCACAGTACCCGCTGGAAATACCACCTACGACATTCAAATGCCTTTTAAGGCAGGAGGAAACTTTCAAAATCAGAGAATATTCAATTTTGCTTCGTTGTCGTCGACTTGGCAGGAACCCCACCAAGGTTGCAGCAGCAGGTGGGTGGCGCAACCGATGCAACCGGACCCTCATCCTCAGGCCTACCCTCCAAAGTCCCAACCCTAGTTTTGGTCTGTGAGATTGCCCAACTGACTGCTCAGGACAACACAGATGGATAAAATCGTGACCCATGGAATTTGGTCGCTCTCCAGTTTATCCGGCGATTCATCATTTCAGATCTCAACATATCTCCCTGTCAGCCTCTAGTGTCTCGAGCCTTCGCCTTTTTCTTTCTCCAGTGACCAAGCGGAGTATCGGACCTCTTGAATCGAGCCCCGTCTGAAGAAGTAATGCCGCAGGCGACTTTTTCGCGTGTCGATCACCACATCGCCGAAGCACCAACTTCCCTCCAGTTTGATAAGTCTGATAAAACTACTACGAAGTACGAAGTAGAAATAAGCCGCCCTGTCTCCTAGCGCATTCGCGGAAATAACAGCCCTCACATCTCTGCCCATTTGGGGAGCTAATCCCAGTAGTCAGGGGCGCACTGCTACCGAGGAGGACGAGGTACGAAGGAGTACTCCATCCAGACTGCAGAGTGCCTAGTAATTGCACTGAGCAGATTGCGCTACAAGTAGTTAGAGTTCTGGTTGGCCTAGCCAGGACCCGAGTTGAGGGCTGCGTTAGGAAACATTAATCCACTATCGAACGGAGAACAGCGTCGACTGGCTGGTTTCGTCCTCTTGGGGAGACCGAAGAAGTCTGTGCTGGGGACGCCATCCTAATGAAGATCAGCCACCTCGTTTTCACGTTGTCCAGCAACATCGCGCTCTCAGAGTCGCGGATGGATCGGAGGGAATGTGCAGCGATTATACGAAGTAAACAACACAAGGTATCAACCGACGAGGCCAAGCCATTTGGGAGGATCGCGAAGAAGACTATTTCTTGAGCCACGTGGGTTGGCTGTGGGACACTCTCATTGTCGGCCGAATACTTGATTGATCTGTGTTCCCTCCCCCCCAAGATGGTTATTTCCCCAGGAATGAGATCGTCGCCTCAGGTGAACGCGACATTTCTGAATCCGAGCAAGAGTGACCGTTCGCCATTTCCACCAGAAAGGATGACGGCTGACATGAAGCATTCCTCTCCGCCGCAACGTCAAAGGCGTTCATGTGCGCAGCTGCATGCCTGCGTCTGCGTCCGCTCTCCTCTGGGAGCCTGGGATACCCTCGCCGGTTGCGAAATACACTCCGATAGAGAACAGGCCAATTTTGTACTAGTGGAATGATAAATAACAATGCTGCGAGCGTGGCAAGCGGACTGAACACTAGTAAGAGCACCTGTGTAAACCGCGAACATCACGTCCATGCACCGCCCATTTCCACAAGGAACGGACCTCCCTTGGCGTTCGAGGACACATGTACCTGCAGGCGCACAGAAGAGAAGCGCATATGTAGGAGGCACGCGCATGCGGTTCGCAATGTCATAGCGGATCGTCCGAATTAAGTGCTAAGTGGAGGTGGCGGAGAAGCACTCAGGGACAAAAGAGGTCGTGGCTGTGGAGACCTCGTTGTGATGAACGGAATGGGACTGGGTTTGGTGCTCTGACCGTCTCGTTGATCTGAGGCACTAGGAAGCGCCGCTTTCGCATGTGTTTTGCACCGCAAGACTCCCAGTTCACTCCCAGCATGCTTTATGTCGCGAAGAAGAGCCCTTCAGTCTGCTCGACTATGGATCATCCATTGCAGCCGGGATATAGTAATCACCGGAACCTGTAGCCGAGGCGGAGGACATTTCTGAGACGCTTATGGACATATAAAATTGTAGAAGAGGAGCGGAGAATGCATTACTCCCCATAGTATAAATGTCGGTGCTGGTGGGAGGGATAGGAAGGATGACACCTATCTATATCGATCTCGTAACGTGAGGGGATGGATGTCGTTGGTGGACGGTTGACACCCAACCAAGACTGCGTCAACGGGCGATAGAGTGTGGAAGGAGAACTATTCATAAAGCTCGCTACCCGGAGAACCATTATCCAAGAGCCCTAACTTTACGGACTGGAACTGGGACAGATCATCTTTCTGTTTCTTCTTCTCGTACATTTTATTCTTGCTATTGTCTATTATTCTGTCGAAATCGGCGTGCTACCCGACTACGGTAATGTTTTCCTCCACTTACTTGTTCTCAACGGAAGGGGTATCGGCGATAGGGGCATCCGCCGGTGCCGCCTCCGGATTAGCCGCGGCGGGAACCTCGGCGGGAGCTTCGGCGGGAACCTCGACCGGCGGAGCTACAACCTGCTCTCCCTTGATACCATCAACTACCTTCAAACCCTGCGCTTGCCTCGTTATATCCTCAAGCGCCGCCCGTCTGTTGAGCTTAGCCTTGACATCCGCCACCAGCGCATCCAGCGTGACCTCAACACCCTCCTTTTCAGGGTGTCCGTCTTTCAAACCAAGTTCCTTGACCTTAACCTTGCCATTGTTCCACTCGTCCTCGCCGAAGATGACGGCGAAAGGTACACCACCAGCCTCGGCGGCCTTGAACTGGTTGGGAAGTTTGGGCTTGACCTTGTAGAGGAACTCGGCCTTAATGCCCGCGTTCCAAAGTTTGGAGCACACGGACATGCGCTCCTTCAGCATACCCGTGAAGCCTTTGCCTCCGAATGCCATAACGTAGACGTCGACCTCGTTCTTCCGCACAGCTGCGGCGGCCTTGTCGGCTGCCAGCCTGGCTTTGGTAATGGAGAATATGCGGTCAACACCGAAGGAGATACCAACACAGGCTGGGGCACGAGCAACAAGTTAGTACCCAATGCTTAGAACGGTGAACAGCAAATGTGGAAGAATCTGAAACTTACGGATTTGCGTTTTTCCTGAGAACATGCCAACTAGGTGATCGTATCGGCCACCCGCGGCCACACTACCAACCCCAACGGTAGGATCCGACGAGCGATCATCGTCGGCATCCTGCTTGCCCTTGGATTTCTTCTTCGGCTTCACTTCTCCCTCCGCGGGGGCTGGCGCTTTAACCTCGGGCGCTGAGCCTTCCGTTACTACTTCGTAGATCACACCAGTGTACTATGTTATAAGTCAGCCCCGCTCTCCTTAGGCGCTGTCAAGCGAGCGGACACGTATATGAGGGTGGGAATATACTCACGTAATCAAGACCGCGAGCCAGACTTAGGTCGAAAGACACCTTGTCTAGGACCTGGAAGTTGTCGAGGTATTCAAACATGAGCGCCAAGTCTGCCATTCCTTGCTTCATCTTCTCATTCGCAGCAAGCTTCTCATCACCCTGCAGCTTCTCCAGGAGATCGCGCTGCCCCTTGAGAACCACCCACTCTCCGATACGGTCGGCCACATCCTCGGCAAGGCCCTTTTCTTCCGTCATTTCTTTCCGAACATCGGCCCAGGGTAGTTTATCTAGCTTGTCAACGGCAGAGGAGATTGTCCTGATCTTGTCCTCGGGGACACCGCAAACCTCGAAGATGCCGTCTAATATCTTGCGGTGGTTAAGTTTGATGGTGTATGTGTTTTTCCAGCCAAGGCCGTCGAAGACCTCACTGATAATTCGAATGATCTCCGCGTCCGGCACCATGGCGTCGAAGACACCGGCGATGTCAAAGTCGCATTGGTAGAACTCTCGCATTCGGCCCTTGGTCATGGCGGGCTGGTCTCTCCGGTACACCTTTGCGATGTGGTAGCGCTTGATGTGTTGGATATCCTTGTTCATGGCGAGCCATCTAGCGAACGGCACCGTCAAGTCGTATCGTAGTGAGCAAATCTCCCCTCCTTGGTCGGCAAGGTCGTAGATGAGTTTGGAGTCCTGGAAAATTGTTAGCAACGCTGTCGCAAATGATAAAATTAGAACATCGAGTCCATTGAGACTATATTCTGTATAAGTCAGGCGCACCTCGCCATATTTCCCTGCCAAAATCTCTTTCAATTCGAAGACGGGCGTATCAATGGTTACCCCGCCATGGCGCTTGAAAACCTGTGTGATGGTGTTGAAGATTTTGTCGCGAATGACCATATCAGTTCCCTCCCAGTCTTTGGTCCCCTTGGGGACCTTAAGCTCGAATTTTGTTTTCGGAGGCATCTTGTCCGGCCTGTGTCGTCGATTTTGGATGGTTGTGGTGAAGGACTTGGAGAGGGTGGCGGAGATCGCAGGCTGTAATTGCAGTTGGCAGACCAAAGGTTTTAGGCGTAAACACTCGTGTGGGTGATGAGTCACTACCCTAAGCAGCCTCGCCGACCTTAGGCGTGACGGCAACAGGCCCTTCATCCAATCCGGCCGGGAGGATCACCCCGGGACATCTGAAGGAAGGTAGAATTAAAGGTAGACGTGGAACTCGACTTCCTTGAGCGAAACGAGAGATGCTTTACCTTCTGGATCAAAATTTAAGATTGCAATTGACAGTTCAAGGTACAACAAGGCTGCGACTGACCATCTTTTGGGGGCAGGGGCTGTGATTGGCCCAGAGTTCAGGAGCCTTCTCGTCGTACTACACTACTTCAGGGACCAAGTACCCGACTACAAAGGTACTGTCCTTGGTATTGTCTCAGGGCCGAGGTAAGAAGTACAGTGTACTTTATTTATCACCATACTGAGCTCGTCGACTTCGACAGCACACGCTGGTTATCCAACACATCAGGCTTCACTGATTGCTGCGAACAACCTAGGCTGCTGTCGGACGCGAATGGCAGTGAAACCCCCTTTGGCTGATGTAGCACTCTAGTTAACCTCTCCAGTACACCGGAAATGGACTGTCTTTCCACTAATCTATAACTTTTACTGCCATGTAGTAGAAAAGTAGATCCAAGGTATGAAAAGATGTTAGATTTAGACCACTGCACCAAAAATGAGCAACGCGCCACTCTATAGTGATTGGTCACAAATCTATTATTTCAACAAAAGATCTACGTCAACAGATGAAGCTTCTCTGACTCTAGAACAAACCCTAGATGGCATTGAGCCACCACCGCCAGTGTTTGGAAGTATTGCAACTTACATGAGCCATTCCTAGTAGCCCGATGGAATATGTACCCCTATTTCTTCCTCTCTGTCTAATCCTTGGTCCTAGTAGCTTAAGGGGTGTATTGTAACTATAATACTGCATTGAACACCTCTGTGCTTGAGATCAGCCTTGTGTCTCTAGCAGCTGTAGCTGGACCTTTGGCGTCCTCTACTAAGCCTGTCTTTTGAGCTGAGTGTTTACTGGTGGATGGATATCTGGGAATGCTAGTGATGAGGAGGATGAGGACAGACTCTCCTCTGCTCTATCTCTGCCCCTCGTTTCATCTTTTCCACTTCATGCCCATCAATACCATCAGTCTGTTCTCTTCTTGACCAATTCATTCCCCCTTATCAACTTCGTTCTCTCTTTTCGACCAGTGTCTTGCTTCCTTTCGTTGCTTAAACCTTCTGGAATTGAATGCCTCTTCCACACTCGGCTCGCTTTTCTTAGAGTGGTGGGAGAAAGGAAGCTCCCGCCAATCACTAGAAGCAATCTTTTTATGTCAATAATGCAGCATCTATACTTATATCAATCAAGCAGACTGAGGGAATGAAAGCTCAATACTCTCCTCTGGATCCCACTGCTTCTAAGCTTTTAGACTATAGCCAAAGAACTCACCTACTTAGCTCAGCCGTTAAAGAAATAAAAAAACCCTCATTTACACAGGCGCTCCCATCTTGTTTACTACTTCGGACTTACACCTATTTAAGAGTCCATTGCCCCACGCCTGCTCAGTCGCTTTTGGTAACATCGCCATTTATCTATCGACTCCAAGAAATTATCTGTAAGGTGGCCATCAACAGTTTAGAGTGCCCCCAAGCACAAGCTCTGGTGGACGGTCAATTTCAAGCGTGTCCTCGAAGGCCCCCTCCTGTCGGCTGACGCACCTCCGACAGAAACTCATCAAAAGGTGAGACCGGGTGCTAGGATAACGCGTAAGGAAGAATCCGGCGACCTCCCCTTTTCGTTTATTGACTCAGTGATCCGGGAAACAAGCTAACTCGGCTCTTCTAATAAAGAAAACGTGAAGTCGGAAGAGTATGCCGCAGCGGTCGATCGTTGCCAACATCACACCTTGGGCCGCAACTACATCTAGGTGAACTTTTACTTTCCCCTGAGAAACTGGCGTCACGTGGGATAGTTTTCCCCCGGCTCAAGGAAGATGTCACAATGTATCCCCTTTGCGACAGCCGAAAGAATGCTCCATCAGAGCCATCGATGCCCCCCGCATCAACGGCCCAACCAAATGCGGCTTCCGAGCAGGGCCGAGATCCGGGCCCGTCCCCGGGACACGAGTCCCCGGATGACGGCGTCATGAACCCAGAACGCCTCAGTCTTTCGCCGATCCCAAAGACTCCCTCCGCTCTCACCTGGCACAGAAAACGTCACAGAGCCGCATTGTTTTCCTACGAGATTTCATGCCACCATCCTGGCTCAATACTGTTGGTGCTTTCTATAAGGTCGACCCCGAGTTCTTTCGTCGACATCTCCACTTCACTCTCACCGCCAATATTGTCGACAACTTCTCTGCTCCCGCCTTGTCATCTTCGTCGTGGAACTTGATCGAGCTCCCTGTTATTACGCTTGGACGGCGCTTTGCCGCTTATCGTGTTAGCATGCGTGCGAAAGAGATTGAGGAGCTGCGAAAGGGAGCAGCGAAGGCAATGGAATGCCATCACCACGAAGTTGCAAACTATCATCTTCGGGACTGATGATTGGTGACTCGATGATTCGAGATTGCTGTCTTCGGCGAAGAACACTTTGAAATTTATATGAAAGAAGCTAATCATGGAGAAACATTCACCTGTAAGTCTCCTGGACTTCCCCCCCCTTTTCGCCCTTCTCTCTCTCGGGTTCGTGCCTTGGTTCTACATCGTTATTCCTGTAACACACTTTAACTTCCATGGCCTCTCCTTCCTTTTCCTCTCCCTATTCGACGAACTCGCTTCAGTTTGATACTACTAAGTGGATCGTTTGACAATCAAATAGTGCTTGCCTGGCTCGACTCCGGTGCGGATATCCCCGACGACAATATCCCCATGCTGCGCAAGCGATCTCTCCTCCCGGCAAGTTGCCATCAACCCGTGGTCGGACTTCTGAGCCACCTTTACGTTATTTCACCACCCCACGACACAAAGGCCTCGGGGTCATCTTTGCCCAAGCCGAAACAGCGTGCCTCCCAGCTTCACTTCGACTATGGTCGGTCACTACATGCAGATCTAATGGCTTGTGACCCTTTTTACGCTCTTGGTGAACTGTTCCGCTTCGTGTGGCCACCTCACATTGGGACTTTCTCAATATCATTGATCACAAACTCGACAAGTGGACGTCCCTACCCCAGGAGGATTATTTCTGAAGCCTCTCTAGCCTCAAATATACGAAGAATCTCCTGTACTAACACATCCGGGAAACGGAATCTATCCTGGACACTATCAGGACCATGCTCACACATCCAAAGTGGCGGAGATATGAAGACAAGTACCGTGACTCGACTGCCAGTGTAGGTCGATCTCGTCGCCATAAAAAATCCTCGCCAGCAGTGTGGGACAAGATTTCCAGTATTTACTCTCCCGGTCTAAAGCTCTCCATGACCGCACATTTCCAAACTTATGTCATCTCGGAGTCCCCGAGAGCGACAGAACAAGCGCTCCGCTTTGGCAAGCTTACGCATCTCTGCTTTTGTTCCATGTTCCTCTTCATACTGCTTTCTTTGGCATGAACTATGTCCGAGATTGATGGTTGTCAGCTCGTCAGTTATTGGCGGGCTCTGTTAGTCCCTCTTGCTGGTATCATTGTTGTGGTATGCTGCTGGATTACAGATCCTGGGGGGAGAGGACATTTTGGTTGGTCCTGTCCGTTTAGTCGCTGAATTTCTTCATTCCATTGGGTGAAGTACTATACCAGTTTCGTGGTAGTGTAGTAGTCAGTTCGAGGTAGCTGAGTCTGTTCTAATATGGATCGTTAGTCTGTTTGGGAGTGCTCCAGCATGGTCGAGAGGTGACATTGGGCTTTCTCTGTCTGTCCACTTTATGACGGCTAAACAGTGGGGAAATTTGGGGGCTACAGGCGGTGCCTGATGATTAAGTCCGCTGACCTCATCATAGACAAGTCTGTTGCTTCAATTGTTCCATCAATCACCCTTTGAAATTGCGCTAGGCTTCTAAAATCCCAAGCTCCGCCTGACTTGGCTCATCTTCTTCACTCAATCTCTCCCACAATCCACGCTGTGCTTGCTCAACCCTCTCCTACTCCGGCTTTGCCCTGCTCCAATGGAGCGCCCATGATGGCGCCCAGAGTCAGCTTCAATCCTGAGCAGATCCGGGAGAAAGCAAGACGAGATCTGCTCACTCTTCTTGAGGGTGTATGTGTGCCTCTATCAATTCCCCTCAATCCGATGTTCGTTGCTCATCTTTCCTTCCGATAACAGGTTCGTGGCAAGAAGAATGTCGTCTTCGATCGAAGCCTCGTCGGCCCAGTTGGCGTAATAGTTAAGGTTACGACGCTCCAGGAGTATGGAGTCGATAAATTCTTCATCCTCGAGAATCAAAATGTCGATACGAGCCAGCGCAACGTCATCTTCATTACGAGAGGGGAATGTGGCCGCCACGCTCAGACAATAGCAGGTTAGTTGATCTCTTTGATGTGCCGGTATTCGATCGCATATGCGGGCACATGTACGGCCCTGACTTGTAGGCCTGTAGTATAGTACATACGCGCAAGTTGCACACCCATGTCCTTCCAAACTGGCTCCAAAGTAGGCACCGTGGACTTTTTATCTCTTACTCCACGACGCCAGTCGGTGAGCCAAAAATTAAAACCACATATACAGCGCGCTCCTATAGTATTTTTTACTCTATTTGCCTCCGTGGAATCAATACTATCATGACGTGCTGACATATCGCCACCTTGGTAGACCAGATCCGTCGACTGCAACGCGAAAGCCAGACCGGCCATGACTTCCATATCTTCTGGGTCCCTCGACGTACGCTCGTATCCAACAGAGTTCTCGAAGAGGCGGGTGTGTTAGGCGATGTGACCATATCTGAGCTCCCACTACACTTTTTCCCGCTGGAACGAGATGTCTTGTCCCTAGAACTGTACGACTCGTTCGAGGACCTGTATCTTAACAAAGACGTAACCCCTACCTATCTTCTAGCGCGTGCTCTCATGGAGATCCAGCAGAACCATGGTCTCTTCCCAAGAATCATTGGCAAAGGCGACAACGCGAAGCGTGTTGCGGATCTCCTAGGTCGTATGAGACAGGAGGTCATTGCCGAGGGTGGTGCTGGTGAAGGTACCAAGGATGGGCTTACACCTAGTACTACGATTGAGAGCGTCATTATCATCGACCGGGAGGTTGATTTTGTGACACCGCTCTTGACCCAGCTTACATACGAGGGTCTCATTGACGAGGTCTTCGGCATCGAGAATAACCAGGCAAAGGTAGATACGACTGTCGTTGGGGCACCAGCTCAGTCGTCGTCAGTGAGCTCGCAAACACGCAAGCGTCCCATCCAGCTCGATTCTTCCGACAAGCTGTACGACCAGCTGCGTGACGCCAACTTTGCCATAGTTGGAACTTTGCTTAACAAGGTAGCCTTGAGACTACAAAGGATTCAAAAGGACTACGAAGCAAACCAGAGTACCAAGACCATAGCCGAGCTGAAGGAATTCGTGGGAAACCTCCCGGCATATCAGGCGGAGCAACAGAGCTTGAGGATTCACAGCGGCTTGGCCGAGGAGATCATCAAGCATACTAGATCCGACTTGTTTAAGGGACTGCTCAAGGTGCAACAAAACCTCGCAGACGGCGCGGACCCATCGTCTCAGTTTGAAACTATTGAAGAGCTCATCGCCCGTGATACACCTTTGAAGGAGGTCCTGCGGCTTTTATGCATATACTCTTGCATGTCGGCGGGAATCTCGCAGAAGGAGTTTGACCAGTTCAGACGTCTTATACTCGAGGGTTATGGATACCAGCATATCCTGACGTTGCATAAACTGGCGAAACTCCAGCTTATCCTTCCAAAGTCATCGCCGTTGGCCGGAATGATTCCGATGGCAGGCGGTTCGGACGCGGCGGGGACCAAGACAAACTATACGTATTTACGACAACAGCTGAGACTCATCGTCGATGAGGTAAAGGAGGATGACCCGGACGATATAGCCTACGTATACAGCGGGTATGCGCCGCTGTCTATTCGGCTTGTCCAGTGCGTATTACAGAAGCAGTATTTGTTCCAGGTTACAAAGGGTACCGGCAGTGCTCCTGGGGGCGGCGCTACATCTACAGGCGGGGCGCAGGGCTGGCTTGGATTTGACGATGCCGTCAAGCATGTTCGGGGTCGCACATTTTATGAACTCCAGAAGGGTGAGGACAAGGCCGTAAAGGCTCGGGCTCTTCTCTCGGGAGGCGCTGAAAAGCAGACCGTCTTTGTTGTTTTTGTCGGGGGGATTACTTTTACCGAAATCGCGGCTCTTCGTTTTATTGCGAGACAGGAGAAAGGTTTGTATCATCTCCCTCATTTGCCCGAGACGTTATTCTCCTTCTCTGTTTTTTGTTGGTTTTTTTCAATTCACCTGCTAACATTGCGTTCCCGCGTGATAGATCGGAGGAATATTGTCATCTGCACGACTTCATTGATTAGCGGGAATAGGATGATGGACGCGGCGATTGAAACGAATTCATATGCAAAGGAGTCCGGTTAGGCGCGTGGTTCTTCTTAGATGTAGGGTATTGATTAATTGGCTTAGATCTGTCGAGCGTTAAGTGGTATCGCGATGTTGTGACCAGTGATGCCTCCCATCACCATGCCCTCCGCAGATATATTTAATGTCGAAGTACACGGGGAACACCTAATTCGAAATTCGAGACTCGAACCTAGTGACTTTGAAGACTCGGCAAGCCTAAGGATATTCGTCCGATTTCGATGCCGATGCCGATGCCGATGCTGGCACCGATACTACAGGAAATAGTTTGAATGAAAGCGGGGAAGCTTCTGGGCAAGGCCCCTTTAGAGACGGGCATTGCAGGCTTGCACACACTGCAGTAAGGTCGTTGGAGGTATAGGCTGGATGGATTCTATGAGGACATTAGAAGCTCCGGATGGACTTGGGGGGTTATCAATATTGAACTCGGTCAGTGAGGAATGTGACCTCGGGGGATCTCGAAGATGATTGAAGCTAAGAAGAACTGCCCTCGGAGCGCAAGTATTGCCCCTAGAGGGCCTGACGCCCTCGATCTGAGAAACTGATGTAGGGTCCTAAGTCGCAGCAGTTCCTTCCCATTGCGTCTAAGATTTGGTGTTAGAATCACGTGAGAAGTTTCAATCTCGCTCCACCCACTTCGGGAAATCGATCGATCAGGTGGAGTCGAGGAACATGAACAAGAATTGAAGAATTGAGGTCTCGACGGACCGAGAGTTCCAATGCGAATTGCAAATTACCGAGTTCAGTTTTGAGCTTGTAACCAATGCTCGGACGCGCTGTGCATTCAGCACCTCTCCTCTTGACATTAATTTAGAGATCACTGAATCCGTACACCCCTGTTCTCTTCTCTCTCGCCCTCGTTCAGCGACACCATCGGCTTCCGTTTGGCCAACGGATTTTAGGGGGACAGTGTAGAATGGTTGTATTTCGGTAAGCTGCGTTTTGATCAATATCTTTCTTCGGCGAGTAGTTGTAGCGGAACAGAATTGAATTCCTCAATATGCAAGTCTTTCTGCTGCATCGATGGCTGTCAATTAACCATCAGATCTAATCGAATTAGAATCCGCTCATATCAGAGGTCCCTGGATCGATGAGACTACATCTCCACGGAGAGAGGCAGCGTCTTATGTCTATCTTATAATATAGCCTGCTGTACTCCGCTCAGCCATTGAGACAGCCGTATCGAGCCTCGACGTGGGGTGTTCTTCGTTCTGAGTCCCAGGTCTGATATACGACCCAATCGCAAATAGAGATACGGCAAGGAGCCCGCCCCCCTGACAATGGGGAGGTCGTCGAGGGTTAGGAGAAGCCAAGAAAGTCGCTTTGGGAAAGGGACGGCCGGCGTGAGAGCGTCACCTCGATCAAGAGCCGGGCGTAAAGTCCAGCCGAAATCCGCAGCTAAGAAACTGGCGACGCAATTGGCCACTCCGTCGAGTCCGTCGTCCTCCGAGTCGCATACGGAAATCGCACAGGAAATTGTGGTTTGGACCGAGGGTATGAGTACTGGAATAGATTTTGATGAGAAGCGGGATGAAGGTGCTTCACTTGTAACCACTGAGTACGTCCCTTCCCGAATCCAACTCCGTCGACAGACAATGTTAGATATGCGTAACTGGGTGGAGATGATGCTGTGATGTTTCACCTTTCATGATTTCTAACATTCTGTAGACCGAGTGAGCCTCCCGCACCTTCGGTCACTCATCCGCCCTCCATCAAGTCCGAGCCGAACAGAGAGCTTGTCGAGTCTTCGCTTTCTACTCTATCCGATCACTCAGATTTGTCCTCTTTGCCGTCGGTGGTCTCTAGTAGAGCCACGACGCCTGTCGACGTAGATGGGCCGACTCAACAAGATGCGGCAAGCGCTTCCATTGCTAAATCGCCCTCCCCCTCGCCCCGCATTCCTGCCGCAGTGGACGACCAGGAACCTCAAGATCCCCAAATGTCAACTACTCCTCCTCAAATAACATCTACTCTTCCCCCAATGACTGGATCTCCTCCTCAAACAGCTAGATCTCCTCCAACGACGGTATCTCCCCCAACAACAGAAACTCATCAAACAGCGAAACCCCCTCTCCCGGCGATAGAAACTCCAACACTCTGTACTCCTGCTGTTGTCGAACCGGCTGCTAAATCACCAACACCTGCCCCGCCTACCCCCCCGGTTCCTGCTGCGCCTGAACCCGCAGCTCCTAATAAACCTACTTCTCCTCCGGATGACGATCTAGAGTCATCAGCCTCGAAGTCAGTCACGCCAACACAACAACACGAGTTTATACCTCCTCAACTTCCTGAAACCCAAAGCGTCGAGCGGCCCGTATTCAATGTGCGACCCAAGTCATCGATACCGACGGACCTTAGTCCTGCTGAGTACGCAAGCCAATGCATCGAGGGAGCGGAAAATTCACGACTCAATCCTTTTATTCTCCATCCAGGTGAATATGAGATCATGAAAAATCATCTATCCTACGTCCAAGTCACGACCTATCTGAACATAAGAAATGGTATCCTCAGACTTTGGATCCGGAACCCTCGCGTGGCCGTCACTCGTGACGAGGCCGTGGGCTGCGCTGGTGCTCGATGGGCTAATGTTGCTAGCGTGTGCTATGACTGGCTTGTACGGAATGGTTATATCAACTATGGATGTCTAGAATTCCCACCCATGGAAGCCAGAGAGAAAACCGCCATGAAGAAGGCGCAAAAGACTGTCGTGGTGATTGGAGCAGGCCTAGCAGGCCTCGGCTGTGCGAGGCAACTCGAGGGTCTCTTCAACCAATACTCTGACCGACTCGCTGAACTCGGTGAAGTACCCCCGAAGGTTGTCATTCTGGAAGGTAGGAGTCGCGTTGGCGGAAGGGTGTATTCTCGCCCACTCGAGACAAAATCGCCGGATGTGTCGTCTCGTGTCGAAAGGTGCACTGCCGAGATGGGCGGCATGATCATTACCGGATTTATTGGAAATCCGTTAAACATCCTCGTCCGAGCTCAGCTTGGCCTTCCATACCATGTCCTTAACTCGCGCACCACAATCTTTGACTACAATGGCCAGCCTGTTGAGGACGAAAGAGACTTGCGCGCGGAGGGACTATACAACGATTGTCTCGACAGAGTGGTTGAATACAAGTATAAGTTGAAGCCACCCAAGATGGTCAAGGGAAACAGGGAGCTCATTATGGAAGCGCGAGACGCCTGCAACGATGGCCAGAAGACCATTTCGCAAAAGGAGTGCGAAGACCACCCCGAGATATCTCCTGAATCCCTCAGTCACATTATTGGACCCATTCTCCCGAAAACCACCGCAGCCGCAGCCGCACGGTCCATAGGGTGGACGTTACGCGCCGGCGTGTCAGAAACTGATTCTATCGACCTAATCACGCCGACTTCCACACCCGGTGCCACTTTGGGGAGCGTGGTCGACTCCTGCTTTTCCCAGTATAAGCGAATAGTAGACCTTACCGACCAAGACTTCCGCCTCCTGAACTGGCATGTTGCAAACCTCGAGTATAGCAATGCCACGAATATACACAACCTTAGTCTCGGTGGTTGGGATATCGATGCCGGAAACGAGTGGGTGGGAAAGCACACAATGATTGTTGGTGGCTATCAAAGAGTGGCAAGGGGCCTTTTGCATTGCCCGTCAAAGCTCGATATTCGAATGAAGTCTCCCGTCCAAGCGATCAACTACCATGCGAGCGAGCCATCTGGACCCGCTACGGTAGTATGCGAGGATGGGTCGACGATTGAGGCAGACTATGTGGTCTCGACGATTCCGTTGGGCGTATTGAAGCATGGCGATGTCGAATTTAACCCACAGCTTCCAGAATGGAAGTTTGGGCCCATTAAGAGACTCGGATATGGCGTCCTAAACAAAGTCATCCTTATTTACAAGCAACCCTTCTGGGATCTCACTCGACACATTTTTGGGGCGTTGCGATGTCCCGAAAATCCTCAGAGTGTTGACCAGTCAGATTATCGATCCCAGCGCGGTCGATTTTTCCAGTTCCTTGATGTCAGTGCGACCGCTGGCCTTCCCTGCTTGGTTGCTCTCATGGCGGGCGATGCTGCCGTCGATACTGAAACGGCGTCAGATGACGAGCTCGTTCTGGAGGCTACTGAAGTTTTAAGGAACATCTTTGGCAAAGATGCGCCGTTGCCTGTTGAGGTAACTGTTGCGAGATGGGCCAAGGATCGATTCTCCCGAGGAAGTTATTCTTCATCCGGCCCCGAAATGCTGCCGACTGATTATGATACCATGGCGAAGCCTGTTGGTAATCTTTATTTCGCGGGAGAACACACGATAGGAACCCACCCAGCAACCGTTCATGGCGCGTACCTGTCTGGTTTGCGAGCAGCTGGTGAAGTCCTGCATTCCCTTATCGGAGACATCCAAGTCCCAACACCCCTTCTTATCCCCAAGGAATCCCAGGCATTGAAGAGAAAAATGCTCGCCGAGGCAAAGGATCCACGGGAGATTTACGAAGAGCAAGTGTACCACCACATTATCGGCAAAATCGGAGAAAGACCTGCCCCGCCCGAGAAGATGTCCGCGAACGCCTACCGCCTCTACTGCTCCGCGAACCAGGATGTGGCCCGCGCAAAGTGCCAGGCTGGCATTCGACCCGGCAAGCGCAAGGGAAAGGCTGGCCCCAACGAGGTGCGCCACATGCTTTCCAAGATGTGGAAGCAGGCCACCCCCGAGGACAAGAAGCCATTTGAGGACATGGTTGCCGAGCGGAAGCAAGCGTACGCCCTAAAACTGGCGGAGTACGAGAGGCTTGCACCACTGTGGGATGAGAAGGCGGTTGTTGTCCGGGCCGAGTATGTAGAGGAACACCCGATTGCTGATCCTGGACCTGTCGATGGAGAGGAGGATGGACGAGTTGGGAATCAGAGGAGAAAGAAGCAGGTTCGCTATGCAGAGGATAGTGACGACGGGAGTGAGTAAAGGAGGAGGGATCTTGTAAAACCAGGACCTTGGTACTTTATAAGCTTATATACCCATGTTTCTTTTTTCATCGATATCTTTCCGTGGATGGCGCTGGTCTTTAGCATGCAAGAGTGGGGTGCAACGAGGCGTCCTGAGAACTTGGTGAGATGCATTAGAACTGCGGCTATGCTTTACAGCTTGATGTCTTAATAAACTTTGTTCGTGAAGAAGAAGCCTTGGTGAAGATATAGAAATTGGGCAATGGGGTGAGAACGAGGTATTTATGCATTCCAGCGTACGAGGGAGGACGAAATGTTGTTTATCATGGATAACCCTCCATTCCATGGGTAAACAATGAAGAGGAGGGATGGGGAATCAGCTCTTCTCTATACTTCGTCTTCCATTCCTTCTTCTAGATAACAAGAAAAATATATTCACTTGGGGCTTTAGTACACAGGTTGGATAGTTGGCGATAAGTTAACACCGCTTTCCGAGGAGATAGCAAGATATAAGAAACAAAAGGAAAAAAAGAAGCGTTCAGTTGGTGTTTTTTGCTTCCAGCTTCGAATTCTTGACCCTCTTCCCTCTCCCGGTGCAGATCCTTCACGCCATTTAAGGCCAGGGGAAAAAACTTTTTTTACATGTCCTCGGAGGCGGTAGCACCAGTGATAATTTCCACCAACTCTCCGGTAATGACGGCTTGACGGGTTCGGTTGAAGAGAATCTGGTACTTCTGGATCATCTCACCAGCGTTCTTGGAGGCGTTCTGTAGAGAGAAGAAATAAGTCTATTAGCTTCCGAACAACAGTAAAACGTCCAGGAAATGGAAAGAAACTCACATCCATAGCATTTCGTCGGGCAGAGATCTCGCAAGCATGGCCCTCAGCAAGAGCCCAGTAGAGAGAGTTGGCCAAGCCGTATTCCCTGAGGTGAGGGACGAGCTCCTCCTCAACCTCGAAAGCGGAGAAGTTGGCTGTGCCAAAAGGTTAGACGGAGTACAAGAGAGCTAGATAGACGGGTTAACAACTTACGGGACTGGGTGATGGCATCAACGGAAAATGCCTCAATAGAGGTGGGCTCGTAGCTCGTGGCGTTGATGAACTTGTTGTAGAGAATCTTGACCTCGGAGTACTCGTTGGGAAGGAGAAGAATCTGGTCAACAATAGCCTGAGCATCGGCAAAGGTGGGGATGTCCTTGCCGATACCAGCAATGCTGAACTGGATGTCCTTGGCGTTGGTCCTGCTGAGCTGCGACTTGCACTTCTCACCGATGATGACGAGGTCGTAGCTATTGGGGTTCTCGGCGAACATGCGGCGGACGGTTCGGCTGATACCGGAGTGAATACCACCGCAGAGACCCTTGTCGGAAGAGCAGACGATGAGGAGGGTCTTCTTGTCTCCGGGGATGGCGGCGGTCTCGGCAGAGCTGTAGACCTCGTTGGAGGTGCTACCGTACTTGCGGGAGTCGTCCATGGCTCGCTGAGCGCGGTTGAGCTTGGTGGAGGCGACGATCTTCATCGTGTTGGTGATCTTCTCGATGTTTCGGATGGACTTGAGGCGGTCCTCGATCTCTCGAAGGGTGGCATAGGTAGCGGCTGTGCTTGGCACACCGGCGACGACCCTACACCCAACAATTCCATCATCAGTAAATCAATCGCCTCAGGTAGGCCCAGTACATCGCCATAAATCGGTTGCATCCTATCCGCGTCGTGGTGTGGCCAGTCGTGGGTCTGATTCGCGCCGCTCGGCTTGGAGGAGAATTTGGACTCACCTAGGAGCCGAAGCCGCAGCCCGGATAGCCGGCCTCGCTGCCCTCGAAAGCATCGTGAATAGGGGGGATGAAAGAGTGGAGTTGAAACCTCTGCCAGGAGCAGGTCAATTGATCGGCGAATCAATTGACTGGGAGGGGACTTTCAATTGGGGGTATGTGGCGGGTTGAGCTTTTGGATGGCTCTCTCTTTTGACGAGGTTATTTTCAAATCATCACCCTTCCTGCTAGATCCGAACGCAGTTGCGGACAGCCGAGCTTTTCGTCCACGTGATGTTTCACGTGTATCCCAAAACAGGAAAAAACAAAAGTGGACTCGGGAAAAAATTGACCTCGATGACTAACGGGAGACGAAATTTTTGTCTAGGCCGATGGTTAATTTTCGCGCTAACTTAGTCAGGCCGGGCCAGACAACACATGCACAGAACGCCGCTCAGCTTGGGACACGCGAAATTGACGACCTGTCCCTTCCATTGGACAGCCTCTGTACACTACTGTAATCCTCTTGTACCCATACAACCCCCTTGCAAATCCGACTTGGTCCCATTCAGAACCATTGGGTATAACAATTGGGTATTAGGTGAGCATCTGACTCGACAACAAAGAGCGTAGTTCCCCAGGTCGAGCCTCCCTCTTTTAGCTCTTTCCGTTGAATAATGTGAGACACGTGACTTCGGGCGCTCCACAAATCCACTTTTGCGTTGTCCGGAGTTCATCCGTTACAAACACACCAGGGGCACAGACAGGCGCAAGAGGAAGCGACGAACCGAGCCGGTTGTAAACTTTAGGGGAGCGAGGCGTGCTTGCTTTACCACCCGTCACGACTACTTCCAAAACCTGAGTCTTCTAATACTTTCCTTCGCCCGCCCACTTTCCCCCCCTTCCTCCTCTCCTTCTTCCACCATTTTTCCCTCACGCTCCTTTCTCTTTCTACCACGTTTCCGAGCACCTCCATGTAGGCCATTGACTCCAGCAGCTTACCTTTTTTTTTTCTCTTTTTCTACTCGTCGAGTTTATCTCTCCTCCGCTAGCCTCGCAGAGCCCGTGGGCAACCCATCGCCACCCGATTCCGGCACGACTCGGCGAGCCCGTTCTTGTGTCCAAAACACTCAAATCCTGATCGCGTCGCCGACCCATCACGACCCGATCCGAGTCACAATGAGTTCAAGTGGATCTGAGGATGATATGCCTCTTGCCCGTTTCAACAGGCGTGGTAAGTGATGTGGCATCTTTAGCGAGGATCCTCCGTCGGCTCTCCTGCCCAGCCTGGGGGTCGGAGTTGACGTGTCACGATTGCCTCTTTCCCATAAGCACTAACCCCATAAGCCTCATCATCGCGTTCCTACCATTAAATTGAGTTAATATCTAACCCAGTTCCCTCTCAACTAGTCTCAGGAGGGATGAATTCGAAAGTTTCCTCCGACGCCATGGATATCGATGGTCCGCTTACCAATGGATCAGCCAAGCGAAAATCTCGATCCTCCATTAATAAGGTCAACTATAAGGACGAGTCGGAGGATAGCGATGATGGTCAACCCTTGGTAAGGGCTCCTATCCGTTTCCCACCCTTTTGGGCGGGCTTGTACTGACAGCACCCTTCGTAGGCGAAACGCCAACGAACACGAACCATGGTCCCCGACGACGATTCCGATGATGCCCCCCTTAGCAAGAGCACGAAAGCAAAGAAGACGCCTGCCGAGAAGGCCATCAAGGATGAGTCGGATAGCGATGATGACAAGCCTCTCGCAAAGCCTGCCGCTAAGCGCAAGTCAACCGGTAGCGCACTTACGAAGAAAGCCAACGGGGTCAAGAAGCACGAATCCGATTCGGATGTGCCACTGAAGAAGCCTAAGAAGGCGGCTGCAACTGCCAAGGCCAAGGCCAATGCCACCAAGACGAAGGCCGCTGCTACCAAGGCCAAGGCTACGCCGGTGAAGAAGGCTGCCAAGCCTGAGTCGAAAGACCAAAGCGAGGCTCCTGAGGAGGCGGAAGAGGAGTACGAATGGTGGAACGCACCGAAGAAAGAGGACGATACGATCAAGTGGACCACTCTCGAACACAATGGTGTCCTCTTGGCTCCGGCTTATACGCCTCTTCCTTCCCATGTCAAGCTGCACTATGATGGCAAGCCCGTGAATCTTCACGTCGAAGCTGAAGAGGTAGCCTGGTTCTTCGGCTCTATGCTCCACTCAACGCACAACGTCGAGAATCCTGTATTCCAGAAGAATTTCTTCACCGATTTTAAGGAGACTATCAAGCAAACCGGAGGTGCCACTGACAGGCACGGCAACAAAGTCGACATCAAGGAGTTCTCCAAGCTCGATTTCACCAAGATTCATGAATACTGGCACACGACGAATGAGGCTAGAAAGGCCAGATCCGCAGCCGAGAAAAAGGCTGAGAAGGCCGAAAAGGACAAGGTTGAGGCTCCCTTCATGTTCTGCAAGTGGGATGGCCGAAAAGAAAAGGTCGGCAACTTCCGTGTGGAGCCTCCTAGTCTATTCCGCGGTCGTGGAGAGCACCCCAAGACTGGCAAGGTCAAGCGTCGTGTTATGCCAGAGCAGATCACGATCAATATCGGCAAGGAAGCCAAGGTCCCCGAGCCTCCTCCGGGTCACAAGTGGAAGGCCGTTCAGCACGATAACAAGGCTACGTGGCTTGCTATGTGGCAGGAGAATATTAATGGCGCCTACAAATATGTCATGCTTGCCGCGAACAGTGCCATCAAGGGCCAGAGCGACTTCAAAAAGTTTGAGAAGGCCCGAGAGTTGAAGAAACACATCGACAGGATTCGCCGAGATTACACCAGGGATCTCAAGAGCGAAGTCATGGCGGACAGACAGCGTGCCACGGCCGTCTATCTTATTGACAAGCTCGCTCTCAGAGCTGGAAACGAGAAGGACACCGAAAACGAGGCGGAGACTGTTGGTTGCTGCTCGTTGAAATACGAGCACGTAACTCTCAGGGAGCCCGACACGGTCATTTTCGATTTCCTCGGTAAAGACAGCATTCGTTACTATGATGAGGTCAAGGTCGACAAGCAAGTGTTCAAGAACTTGAAGCTCTTCAAGAAGTCTCCCAAGACGACCGGTGATGATATCTTCGACCGCCTCACGGTAGGTTTCTCATGCATTCCGCACTCAACGTGGGTGAGCTAGCTAACATTTTCTATGTCTCTAGACAAGTCAACTGAACAAGCACCTCTCAGGTTATATGCCCGGCCTTACGGCCAAGGTGTTCCGTACTTACAATGCCTCGATCACAATGGCAAGGCTCCTGAAGGAGCTCAAGGGTGACAACCGACCCATTGCCGAGAAGGTCAAGCTGTACAACGACTGCAATCGTCAGGTGGCCATTCTCTGTAACCACAAGCGAACGGTGGGAGCCAGCCACGAGCAGCAGATGGAGAAGCTCGGCGACAAGATCAAGGCCTACCAGTACAAGAAGTGGCGAGCCAAGCAAATGATCCTGGACCTTGATTCCAAGCAGAAGAAGAAGAAGGGTGCCGAATGGTTTGCTATGGACCCGGAGCTGACTGAGGAGTGGATCCTTGAGCACCAGGAACAGCTTGTCGAGAAGGAGCGTGAGAACATTCAGAAGAAGTTCCAGAAGGAGAACGAGAAGCGCGCCGCCGAGGGAGAGAAGCCTCTTCCGGATAAGGAACTGAAGGAGCGGCTCAAGGCGGCCAACGAGCTTCAGGCCAAGTTCAAGAAGGAGAACAAGTCGAAGAAGGTTGCCGCTGAAGGCCGAGGTGTGACGGTGGAGAAGCTGGAGGCTCAGATTGTCAAGCATGATACTCAAATCAGCAATCTGAGACTCCAGGCTGAAGACCGTGAGGGTAACAAGGAGGTTGCCCTGAGTACCAGCAAGCTTGTAAGCCGCACTTCTCCGTTTTCTGTCTATTTCTTCTATGTCTATCCGCCATGCCTGATGCTAACAATGGTTCATAGAATTACATCGACCCCCGTCTTACGGTCGTCTTCGCTAGAAAGTTCGACGTTCCTATTGAGAAGTTCTTCTCGAAGACGCTGCGGGAGAAGTTTAATTGGGCCATCAAGTCAGTTGAAGATGATGACTGGGACTTCTAACGCGGGGGCCGTCGAACGCCTTTCCTGCTCTCAATTCGAAGTCTTTTACATAGATGTATTGATGCTCTTTCTGCCCACGACTCAACAGCACTGTACTTTCAACCACACTTTGATTCCGTTGTTCTTAGTTTCTTTTTTTCTTTTTTTCTTTTTTTTTTTTCTTTTTTTCTTTTTCTCTTTTTCTTCTTGTCTTTTCTTCTTGTTTTGTTGACCTTTTCCTATTACCATGTAAATAGATGGCAGCCAGCCAGCCTCGACCATCTTGGTAGGGGCAAGGTATCTTGGTTTCGCGGCAAAACTTCATTAGCAAGCAAAGCAAGAGGCAACTCAGGGGCGCATAAACAGGGGTGGTGGATGGAGCGGTTCGAATAAGCATAAAAATCTTTTCGGCGTGAGAGAATCAAAAAGGGAGGAGCACGCGTGCCATGTCCACACACGCAATTGATTAGAAGAGCGTCTGGATCTTTTTTTTTCTTCTATTTTTCTTAATCCTTCTTTTCAAGAACTTTTTCAAGGAATTTTTTTTTCCCCAGGATTTATGTTCTTTTGAATTTCTATTGCTTGGATGTCTATGCTGAAAGAGAAACAATGATCAACTATCCTCGTCCCAACTTGAATGGTGATGAATCTGAGAAACAATATCACCAACCTCTATTTGTCGACTAGGCGTCGAGGCATCCTTAAGACACCCCCATTTTCGACACCAAGGATGTGTTCATTGACTTGCCAGTCATTGCATTGTCACTCAAGCCCAGTACTTACCTGTCGCAGCCGCTGTTCGATATACAAATCAAGAATCAGTATTCATACTGAGAAACCATTATCCGTTTGTCCGTTCTATGATATCTATGTTTCCAACGCCACAAGGTTGTTTGTCATGTAAGAAAATATAAGCACCCGAGCGAGTCGGGTGGAATCCGTCATCATGTACTCTTATACTAATAATCACTGCGAGCCTCTCAATTATCTGACCCTATTGACTATTTCTTTTTTTTCTCTCATCCCGCTATCCGCTATCGTATGCCTCGCTGTGGTGGGTATCAATATCATAGGGACCAGTATCCCCTGTGATAAAAAAAAGAAAAAGTGATAGTCTATAATGCCGCCTCCCGTCCATTACGCAGAGTCCGTGTGACAAAAGTAAAACACAGAAGGGAAAAAACAGAAAAGAAAAGAAACGAAAAACAAGAACCAGGGCGCGCCAACATAGTTAATCTAGGAAGAATGACCAATAAAGATGAGAGCGCCAAGCAGCAAAGAGCTCAGCAAAGCAACAAGAGGAGGCCTCACGCTCGCCGAATCATTCGGCACAATCTTGCCCTCCTCGGTCATCCTCCAGCCGTCTGGAACGGAGCCCTGGTCGGGAGTAGCGCCAGGTACCCACGGCCAACCGGTCTGGGTCAGCGTAGCGTCACCGCTCGCGGTGCCGATACCGCCCTGGGGCACGCGCGGAGCGGAGCTCCCATCCGTAGGGGAGGCGGCGCTCGCGGTGGCGGTGATCATGTCGACGTTGCCGATGTTGCCGTTCACCTCGCCGTCGACGGCCTCGATGGATTGCCAGGAGCCCGAGTTGTCCTTGTAGCGATACTCCTTCCCCGTGGAGTAGTCGGTGACGGCGATGGATTGGACCCTCATGGTGAAGGGCCCGTTCTCGTAGTTGGTCAGGCCACCGGCCCAGTCGATGGTTCCCTGGGCGTTTCCCGGGTCGCCGCCGGCCCAGGCTCCGAACTTGAATTGCATGGGTGTCTGGGGATATTGGTTCGCCTCGGCGGTGTCGGCGGTTTGCGTGCGGATCTCGGTTCCGTCGACGAGCCAGACGATGCGGTCCTTGGTCCAATCTATGACGTAGGTGTGCCAGTCGGCTTGGTTGTTCGGAGCCGGGTTGAACTGTCCTCTATTGTAACTGCCAACTATACCCTTTCCGAAGTAGTTCGTCTGGACCTGGCCGGAGTCGACGCCGAGCCATTCGAGGTCGATTTCGTCGAGGGTGTCGGATTGGAGGACGGCGGAGCTGACGATGCCGGTTCCGGGCGCCGCCTTCATGGTGATTTCGACGCGGCCGAACATGATGTAGAACGTCGAGATAAGTTGTGGTGCATCACCCGACCGCGCGACGCTGAAGGAGACGCCGTCGCCATCGTAAATGGGGGAGCCCGAGGCTACGAAGGAGTTTACTTCTCCCTTTGTGAAGTCTACTCGGATTGCCATGCCGAGGGCAGTATCCGGCGGGCATGTCGCTGCGGCAAGGGGGTTAGCGGGGAAGAACGCAGTATGGTGGGACGAAGGAGGGGCTTACTTGTTAATGGGTTGCAATCCGACCATGTTTGGGCGAAGACTGTGGGGGGGAGTGTTGCCGCCAGCACGGCGGGAAGAAATTTGACTATCCTCATGGTGGCGCGGCAGAGTCCGTGTGTGCGGGAATATTGGGTGGTGGTGGTGACGGCGCGAAAGGGACGGAGAAAAAAGCTCGAGAGGGAGAGCTGGAGATATCAATTGGTCTCTGCTGCTTTGTGCTTCGTAGGGGATTGTGGATTGTGGATTGTGGATTGGCGGATTGCAGGTTGCGGATGGTGATCGGAACTCCGTCGAGGCGATGTTATCGAAAAGGGAAAGTCGGAATGCAGCAAAATATATAGACAAAGGACAAAAGTGTAATCAAGCCAAGGAGAGGATCAATACACGGCACAATGCAGCAGCAATGCTGATGGAGATTAAGGTCGAGGTGTGCCAAGTCCAAGTGAGGCGAGTGTGCAATAGGATAATTGAAAGAAGCAGTCTAAATACGTTGTGCGATGCTGATCAGATCTTAGTATACAAGCGTTGTTAAGAGGTTAAGAGTGTTAAGAGTGTTAAGATGTCACAAGGAAGCAAGATCGATGTCTCATGTGGATGGGAGCGAGATTGGATCTTTAAGGAAGGACCAGATGAGAGAGATGGAGAAGTGGCATTAATAGCAGGCAATAGCATTGGCATCGCAGCATTTTGAGCCCAACCACCTTGGATCTCTTGGATCTATAAGTACTTTTCGTATCTACTGGGGTACGGACATGGACACGAGGTCTTCCATGGCCTGGCGATGACATCAACTCGCAGTGGGGCCGAGGGACGACATTGGAACAATTCAATTGAAGAGGTGAATGACGAAGATGTCAGGATATTCCAGATGCAGGCATGAGCTGGCAACCATCTTTTGTTTTTGGCGCCCTCCACAAGGATCAATTTGATCGAATCGGAGATTGGAGGGGATCGATCGAGGTGGTTGGGGACGACGAAATAACCTCAACTAAAGTTTACGGAGTAGTTTAGAGCCCACTAAAGCCCAGCTCCGACCCTGCTGTTCCTGGCGGTGGCGGGGCTCTGTAATTGGCTCAAAATTCACTTCGTGCTCGTGGCAACTACTGATGAATCCGAAGCTGTCAAGGGCAGCCAGGAACGGAAGAATATAAAACTAGTTGGGAACTCTAGTTTAACAACGATGGCGCGTTGGCACCGTTATTATTAGTAGCCAGCCAGGGCTAGCGTTCCAGAGCCAGCTAGCTGCCTTCTTCAGGCGCTAAGCCATCAAATGTCGCACTAAGAAAAGACGTGGCTGGTGCAAGAAAACTGATCAATTGATGACGAAGTCGAAGCCGAAAAGACATCAACTGATTTGATCAATACTGCCAATAATATTCGACAACATTAAATTTCAATCTCTTCGGTCCGCCATATACTTCGTAATTACGTGAGTATTATCCCAAAATGCCACAAAAGGAGGAAAAGAAAAAAAGGAAACACGCCAAGATCTCGCTGGTGTCGTGTCGGCCCTTCTCGCCAAAGCTTCGGATTCGTAAACGTCTCCTGGAACGCAGCCGAACCTTAGGCCTGGTCACACCAAATCGTCTGGCACTGCCTCATTACTCTGATAAAATTGACTCCTGGCGAGTCTCAAACAGGAACTCTTAACCTTAAGCCCGAGGACAGAGCAGGAGCGTCAACGGACTTGAACATTTTGACCAGGAAGAAGACCATGAGACTTGAACCTGAGCTTGAACTTGAAAGGGCGTTAGTTCATTATCCGTGTCCTCAGTACGAAGTACCTGTTTCCCGTTTCCTATCCAGAGATCGGCGAGTTTTCTTTTCTGAGGGTATCTGCACGGTTAAGGTCCTGATCCACGGCTCTTGTCCTTCACAGACGTCCGTGCCTCCTTCGCACGAGCGTTCCTTTGACCAGCGCATCTTGGATGATCTTGCAGGTCGCAGGTTGCAGGTTGCGTCCATCCCGGAATGAGAGATCGCCCTACGGATTCACTTTCGGGTTCCCCGACAAGCCTCGTGGCAGCATGGGATGGACAAGGATAAGCCCCAAACCAGTCGGGGCGTTCCATGTTTCCTTAGCCCGGCATCTCTTGGGCCAGCCCAATTCCTTTCAAAAACGGATATAAACCAAGTCATGATAACCAAAATGCGCTACTCTTCCGTCCCGCCATGGGATTGCCGGCTGCGGACCCCGATGATACCAACACTACGCAGTACATCGACAGGCCGGGGATCCGAATCCGAGGTATTGGTGAACATGACATGAAATCAAGGCAGTCAAATTAACTAACACCGGGATGATCGTATGTGAGGCACCAACCATGACCACCATAAGTTAGAGAATGTACGAAGTAGTTAACAGTTGAAATAAGCGTTCTAATATTATTAATCTTCTTCAGGAACCCATCTGCACATCTCACATTTCCCACTGCAAGAAAGCATTGGTAGAAAATATCGGTTCGCCTTCAATCCCAATGCAGATACCGTTTTGTGGCGGAGCTGCTGCAAGTCCAAGAGCACACAGGCAGCTGGTAGGTCCACGACTTTCCCCAATCTGAGAGTCGAGAGACGCAGCGACAGACCCTAACCCGGGTTGGTCTTGAATGTAATACCGAGAATGGGAAACAACATTTGCATCCTCAATGAGTCTTTGCCATGGCAAGCTCACCCGCCAATCGAGTCATCGTCCAAAGCAAATTGCAAATGCGCTACTTCTACTAAACTGACCTTGGTTTTTCTCGACGAGGGAAAGATCGTGAGCCTATCAGAGAGCAATTCGCGAGTCCCATGATGATCGATCTTCACTTTCAATTGATGCTTCTTCGTAGTTTAGTTCTTACAAGTCCGGTCATGCCTCACCACGCTGCACTGCCACCGACCCCAAGGACCCGCAAAGAAGCACATCGAGGCTTCTCTCCTTCACCAAGGCTCACTCCAGATCGCTCTAGACTCATAGCATCGTCGGCGTGCTGCCGATTAACTGGAAAAGCAGCCCGACAAAGGCCGCCCGGGAAGCTTGCTTGGCGTGTTCAACGTTAGTGGTGGCTGTACGATTTCTGAGGTATCAAGCTATCTATGAGTTCTTGCAGTCCAGTTTTCCAATGCCACAGCCACGCCCGATCCACCGTGACAATTCGCGGCGAGGTGTAACGAAGGAGTTGAGCTTATCCAACACACAAGCCCACATCAAGTACTTGTAGGGTCTGGTGCCCCAGTCACACTGAAGCATCAACTCTCTCCAATCGAAAAAAATCTGCTTGCTGCTATGGCACACATCAATTGATAAGTGTCATTTCATTAACCCGATTGGCAATTCCCGGAGAGTTTTGGTCTGACGACAGATATTGTCTCAGCCTCTCAGGTACCTCGTACCTTGCATCGCCCAGGATGTTGAGAGGCGGTTGTGTCGACGAGCCAGTCGGCGGAATCTGCACTGATTTCCTCAACGTCACCAATTCCACGGACAAAGGAAATGAAAACGAGATGGGAGGGAAGGGATCGGAGAGGGAGGGGAAGAATAGAGAGGAAAAAAGCAGCTCTTCTACGTATGTTGGACGCCGACCCTACGAGGTCAAGGGACACTGCTGCCTAGCCAGCCGTCAAGCGGTACTTTGTAAGCACTGCACTGAGTAGTCTCAATTTGCGTGGCAAATTTGTCCAAGGAAAATCTCCTTTGCACGCTGTAGCCCAAGACCAGTAGCAGGTGTCCAGCCGCCAGAGCCTGGTCTCGTGGGTGGGATGGACTGGATCTCGGACGCCTAAACACCTTGGAAGCCTGCGCTGGGGTTTGCCCAAATTCTTACTCCGTACAGCCAGCCAGGCAGAGCTTTGCTCATTCTCTGGCGCGACCACATCTTAGGATGACGGAAGGCGGGGTCAATTCAGAGTATATACAGACATGTTGCTCGGATCCCTCGACCTGTCAATGATTGTTTGCTCTTTGCTTATTTACAACGATACTACCACATAGTCGCCGACTACCGAATTCTGCAATCTGCAAGTGTGAAACCAGCATGGAAGCTTTCTAGGTGGGGAGTGTCTCAACTGTCTTGAACGCAATCTATTAAAAGAAATGAAATCTGCCATCCTCTCTGTGAGATGCTTCGGGGAAACCTCCTCGGTGCAGCTGTCGGTCCGTTACGTTGGTACAATCTATCCTTTATCCTCAAATTCTCTTGCAATCTTTGGGGGGGGAATAAGAATGAGAAAAGAAAGAGGAAAGAAAAAGAATACTAAGAAGAGGAAGAAAAAGAAAAGAAGGAAAATCGAACGAAAGTGTATAAAGACAATGAGCTATGATGCAAGTCCCTCTAAGCACGCGCCGTCCTGTAACCAACTCCAAAATTTCTCGAGGTTGGAAAGGAAGAATAACAGCACAGACTGCCCCTCCCCCACCCCCCAAAAGAGGAAAGAAAAAAAGTGACCCTCGACCCCGAATCCCGGACTCCGATCGTCGGGGCGGCTGAGATAGCCAGGCGGATTCAAACGGCAAAATAAGGTCAAGTTTTTTGCCCTTTATTACCAGTAACGATGGGGATCCCGCGGCACGTCGGCTTCACGACGACCATTGAGGACCATCGCCTTTACCTCCGGAGGCCATGTCTGACCGACTGATGGGACCGTGTCTTGAAAAAAATCTGGGGATCCCGATCGAGGGAGAGGTTGACCGCCAGACACGGGCCTTTCCCCATCTACTCCAGCCATGACGTCGTTGGTATCTCTGGTGTTTGGGGGTACCGGTACCATAGAATAGGATAGGCCTGGGAGTCTCTGTCCTGGAGGCGAGCCGCACTGGGCACACATGGTGGCATTGTCTGAGATAGTTTCGTCGCCTGGGATAGCTGCAGGTCCGCTGCAGCGCGGTTCAGTGATGGGCAGAAGTGTCTCTTGTTCGGAAGGGTTCTGGTGGAGGGCCGCGGCCACGGCCGATCGCGACCTCCACCACCTGGCCAGCAGCCATGTTGGAACGCAGGCGAAAAGGGCCACAAGGGCGTAGCGATTGCTTGCATTTTGTTAGCGGTTTTCCATCGGAGAGGAATTCGAGTGGACAATGGAGAATGGAGAATGGACAATAGAAAATAGACGACGGGGCTTCTTACAGTGAGTGGCTGCCTAATTCATCAGGGGAGAAGAGTTTGCGGATGACCCAGGCCGCGGCCGGCATGGAGTTGTTCGCCATAGTTGAGCAGGTATAGCTGAGGAAAAAGATAAAGAAATGTAGGAAGAGCTGGAAATTTGTCAAGCTAGGCAGCGGGGAAGAAAGAAGTATCGATGATCCAGGGCAGGGCTGGGGGATGTCGGGATGTCACAGGGTGTCTTACTTAGAAACGAAACGTTCTTGGGGAGCGACGGCTATTTATTAGCTTACTAGCACGTACAATTGCACCCGGGTTGTCGCACCAAGACATTACTTTAGTACATGGTACTTGTATATGTCAAAGATATAACTCTTCCTACTAGCTAATAGATATCAGAGTGACCAAGGCCAGGCGAGACCAGGCGAGCGTGGGTCGCGGCTCGCGGACCAAGCCTCTGTCGTTTTTGAGATTTGATAGAACGGTAAACTCGAGCCAGGCCAACTTGACCGTTTTGGTCTCTGTCTTTCACCTCAGTCGAGGGTGTGTCGGCGCCGCTGTCATGAAAGTCTTTCTCATATCGTCCTATATGAGTGTGTCGGGTTAGGTAGAATGGCGGCGTTGCCCAGCTCATATATCTTCTTCTTTTTTCCCTTTTTCTTCTTCTTATTCTATTTTATTTTCGGAAGGCGACTTTAGCAGCTGGTAGCGTCTTTCGGATTGGCATCCGTACAGTCCTATAGGGAACCGCTATACTTCGTAGAATTAATGGGGTCAACGGACGAACTGGTTCGAGCTGAGGGCAGTGAACTGGCTCACTTTGCTTTTTCTCGCCTGCTTGAACCCGTCCGGTGCCACGAGAGCCTAGGAATCTGCCTTTCCAGTTCCATAGGAGACGGAGACAAATTTAGCGCCAACATCAGTTGCCAACGTTTCTACCGTTTCCGTATTGCAGCAGTCTACCGGTTTGCGGACTGGCCGAGTATGTGGGCAACCTGGTCTCGTGGTGGCTTCCCCAAAACCCCTTTGGCCTTCCCTCCCCTCTATCTACCCCTCCTCCAGGTACTGTAAAACGAGGGATTGTGCTCAATGTTGAATAATTGAACTTTTCAGGGTCAAACTACAAGGTTTGGCCCCCAAGGCCCCCAAAGTTGCAACTCGTATTCCCGGACGCCACAAACTGAACTTGTACCTTTGCGCGGAATAGTCAAGAGAAGCAAAGCACCCCATGGAATTCCATGGAATGATGGGGGCATCAAAAGAGAGAGAGAGAGAGAGAGAGAGAGCAAAGGCAAGATCCCGAACGTGTCTTTGAAAGTGACGGGTCTTCAGCCCATTTGGACACACCGCAAGTGTTGTCTTCAGGACGGAGAGAAAAACGATGACTGCGTGGCGGTTGGTTTGTTTCAATTTTCTTCCGTCCCGTAGCCTTTTCGTCTGTTCAATTGGTTTTCCTTTCAGCCCAAAGCTATTCCAGAAGTTCTGTGAATTTGTGGCTGCAGATGGCCAGGCCAGCGATGCTACCAACGCCATGCACCATGCCTTTTCTGTACCCTCCATGAAGACCAGCACCTTGCATTCAGCAATCCTTTTCACGCCTGGCATGGCCAGTCTTGTTTCGTGGGCTCTAGAAAAGAAAAAGAGAAGGGAAAGAAATAAAATCCAACCTCACTGTTATCCATATTCACAAATAGCTGCTCCGTCCCCTTCGGCCAGGATCTCGACACCCGGCTGGAAAGCGTCAGCCCTCTACTGCTTTCGTTGGGGGACAACGCCACGGCTTCTCAGATCCTGCTGCCTCCCGAATCTTGTCCTACTTCGTACGAGGCGGGACCAAGCCCGTCCTGCATAGCTGGCATAGTTTCGTGTCACGATGCCTGAAAGATTCATACCGGTTTTTGAGGCCCGTGGACACGTCTGGATTTGGGAAGAGAAACCAATTGGAGGAAGGAGATGTGGAAAAAGACATGGATAGACACACAACCCGACGACGAGGCTCCGGTTTGCTGGTGGCAGTCGCTTCGTTGTCGGTCTTGCATGTGGATGCTTCACAGTCTATCATTGCCAGTTCGGTCCCATTTGCGCCGAGCCAAGTACCTGGTGGAAGCATGTCGCATGTCGCATCCTTCTGCATCCGCTTTCCGCACTCCTACAAAAAATGTCTGAGTAGTCAGTATTTCAGTCCTCCTTCGTGCATGGGCACCGACGTTTGTTTAGATTATCCGAACCGAAGATACCAGCAAACTTACGCTAATTGGCTGTTAAGGAACTCACTAACCCATACCGTTAGACTCGGCTACGATGTCAGCGAAAACCCCGACCTCGTCAACTGGTCGAAAGCTGTAGGCCGCACCGCAACCTGTAATGACTTGGTCCCTCAAGGCTTTACTACTCCAACCAAGTTCCCACCCGGGGAGAGCATGAAAAAAATATGAGGAATGAGAATGAGCGTACCCCGCTCAATGGATAAAAGCTATGCCTCCACGCCCCGACTGCTGCCGCCTGGTGAAAGGGGGCGGTGCATAAGACCCCGCAGGACCCCAAGATCTCAAGTACGACGAAACTTGTCCTCTTAGGAAATACTCGCTACTGGCAACGTGGAGACCGTTCGGTTGTTGCTGAAGATCGTCGCTGGCGCTATCGAGCTTTAAGAATCCGCGGCTGGCTCGTCGCGCCAGAGTGGCCGTGTTCACATACTTCAACCCTTGGTATAAGGAGCTCGGCTCTAACTGATCCTTGTCCAGTAATAGGGAGCGACTCCAGGTCCTTCATCTTCATTGACATTTCCGCCCGTCGTTACGGCCGAGCTTCTACTATAGTATATTAGACCTCTTCGTCCCTCGTCCATCTTCTTCGTGTGAAGACACCTCATATACCCTAAACTTTATCAGAAGTTCACTAGTCCCTCATATCTCCGACATTATGATCTGTGAGGTTTGCAAGTTTACACTTGCTTCGCAACGGGTGCCCCCCAAGGACACCCTTGACGACAACGAGCATCCTCAAGCGCACCATCAGACACTCGCTAGTCTCAAGCATTCTGTGGAGCTAGGATGTTATGTTTGTAACAGAGTATGGATTAATCTGTGTTTTGAGGAACGACGGCTCACTCCGGCCCTAGGAGCCGATGAAACTCGCAACCACACAGACTTTGTGGACGGTGTAGTTGATAGATCTGTCGACGCTCCTTCGACGATTTCCACCGTCAGTCGTTCGCAAAATGACGGCTATTTATGGTGTATCTACTTTCATTTGAAAATACCAGATTTCCCTCGGGTGAACCCTTCAGACCGGAAAGGAGTGATGTTTGTCTTGGACCAAAAAGATGGTAAGCAGTTCCCTTGAACGGGGTGGACAGTGGGAGGACTTTGGTGTGAAGGAGCGGTGTTCCAAGCTTACTCCTCATCTAGAGCCAGCATCTCAGGAGGTTCGAATAAACGAGAGCGAATGCGCAGGGTCAGGTGGCGTCTCCAGACCCTTATCTACTACTACAAAGGCCACGGAGACTTTGTCTATTGCACGACACTGGATCCATGAGTGCCTGAAAACCCACGAGGAATGCCCTGTCCCGAAGCAGGGTATTTACCCAACCAGGCTCCTTGACTGCGGTCCTGCCGATTCGTCGCGGTGTTGTTTAATCGAAACGACGAAGACCGATATCAGCGGCCCTTACCTCGCGTTAAGCCATTGTTGGGGCGGCTCCGAGAGCTTCAAGTTAACGACAGATAATTATCGCGGTTTATGCAACGGCGTCCCTATCTCATCCCTGCCTCAACTTTATCAAGATTCTCTTTACGTCGCGCGGGAGATGGGGGTAAGGTACATTTGGATCGATTCACTCTGTATTATTCAGTCGGGGGATAGCCTCGCCGACTGGAAACGAGAGGCGCCACTTATGAGCGAGGTTTACTCGAACGCGTTATGCACTATATCTGCGGCGGATGCACCCGATAGTTATCACTCGCTCTTCTCCGATAGAAACCCTGATATTGTTAGCCCTCCCACTACGCACCTATGGATTGACGGCAAGCTTGCTCGCTATGAGTTTTCCGATTGGGACCTCTGGAGAGTAGAAGTGCTGCAGGCGAAAGTTAACACCCGTGCCTGGGTTCTCCAAGAACGCCTTCTATCTCCCCGCATCCTGTACTTTGGCGCGCGCCAGGTCTTTTGGGAGTGTGTCACCAAGGAGGCTGCTGAGACTAATCCTGCCGGCCTAACGGGAGGTAGCGTAGGAAGCGATGTCTCCACTGGACGCGGCATCAGGGCCGCACTACTCTCCGCCCAAGACGCCGACGTTGACAGCATACTCTCATACCACTGGCCTAATGTGGTTAAGCTCTTCACGCACTGCGACCTTACATTCTCTCGCGATAAGCTCGTGGCTGTCTCAGCTCTCGCGAGGATGATGTCAACGATTTCCGGCGAGGATTACGTTGCAGGAATGTGGAAACGTACACTAGAGCGGAATCTCCTCTGGTTCAAATCGAGGAATGGTGCATCTAGGGTCCAACCTCAGGTAGACGCTGGTATATACCGCGCTCCAAGCTGGTCGTGGGCTTCTGTGGACGGCCAGATTGAACCTGGAAGGATCTCGGGCACCAGACGCAGGGATGTCTTAATCAAAGCGGAAGATATGAAGCTGGACTACGTCACAGATGATAGGATGGGAACGATACAGGGAGGATGGCTGAGGCTCCGCGGCACTCTACTATCCGTGAAGTTGTTACGACTAGACAACCCGCCCAGGCCTGAGGACGGTGCTTCCTGGGGTATCTGGATTGATTGGACTCCAAACAAGCTGCAGGGCTTAAATTACGCGGCCGAGAGTGAAACGGATCTAGATGTTATCTTGGACCGTCCTAGGGATAGCTTTGACCAGGATAACGAAAACGGCAGCTTGTTCTGTATGCCTGCGATGCTTTCATGCCGCAGTGGTGGAATTCCCAACATCTGTGTAATGTTACTTTTAGAGCGACTCATGGGGGAAAGCGGCCCATTATTTCGTCGCATCGGATGCCTCCTAGGAGAAGGAGATTTCGAGAGGAAGGTCTTGGGATGTACAGTAGGAGAGGAAGAGTTTCCATATAAGATATTCTTTGAAGAATGTCCATCTATCTACATTATCTAAGATAACTAATATAGTCACTCTCGTTCCCATCCTAGAGCTAGCTCATTTTAATACTATAATATATATATATGCTATCTCTTCAAGCTTTTATAGATACTATTTATAATATATTTTATATATTATAAGCTAATTAGAAAGGGTCTAAAGAGTTCAGGCCATCACCCATCGATATATCATTATTCCCATCTTGCCGAGACAAGGCATTTATCTATTTATACCAACCAACTGACGCCTTGAGCAAAGCGACGATGCCTCCGTTGTTCGCAAAGATAGGATAGCAGCGGTTAGGAGCGGGCCCCCGCCAACCAAATCAAACACCGTTCGATGCCCGGACCAACTGGCGACTTGGAACTGCCAGTGATGGAGCGAGCGGCCTTTCCTCTCCCGGTTTGGTCGCCGGTCAATGCCACGAGGGGGCTCATCCAATCCAATCGGCTCGAGCCCGCAAACTCGAGTGGAGGAGTTGGGTACACACCGCGGGGGGGGGGGGGGGGGGGGGGGGGGGGGGGGGGGTTTCGGCGTTGTCCCACAAGAAAAAAGAATGAAAAATCCTGGGAAGTGCAGGGTGTCACGAATTTGACATGGGAGATCTTACTCACTGGTTCCACATGGCTGATCCCATGTCTCGTTCCGGTTGGGCCGGCCTAGTGTCTCGATAGATCAATGGTTCAGTTCCGTGGAAGGGCGCAACGGAAGGGCGCTGCGGAAGGGCGTGGTGTCAATGCAAACACGCGATCATTGATCATGAATGGCTCCGTCCACGGCACTACGGTTCTACGGTCACGGCTTAGTCGCGGCTCCGGCTTTGCTGCCAGTTCGGTCGCGGGTATAAGTGGTTGATGGATCCCCCTCTTATCTGGCGCCGAACTTAATTGATGGAGCTTCTCTTTTTTGTCTTCTTGAAATAGTCTTCGTGACGTAATTCGTCTTTTTTATTAATTCTATTTTTTTTTTCAACTATTTTTTAATCTTTTTTATCATTTCGATACTCGCCACAAAATGGAGCCGTACGCATCGAGGATCAAGGACGCCAATGAGAGACGTGCCAAAGCCGGGAGGTACGCTCCCGGCGTTGCCGCATACTCGGACAGCGACATGTTCAAGAAACCTCCGGTAACTACTCCTCCGATGAGAAATATACAAAAAAAAATATATTCCAGAGTTCTGACGGCGCTCTTTGTAGACTCCAGGCATGCCAGTGGCCAAAAGATGGGACAGTAAGGACCTTAACCTTACCCGGACTCATCCTCATACTTACAAGCCACTCCTCCGCATCCTCATGCATTGATCTGTTCGACTCACCACTAACATATGTCTGCCTCGTGCCTTAATCCAGACCACTTCAGCGCAGAATGCAAAGCCCGCCGCCCCTGCGTCCTAAAGCAAGCAGCCCAATTCCTAAAAACCCCCGGCATCCTCTCCCTAGGCGGCGGCCTCCCCTCCGCCACCTCGTTCCCCTTCTCATCCCTCACCGTCACCGTACCGCCCCGTCCATCCTTCAACCTCCCCAGCTCGTCCACCGAAGCTCCGGACATCTCCTTCTCCATCGGCAAAGACGACATCGCCCTCGACAAGGGTGACTACGACCTTTCCGTAGCCCTCAACTACGGCCAAGTTACCGGCGCCGCCCAGCTCATCCGCCTCCTTACCGAACTGACTGAGATCCTTTACGCGCCGCCTTATGCTGACTGGTGGTGCATGCAGACGACCGGGTCGACGGGGGCGTGGGAGACGGCTGCGAGGATGTTTTGCGATAAGGAGAGGCGCGACACGGTGCTAATGGAGGAGTACACTTATCCCACATCGCAGGAGACTATGGAAGCTTTGGGGATCGGGATCGTTGGGGTGAAGATGGACGGTGAGGGCCTTGTGCCTGCGGAGCTGAGGAACATATTGCAAGGTTGGGACGAAGAGAAGCGGGGAAGGAGGAAGCCGCATGTGTTGTATACGGTTCCGACGGGGCAGAATCCTACAGGGGCGTCGTTGAGTGAAGGGCGAAGGAGGGAGATTTACGCTATTTGCGAGGAGCACGATGTCTTCATTGTCGAGGATGACCCGTACTACCTGCTCCAGATGGGAGAGTACAACAAGTCTTCTTCCGAGAACGGGCATTCGACCGAGAAGAGGGTAGAGTCTTACATGGCTTCATTGCCTGGCACGTTCCTAAGCATGGACAGCTCCGGCCGCGTCCTCCGCCTAGATTCTTTCTCCAAGATCCTCTCACCCGGTTCGCGCATGGGGTGGGCGACAGGATCGGCGCAGGTCATCGAGCGGTTCCAGCGCCATTGCGAGTCGTCTCAGGGCCCGAGCGGGTTCTCCCAGGCGGCGCTATACACGCTGCTCGAGAAGGCGTGGGGCGGACACGAGGGTTTCCTCGAGTGGGTGGCTGCTCTTGGAGGGGAGTACAAGGTGCGCAGGGACGTGCTGCTGAAGGCCTGTGAGGATTTCTTGCCTGATGTGGCGACGTGGGATCCTCCCAAGGCGGGCATGTTTGTAAGATTTCACCAATGTCCCCTTTTTTTTTTTTTTTTTTTTTTGTTCTTGTTTCCACCATTGTATAAGTGCTAACGGGATCTTATAATAGCTCTGGATTAAACTCGACCATACGAGACATCCCCGCGGATCCGCTGGTGTTCTGGCCCTTGAAGAAGAGATTTTCAAATCCTGCATCTCGAAAAAAGTCCTTGTCTCCCGGGGTTCTTGGTTCCGCGCCGGGGAACACGGCCCGTCTGTTCAGACCCAGAACGGAGCGAGCAGGGCAGACCCAGTAGCTAATGGAGGCGGTAATGAATCCAACGGGGCCAATGGCGTCAACGGGAAGAGCCACCTCGGATCGGAGGACGAACCTTCGGAGCTGTTCTTCCGGACGACATTTGCTGCTGCCTCGGTAGAGGGCATGAGGGAGGCGATGAGGAGGTTTGGGGACGCTATTAGAGAGAGTTTCGAGATTTGAGGAAACGTAAGAGTGAACGGAGATGGCAGTTTATGAAAGTCCATGAATTCAAAGTTAAGGGTAGATCACGTTGAGGATGAAACCTTAGAAGCAGTTTTCGATATCCAATCGAAGTTACAAATCGAGTTGCGAATGATATCCGTCAGTCATACTTAATCTCCCAAAGAAATATCCAAAGAAAAGTCCAAAATAAATCAGAACCCAAAAATCCCTCCAACTCCCATGGACCAGCCACGAACCAGTCTTCAATACATCTTTCCCCATCTCCCAATCCTCACTCCCTCTTCGCCTCCCAGAAAGCAACCACAACCCTCTCCCCAGGCTTCAGCGTCAAATCCGTCTTCAAACTCAAATCCTCATCCTCCCCGCCGAACCCCTTCTTCTTCTCCGGCCCAACGAAGCTCTCGACGCGCTCATACTTTTGGAACATGCGGCAAATCACGTACGCCATCTCCGTGAGCGCAAACTGCTGACCCACGCAGATCCTCGGCCCGGCGTTGAAGGGGACGTACTCGTGGCCCTTGGGGTGCCAGTGCTCCCACCTCTCGGGGCTGAAGAGGGCCGGGTCGGCGAAGGTTTCGGAGACGGGCGGGTAGATGTCCGGGCGGCGTTGCATCACGAGGGTCGAGTAGGCGACCGAGGTGTTCTTGAGCACGCCGACGGGCTGGCTGCCGTCGGGGCCTCCGCCGCGGGGGAGGGTGGTGTCGCGGAGGGCCACGCGGACGTTGAAGGGCACCACGGGGTAAAGGCGGAGCGTCTCGTTAACAACGGCCTTGAGGTAGGCCATGTTCTTCAAGTCCCTGTAGGTCGGCGGCGTGTCGGGCCCCACGGTAGCGAGGATCTCCCTCCGTAGCTTAGCCACGACTTCAGGATGGCGCGCAAGCTCATGCACGGCGAAGGAGAGCGTCGAGGCTGTGGTATCCCGGCCCGCGAGGAGTAGAGCGACGATCTGGTCTCGGAGGACCTTGCGGTCCCGCGTGAACCCGGCGGCGGCGTGTAGGAAGGTGTAGCCCTTATCGGATTTGGTCTTGGAGGCGAGCTCGTCGGGGCCGAGGGCGAGGGCGCGGTCGATATATTGGTTGACGAAGGAGTCGATGGTCTTGAGACCCGGCCAGAAGGTGGTGCGGGGGATGATCCAGGTTATGCCTTTTGCGCGGGCGATGAGGCCTTGGACGCGTTGGACTTCGTCGAAGGCTTCGGCGAAGGGTTCGTTGGGTTTGCTGGGTTCCTTTTGTTAGCTGAGTGTTGTCTGAGGAAAGGGGAACAAGGAAGGAGAAGAAGGGCAAACCCACAACATAGAATCAACTGAATGTCCAAACAAGAAATCCGTCGAAACATCCAAAGCCAACCGGTAAAACAAATCACTAATATCCACCTTCCTCCCATTCCCCTCCTCCAAATCCACAACCTGCCCCCCACCATCCAACGGTCCCCCATTCGCAATAGCCTTGAACAAAGCCTGCGTATGATCCTCAAAACAGTGCAAATCGCTCACCCGGTCCTTGATGAACTGCGGCCTCACGAGCTGCCGGCTCGAGTGCCACAGCTCGCCGTCCGTCGCGAAGATGCTGTCGCCGAGGAAATCGCGGAAGTCGGCGTGGAAGTCGGCGCCCTTGCCGTAGTCGGCGAACTGCGTCGACAGCACGGCCTTGATGTTGTCGGGCTCCGCGGTGAGGATGATTTCGTGGCCGGCGATGTTGGCTTCGGCTGTCCAGGCGCCGATGCGGCCGAATTGGCTTACCCAGTTTTGGAGGTTGCGGTTTCGGCGGTTTTCGAGGATACCGTTGATGACGAAGTCGATGCCTGGTGTTTCGTGTTAGTTCTTCTAATCTTGACTCAAGCCGTTATATAAGAAGAGCGTGGGGAGAGTGAGAGTGAGAGAGGGTATCGCATGATCTCTATGAGAGATTGATGCTACTTACCGAAGGGGAGGTAGTACTTGGCCTTGGGGGGCCGGGCACCGAGTCTGCTCCGACGACGTCTCCTCTCGACACCGACGAGCACAAGGTATATGGTGCACGACGCGGCGACGAAGACGGCAACCGACTTGGTCGAGAGCTGGCCGACGGTGTCATCAATGAAACCCATGGTGAAGGTGGTGAGCACTGGCGGGTTGAATATATATATATATATCTTCTGTCCCTCTCTTTCTCTTTCTCTTTCCGCTCCTCACTATCTGATACCCTCAATGAGATTGAGAGTTAGATAATGGAAGATGAAGAGATCAAGATCGGATATATAGACAAAAAAGGCATATAACAGTGACGGACTCGAATGTTATTATACTCATCTACCCATACACATCACCAGATCTTGGCAAGACGTGGGGTCCGACTTCTCAACTGCGTTCGTGTATGCGCCTACGCCTGTGTAAGTTGTATGAGCCGAGGCTCTAAAAAATCAGATGCTCGAGTGTCGCGAGTTGTGAGTTGCTGCCGTTTCAACCGCGCTAAAGCCAAGCACAAGAGACAGGACCAAAACCGAGTCTGACGCAGACAGATAGTTGGTGTCTGTGGTCGGAGCGAGGATCTTGTCCCGATCTCGTTTGGCCTAGATTCGAGATGGAATAATGGAGGGTATCATCCACGCGGGGGAAGGGAGGGGAGGAAAACTGGTGTAGTTGCTGGTCCTGATGCTGGTTGTTGGCTGATGTTGGTGTCTCGGTTTGACCACAACCTCCAAGTTCGATCCAGCTTTTCGTAGACTAATTTTCGTCACGTTAAAGCTCCCGCTTCCTTATTTATATAGATTCCTATTGATCAATCCATTAAAAAAAGAATGCTCCACTTCGCCCGAAGTTCGGCATCCATCAACCCCGCTGGCCCGTTTCCCTTGGTCTGTCTTCATTCAGATCTCGACATCTTCTCCGCAAAGTTTCAAACTCGAAATGAGCCCACTTTCCTCTCTACCCTAGCTCCATCCCCAGTCTAGAAGATCCTGGGGAAAACCTGGGGAAATATCCCGTCGGAGCAGGAGATGAATTGAAACGGAAACTCCAGGTTCTTTTCGTTCTCGTCCTCGTTCTTTTTTCTCCTTTCGATCCCGATCAAAGGTTTCCAACCCAGCATCTAGACTTCTAAACGAAGTAACTCCTTGCATCGACTTGCATCCGTTCCCACTTGATCGCGCGATCCAAACTACAAGAAGCAAAAGTAGCGCAAACCACCAAGTCCACCGTCACCACCACCCAATGGCAGACCTCTGCAACCCTTCGATGGTTCCCCCCATCGTACTAGCCCCGAAACCAAAAAGCTACAACCCGTTCCCCGTTGCTACCCAGCCCAGCCAGGATGAGTGGTACGAGAATAATACCGGCACTACTCGTTGGTTGTTCCCCGCAGTTATCCCCTTCTCCACACTCCACCGCCACCCTCCAACGGACCTTTCGGACTTTCCCAGGTCCGCGGCCGACGGGTCTTGCTTCAAATTGCGATCAATGTAGAAAGGATTGGATGGATATGTGTCGAAGTAAGGGTCATCCGCAGATACCAAGCAGTGGCTGATGTCCAGTAAAAGCCGTGCGCCGGCGACGAACGGGACCGGGGCTTGTGATCAGGCCGACGGTCCGGTCCTCTCGCTTCCGTGTCCTTCACCTCTTGAACCTCGATCATACAAGCTCTAAAGTTTCAATATTCTCAACCAACAAACACCAATCGAATGACGACGGCAAAAAAATGGATTTATAAAAAATGGTAATTATGAAACTTGTGAAGAAGAATGCCCATCAATGCAGTTTTCAGGGCTGAGCAGTGATAGCGGCTGCTCATCGAAGGTTAATAATAATAAGAACATTCGTATTTCATAAAATCCTCTCCCTAGGCTTCAAACAGCTCTCTGGCTGTCGAAGTCCAGCAGTTCCACACTTTTGTGTTCCTCCTCGGTCCCTCTCACTCAAACGATATAGGAGCACTCCTCGGGGTTCTCCGACTGCGAACAGAAAGTCATCGTAATTGGCGACGCGCCCACACCCCTGGCCACCATGCGTTCTCGCATGTCCAAAAGCCTCGGCGACGCATCGTACTGGCTTCGGTTCTGACCCGCCGCATCCTGTCGCCCCGACCAGAGTACCTCGCCTGCCGCACTGGCACGCGGCCACACCATGCTGTCGAGCGTGACCGGGTCGATCGTCTCGCTCCACACCGCCAACTCGCCTCCGAGGACGTTCTTGGCCTGCTCCTTGCTGAGTCCTGCTGCCGGGTCGTGCTGGTAGATGAGCTTCCAGTTCTTGGTGGGTCCGCACCAGTCGTTGAACGGATAGAATTGCTGGAACGCCGCGCCGTTGTCAAAGGTGAGCCACTGGCCTCGTCCGCAGTCGAGATACTAGAAGCCTCTATGTTAGTGACCCAGTAATGATTTATACCTAACTGCCTCTTACCCAGAAGTTGTAGTTGCTGTCGATAACCTTGTGGCCCTGGGCCGTCAGTGTGTTGACGGACTCCGCACCCAACCACGTCTGCACCACAACATCCTTGCCAATCGTCACGTTCCACTCCATCGGAATCTCCTCCCAGACCATGGGCGTGAGACCCGCCTTGCGCACGCGACGGTGGTTGACGTCGATGAACTTCTGAAGAAGCGGCTGCAGCACCTCCGTCTTGTTTGACCTCACTCCTTCGTCGAGCATCGAATCGTTCTTGTTCAACTCGTCGCCGCCCGTGTGGAAGTAAGCCGAGTAAGGTGCCACTCGCGGGAGAAGGTCGTCGAAGAGCTTCTCAAGGAAATTGTCGACGTCTGTATTGTTGAGCTTGAACGCACCGCACGGAGGCTGCGCACACCACCACTGATAGGGGATAAGGTTGTACGCTACGATGAGCTCGGGGAATGAGTGCGCTACGGATCCGATGTGGCCTGGCATGTCAATCTCGAGGATGACCTCGACTCCGCGGTGCGCTCCGTATTCCTGGATCTGCGCTAGGTCGGCTGGTGAATACGAATTCCCCTTCCTGTACGCACCCTTGGCCGAAAGTTCGGGAAACGCCGGGATATCGAGTGGCCACGACTGGGAATCGGTAACATGGATGTGAAGACGGTTCATCTTATTCCACGAGAGAGCATCAATAGTTCGCAGAATGTCCTTGACGGGGTACCAGTTCCTCGCCACGTCGAGAAGGACACCACGATGGGGATACTTAGGCTTGTCACTGATGGTAATGGGTGCGAGATTGGTGTACCAGGAGGTGCCAGTGGTATGCTGGTAGAAGAGCTGCACAAAGGTTTCAAGAGCTCGGAGGACCCCGACAGCCGTCTGGGCCTCGATGGTGGCCTCACCGTCGGTCGTTAGCTTGAACGTGTACGACTCGTCGACCTCGCCGGCGAGGGGCTTGTAGCACGATGAACTGTTGCTTTTAGCATGGCTGATGGAAAGCGACGTGACCCATTTCTTATCGGCGTATACATCAGGCTCGAAATTGGAGTTACGGGGCCGGAGCTTCCAGGGCACGAAATTGTTCTGGAAAATGGCGCCAAGGGCTCTCGAGACGCCGCCCTGGACTATCTCCCTGTCATTGCACTTGGGACCTGGCGAAGGGCTGAATCCAAAGGTGTAGGGAAGCTGCAAATTTAGCACGGTCTCAGTATCTCCATAGCTATAGAGGCAAGAGGAATCGGAAGAAGGCCAGCATACAGATCCACCATTATACGTAATCTTCAATGTCTGTGCGATGAAGAGGACATCTTTGCCGGTGGTGATTTCTTGTGGAATGGGCCAGATGGCGGCTGCGGGAGAGAGGAGCGAGGACAAGGCTGCCCCTACGAGGGCGAGGCGCAACTGCATTGTGGACGCCGGTGATGAATAAAGCAGGGAAGAGGCGAGAAGTAAGGGTGACGAGGGAGGTCGGGGAATGAGAGGACGGAAAAATATATAGCTTAGGAATCCAGCTGGTAGGCGAGCTTATACGGACGCGACCGGCATAGGATAGGGGCGGTGAAGTGAGCACCTCTAAGAGGGTGGTTGGAGCGAAGGTGAGCCTTGCTTTTGCAATCGCCAATATGTAGAGGAGAGCCTCTCCTTATGTACTAAGCCCTCGCGACTTGTTGGAGCTTGGCGAGCTTCTCTTTGACAGGTAAGATTGTCAACAAAGGGTGGCGCAGAGTAGTACGACAGCCTGGCAGAGGCAGCAGCCTCAAGTGGCATGTAGTTGAAACTGGGGTAGAGCTCGCGTGCACCCGCGAAGGTTGTGACGAATTACACCGGTATCGTGTCTGTCAAAGGGCTTCCCAATAAAATTGGGGACGTCGATACCACAGCTCTGAGCTGGATGCGGTTACAGATGAAACAAGAGTGCCACCTCACCTAGTCTGCAGCTGGAGGTTGGTTGCCGTTGGAGGTATCAATGGAACATTGAACCCTTTGCAAAAGCAGCTTCCCATCCAGAATCAGAATCAGAACAGGTAGGTGCTAAACTTCTAGCTTCGCTCTCTTTGCACCCAGCAGCGAACGTCGCCTGCTATTTGCCGCGAAAGTTGCTATCCACACACTAATGTAAAGAACGCGCAACGTTACGTCAGGGATACCCGGCTTCGGGGATATCCTGCTCCTAAAAAGCAACGTGGAGGGCGTTGGGGAATTGGATGGAGGCGGGCAGCACGAAGTAGGTAGTATTAGGCCCGGGGGCGGGGGTGGTATACGGTGATCTGAGGCCGGGGTAACAATAGCCAGCTAGCGAGCGGAAGAGGGTAATGAGGCAAACACTAAAGCAACGCCTCGAGGGGAGGAGTCCTTTCAAATTCGCGATCTCTCAAAAAGGGAGAAACGGGTCCAGGTAAAGAAATAAACGTCAAGGAACAGAAGTCGACCGCCTTGTCCGGAGTTGGCAAAAAGGGACCCAAGGAATTCTGGACCAGGGGGAGAAGACAGGTATCCAGGTCCTTATATGGCCAGGCCTCCAGCTTCTTACTGAATTAGATTACGATGGGACTTCGTCGATCCATACAAACAAATTCCGCCACTTTCGAATGCCGGTCGCTTGTCGCTGCCCTTGCGGCTAATAGCAGCATAGGGTTTATTATTGATTTGATCGATGTAATATTATCTCGGGACAGCTCAGCCAACTCAGCGAGGGGGCGACGGCCGACGGCTGACGGCGTGGACAATTCAAGGCCTAACCCAACCCGATTGATGAAGGTTGTGATTCGATTTGATGTTTCGAACAGCCAACCACACCTCCGGCTCCGCCCCCGAGTTAAAAATGGAGACAGCTGAAGGATCAATCGAGAAGCGATGGGGTTTGTGTGGTGGCTTGCAGGATTCAACACGGACGACAGACAGGCCAGGCAGAGGGCGCAGGCTTTCTCGTTGTGGACGATACGATGGGGGTTGAGGGACGGTCGCGGGGCGAAGGTCAGTCGATCGATGAAGATGACAGAATTGAGAGCACGAGTTACCCTTTTACGATGGCCATTGATCTTTAGGGAGACGTGAGTTTTGAGACAACGACTCCTTAAGCTGTAGTTTGAGGAAGAGAAGGGACAATTGATGACCGAATCAACTCCTGCCTGCCCAATTTCAGGATCCTCTAAGGCTCAGGGTGGTGCCTTCCGTGTGTTTTCAGTGGTCTTTGGTTCCGCAGATTCCATGCGGCAGGCGTGGCTCAGGCTGTTTGTGGGGCCACGGGACTCTTTGTACGAAGGACTTGACACATTTGATCGCAGATGTCACAGGGGTTGGCGGATTGGACCTTCTTCAGTGCAGCATTGATCGGCTTTAGGCGTGGCTGTTTGTGAAGTACGAAGTAATAATACAAAGTAGAAACTGGGAAATGCAAATTGATTTGAGCTCTCCCAAGCAACGATCAGCAGAGGGAGAATCTTTCTCGCCCATCAATTGATCCCGACTCGGGTGATGTTCGCCGATCCACAAGAGGCAAACCGAGACAAACGCGGCGCTGGGGAGAATTGCGCCGAGAGATCGACAAAGGAGACAGGCGGCAAACATCAAATCAACTTGAACAGAATAAAATGTAGAATATTAAAACTACATCGGCGCAGGTGCATGATGTATGCGTACTACCCCATGACACGTGCAGAAGAGGATGGAAATGGCAACACTAGTACCTTCGTAAGTTTGAGACTCTCCAGTAAGGTGATGGATTAAAATAGCAACATCGAGATACGAAGTACTTCGTGATACTGAAATGCACGATTGAAATGGATGATGAATCATACTAGATGTGAGAAACCGCCAAAGCTGGTGTTGCTATCAACCAAGCATTCGTTTCATCAACCCTTATCCTTCCGTTTCCCGCTTCCTGTTGTGGCCCGTCGCCCATCGCTCGCTAAACGCAGAGGCAGGCTCCTCTAGCCATCCCTCGATCATAAGGGTCGCATAATGCCATCTTCGGATTCTTCATGTCACCACACCTGATTGCCTGCAGACTCCAACATCTGGGGAAGGTGGTGTCGGCTTTGGTCCCAGCGGGAGCTCCCAGGTAGCTCTCCCGTCAACGTGTGTTTGTATTAAGTATGGAGCCTCCATGACACTTTAATGTGTTGATATCAGCTCCACATGGCCAAGAGGGATGCCAAGATGTTTCCGTTTCTTGAACAAAGTTCTGCAACATATCCCTATCCCCATGGGGCTAGCTCATGTACTCTTTACAGTTAAGTAGGTAACCTTGAGACTGAGTGATGGGGTGTTGAAGCGGAATCAAATGAATGTTGAACATGGAAGCAATCCGACACTAGTGTGCGTCATATTACAGGGCGGGATCGATGGAAGTGGAGGTTTTGATGGACAGCTGTGATCTACGACGTAACATGAAAGCCAAGCACCAAGATTCCATATTAGTCTTAGGGCTCAAAGGTGCTCGCACCTGGTATAAAGCAGACTCGATGGACCTACAGATGGAGCCATGCTGCTGCTTCTCTTGAATCCTTCCTCGATCGACTGATCAAGTGAGCTTGGAAATATCGAATGGTTCCATCAATCGGGAGCCACTACCAACGGTAATCATAGATCCCATGTCTGCTTCGAAGCAAGAGGCACTTTGATCGAGAGCGAAAAAGAGATCCAAGGACAGCCTCTCTGTTTCATGGGACTAGAATGGAATAACAGCTGGTTCTCAATTGGATAGAATTGAAATATTGATCAAATGTTTCCATCAGCTCCAGCAAGGATTAATGCATAAAGCATTGATGAAGACTTCATTGATATTACCTCTGCATTGTTTGTGTCTTTCTTCTCGCCAGTGCGCTAATGCCGCAGCTGCCAGCGGCTGTCTCGGTACCAAGAGGCTAACGCAGGCTTTCGCGCCGGCGATTTCGGCGCTTGAGAGCATTGACCACCAGAAACGCCGGCCTCAGTGCCGCAGCCCGAGGAAGAAAATAGACCGCCACAATGAACTCCCTAATTCGGCGAGGCCCACTGTTATTTGTCTTCTCTCCTAAGCCGGCCCGTTCTGACAACTCTCGTCGGGTAAGCTCAAGGAAGGATTCAAGAATAGACGGAGTCATAATTAGATGAACCGGCTTGCTATCCACTGTCTTCCCTGAAATTCCACGCTCAATACTACTACTGCCTTCTCTTCTCTACTGCTACTGCTACTAGACCAGTCTTCGTCAGTGTCTTCCAACATGAATCCGTTCCCTTGCCGAGCCTCCGCCGTCTTCTTGAGAGGCCGGGCCCCTATCCTGGTTGGCCGGCAGGCAGGCCGCCGCAGGCTGTTCTCCGTCTCATCATGCTCGCGATCGAACGCCAATTCGACGCTGCCCTTAGAGGGGGTCAAGGTTCTTGACATGACCAGAGTCCTGGCTGGGGTATGTTGGAAAGACAACATTGAAGCTGACAAAAACCCCGGTGAACACCTTTTGAAGATTAGAAGCTGACTGAATCAATTTTACACTTGCAGCCATACTGCACTCAAATTTTGGGAGATCTGGGGTAAGCAGCAAAAGCAGAAGAATATTGACATCTATCCGGTTCTCAATGGCCCAACCCGACCTATAACTCACTGCTGCCCGGTTGGCGACACTTAGGGCCGAGGTTATCAAGATTGAGCACCCTGTGCGGGGCGATGACACCCGATCCTGGGGCCCACCCTACGCCAATTACACCCCCGAGTCCGGTCTCGAAGGTCCTGGTGAGGCGGCCTACTACTTGACTGTGAGTGCACACCGGGTCTGGTGAGGTTTCGCCAAGATAGTGCAGCCGGAATTTTTTGTCCCTTTTTTATCTATGCCGTCCGGCCCCGGCCACTATCATAGCCGGTACTAACACGGCACCCTGTGGCGTAGGCAAACCGCAACAAAAAGTCTCTGGGACTCTCTTTCCAGCATGCGGAAGGTGTCGAGATTCTGCACAAGCTTGCAGCAAAGGCTGATGTCCTCGTGGAAAACTACCTTCCCGGAACACTAAAGAAGTATGGCCTCGACTACGAATCTATCCACAAGGTCAACCCAAACCTTATTTACACCTCCATCACCGGTTACGGCCAGACAGGACCGTATTCGAACAGGGCCGGCTACGACGTTATGGTCGAGGCTGAGTTTGGTCTGATGCACATCACTGGAAACCGTGACGGTCCCCCTGTCAAAGTTGGCGTTGCAGTAACGGACTTGACTACTGGTCTCTACGCTAGCAATAGTATCATGGCTGCCTTGCTACATCGGATAAGATCGGGCAAGGGCCAGCATATCGATGTAGCCCTTAGTGACTGCCAGACGGCGACGCTCGCAAACATTGCCAGCAGCTGCCTAATAAGCGGCAAGAAAGACTCTGGCCGATGGGGAACTGCTCATCGTATGTGACCTGACCCCAAGCATATACCCGCAGGCTCCCCAGTTACCGTTTTAGGGAGCGGGGCAACACTGACAATACACGCAGCCTCTATCGTACCATACCGAGCTTTCCCAACAAAAGACGGCGACATCCTCATCGGCGGAGGTAATGACCGCCTCTTCGGCGTTCTTGCCGACCTCGTCGGCAGGTCTGAGTGGAAGACTGATCCCAAGTTCAGCACCAACGCCGAGCGGGTGCGGAACCGCAGCGAACTCGAGTCCATGATCGAAGACCTAACGAGGCAGAAGACGACAAAGGAGTGGCTCGATATTTTCGACGGCAAGGGTATGCCCTATGCCGCCATCAACGATATCCAGGCGGCCCTCCAGCATGAGCACACCAAGGCGCGAAACATGGTGATCGAGGTCGAGCACGACGCGTGCGGGCCCATCAAGATGGTAAACACGCCTGTGAAGTATTCCGAGAGCACGCCTGGTGCTAGGACGCCTCCTCCGTTGCTAGGCGAGCATACTGATGAGATTTTGGGGTCGTATCTGGGAATGCCAGGGGAGGAAATCGAGAGGCTTCGAAGCCAAGGTGTGATTCGGTAGACGGCGCCACGCAAGCAAGTTGGCGTCGGAGATGCAGGGCCGCATGCATGGCTCCGGAGTTGCATTTGTAGCCCATTCTATCCAAGAGCTGTGCATAATTTTGCAGCGTTCGAGCAGAGTTCGCTTCACTTCCACAAGCACTTCACTTCTATCAGATAAAACCTGAAAATCAAGAAATAAAATACACCACCTCTTCTAGATGGCAACCTCAGCGCTTTTATTCGTTTTAGCCCCCTTTTCGATCTGCCGTAGGATATTCTCCGAGCCGCAATGTTCTGCCCTTCGATGCTGTTGGCAGATTTCGGCGTTTTCACATCTCGACCCCATTGTTGACGTAGCCACGTGCCGTCTCCACTACGTTTGGCCTCCGCAGCCGTTGACATAGAACAGATTCAAATGGATTAGAAAGAGTAAAGAATTGGAGTTCCTTAATTTACAGACAGGCATCTTTCATCCATGAGTTTACCACGTTTTGGTCCCCCAGACGTCTTTCCTTATTAAGCCTCATCTCACGCGGAAGTCACGTTTCTCACGTGATTGACAGAGTCTTTCTTGGGACTCGAGGGCTCAAACCTGACCTTGGACGTAGGTGATTCCAATCCAGCTTGAAAAGGACGACAAGATAATACCGCCGAGACTTAAATCGGATGATCAATTGCCCAGTTTTGTTGGTTGAGTCCCGAGATGAAAGTCGTGGGTCTCAAATCGCTTTTCGAATCAGAGTCTCAACCTCGCCAAGCCTCATCAACCATCATCTTATACCTCCGCGACACACTTTGTGAAGACTTATCGAATTCAAGCCGCCGATAATTTACTAGGCGTCAAATCTTCTTCAATTATGACGAGCTTGGAGAGCAAGGGAACTGCGACATCGGGAAGTTCCAACATGCCCCCTACGGAGGCTAGCAGCTCAAACCCGGATGAGCACTCCAACTCCGCTCAGCGTCACTCAGAGCGGTCCTCTCCATCATCATCCACAGCCACGCCGTCCGCCGCAGAGATGTCGGCTCCGACTTGTACACCATCAACCGCTCGTCGCCCATATCAACCACAATTCACAGCCATGACAGAAACCATCCTCCAAAGAATCAGGAACGGCAATGCGAGCATCAGCTCAGCCGTCGCCGGAGCTCAAGCCACAGGGATGGTCCAGCTAAGCCGTGCTAAGTATGAGGATGCGCGGCGCCGCTTGGTCGAAACCCTAAAAACCTCCGACAACATTGAGCTTCCTGCGGTTCCCACACGCCGTATCAAGGGCGCCAACAGCAAGACATCCAGCGCCACTTCTACCCCTCCAAATGGAAGCCTTAAGCGCAAGCGGAGCCATCTCGATGCGGCTCAGGACCACGGCTCGCCCTTCTCTGACGCAGACCTCGATGCTCCGCAGTTCAAGAAGATGGCTCCTAGAGCACCCGCGCGGAAGAAGAAGACCAAGGATGACGCCGCGGCCAAGAGGTGCAGCCGGTGCGATCGTCAAGCCTGGACTGAGGACAACATGTTCATCACGTGCCCGCGCTGTGACGAGAATTGGCATCTCCTCTGCAATCCACCCGATGTTGTCAAGGTGTGGCATACGGACCAGGCGAAGTTCAAGTGTTTCGGATGTCTGGAGGAGGCGCGCCAGATGGCCGAATATCAAAAGGCCAAGACAGAATTTGCGCAGCGCAAGAAGCAGCATGAGATTGCAAGGACAAAGGAGAAGGTTATGGCCTCTTTGCCTATTGGAGTCACTTTTGACAAGCCAGATCTGATCGGGTTTGGGGCCGGTGGCGCGTCTGATGCCTTGGTATGTCAGGACAATAGCTCCATTAGCCTTTTATAAAGTAAAAACTGCTAACACATTCTCTAGCGTGCTGAGTACTTTTCCTCGATGTCGAGGAGAGATCTACTCAGCTTGCTTGCATTTTGTGACAAATTACGGCCCAATCTACTCGCAGACTTGCTTGTCACGGCGACCAAAAAGCATTCTGACCTCCCCATCTTCCACTCTCCAGATTGGGCTGCCCAAGTTGCTACCAGCACCAACTCCCGACGAAGAGCCCTCAGCATAGATCCGGGCGCGGGGAAGCGAAGTGTCCAGAACTCGCCCGCCAACCCCGCGACGAACTCTACAGCATCAACCCCCGCGGTAAAGCCGGCGGCTCCACCGAACCAGACCCAGACTATCGACGGCACAGATGCCTGGGATGATGACGACGATTTCTTACCGCCTTCGTGGCCGAAGGAAGGGGAGGGCATGTATTCCGCCTTACCGCCAGAGAGTGAAGATTTGGATCACCTCGTCGATGAGGACGAAGACGGAGCGTTTCAGGGGTTCATAGTAAAGTCTGAGTCAAATGGCTCTCTGAGACTAGAGCCTACTACGTGCTGTTAAGTGTTCCGTCCATACCATGAGTATAGTTGAACGATGGCGGCATCGAAATATGGAAATGATGTACTCATGTCTTGAGCTTCATCGGGTTTTACGGCACCAGAACAAGGCGCAAGATGCATTTTTATATAACTGGTTTACATTCACAAGCGGTAGGCCGACACGGTTTGATACTCATAACTTATACCATTAGATTTCCTTTTTCTCCCTATCGAATGCATCATGAGAACAGAATTTTCTTGAGCAACAGTTATTCATTCGATTTTCTATGATATTTCTATGTTCTATGCAGTTGTGTTTGGATTGCCAATATTCAAGAGACGAACGTTGTAAGATCACGCCTGTGCAGGCCGGTCAGAGCGCATCGGGCAAAAAAAAAAAAAAAAGACGAAAATAAAGGGAAAAAGAGGGGGGAAATGACATTCCCCTTAGGAATCCGGACCCGGAGAAAGAGAAACGTTGACCCACCTTTAAAGGGGCACGTCAACGAACTGATCGTCGGGGGCAGTTGAGGCGTATCTCTCCCGCATGCCACCCGGCGGAAGAGGCGGCGGATTTGCTCTTCCGATTGGACGATTCGCCGGTCGCACCGGCTCCCATTTCGGATACTTTAGTTCCATCCTTTCGACGAGAACGGCTGGAGCCTTCGGCTTGGGTGGTGCGACGGGGGCATTCTGCCCCGGCAAGACGGGGTCCCATTTCTGCTCTCCGAGTTCTCGACTCTCGGCATTGTTTCTGTCGGCAGCGGCACGGGTAGCCGCCACATTCGACGATTCGGGTTGTTGGTTCTTCTCGACGTTCGGGTTCACTCCTACCGACCAGTAATCGCTATCGAATGCAACCCCAGGCACCGTCATCATACCCTGCGCTACAACAGGCTCAATAACCGAATCCCTATTCCCTCCCGAGGGACCGGCGGGACTCTCAGCTTTCCAACCGTACTTACAAGCTGCTTTGTGGGCCGCGTACCTCGCGGCCAACGTGTCCCTGGCCATTCGCTTTTCTATCATGAGTACTTGTCGCTTGATCTCGTCGTCGCACTCGGGACAAGGTAGTTCGTAGAAGACACGACGCTCGTAGACGCGGCAGGCTTTGCGGGCCCAGAAGATTCGGGCGAAGCAGGTGCGGGATTCGCGGATGGCGGCGTCGCAGGGCTCGAGGCGGATCCTTTTGTGGGAGCAGTCGTAGGATATGTGGTTTCTGAAGCACATCTTTTTTTAGTCTCGAGTGGGTGCTAGGTGGGGGTATGGGGGAGAGACTTGTTTGTGGGAACTTGCTTGTTACTTTTGGGGGTTTTGGGGGGTCTTGTTGGTGGTGGTATTTGTATATGGGGATCTTCTGTTGGTGGTTCTTGAAGTTTGGATGTGTGGTGAGATCAAGGAGGTTCAAGATGAGAGGAGAGGGAAGGAAGGTCCGGTTATATGCAAGCTCTACAAAGGGACGCTCAAGTCTTTACAGCCCATTGTTGTTGGGGGAAGTCTTTGCTGGAGGCTCTTTAATCTTGTGTTCCCAAAGGAGCGCCTTGGTTCTCGAACAATGGAACACTATGGACAAGGCGTTGTGATGGAACTGAATGGCAACAGAGCTTTGTTTGATATATTCTTCCTTGGGTGGATGAAGAAGGGGCTCTTTGAAGGCATTGAGATTCAACGTGAACAAGCTGTTGGGTAAGTCCTTGGTCTTGACGATGGATGAGGGTCTATATGAGCCGGAGAGGCTTCCTCCCAAGACTTGACACGACGAATCCCTTCTCCCATCTTCCATCATCCAAACACTCGTGGCTTCCAGATACAGATCCATCTCACAAACGACACACACACACAAGCAGGCTTCCCACACACATTCGCTAAATCGCGAGAAAAAGAAAGCAAAAGACCGCCTGATTATCCACCACAACCCCTAACCTAAACTGTGACAATCCAACCATGCCTTGGAAGTTCTTCAAGCGCATAGCCGGGGGTCGCTCGCGCAACCCAGCTGTCTCTGGAAGCAACTCCCCAAACACAGAGCCAAACACCATAAATACACCTACCCCAGAACCCGCTGGGAGACCGAATATGCTCGCCTACATTTCCGATCCATCCCTTGCGACCCTCTCGGCGGCGATTATAGAACGAGAGCGGGTCTGGAACGAGGCCAACCCTCGGCGATGGTATATATCTGCTGAAGGGCAGAACTGGGTATGTGCGCAGAGGGAGCTCGGCCAGGTTAGATACCTAACCAGACCCTCTGGCTCGCACGAGACCCAAGAGATATCAAGTATCCAAGGTGAAGAGGGGGAGGACGACGAACGAGCGGCTGCCCTCTTGGAGGAGAATGAGCTGGACTGGTTAAACGGTATAGACCTGTCGGTATTTCGCGACAACCACTTTCGGGACGAGGACGAGAGCGAGGATGATGACTGGTACATCATCGATCCGCTCGATCCCGAGAACGGGGTGCCATTCGACCCGCTGCCTGGAGAGATTATCGATAAGCTTGATAAATTCTTCCCCGCGACATCAGGTCTCATGACACCGGTCCAACCCATCGAGCTAGCTCCTCTCTCCCACTCCATCGACGGCGCCTCCTCCCCCACCGCTGACGACACCCCCATTGAGAGTGGCTCTGCCTCCAGCCCGAACCAAGTCAACAGCGAGAACCGCACATATAACAACAATCATCGACGACCCCAAGCCGCCAGAGGCCAAGGTCTCATCCGGGGCCTCGAGAGAGCCCCGGACATCGACCCCCTGAGGCAAGAGGATCACCTCACAGTCATCCGCACCTCGTTCGGTCTCCCGCCCGCAACCACCAGAGACGACATCGAAAACTTCCTCATCCGCAACCCCTCCATTCTTCACCACCTCGCCGACATGACCGTCCCGACGCCTCGCCTCGCATCCCAAACAGGCGGTAGGTATAGCATAGCTATCAAGGATATATACGCAGGTCTAGCGCGTCTCGACCTGGCGCGGAGCCTGACCAGAGTCAAGTGGAATGTCCTCGACATTAGGAAGGCGCTGGAGCTGGGGGTTGTGCCCGGTGGAGTGGAGATTGGACCCAAGATGGGTAGGATGGCGAGGAGAAGCGGGGATGCTATAAGGAGGAGGTGGAATTGGAAGCCTGAGCGGACCAAGTTGGCAGATTCCCAGACTGTTGATGAGGTTGAGCCTTCAGACATGCTTGATTCCTAGGAAATTCTTGATGCCCTAGGCACAGTGGAGGCTTCGGTGACCTCAGGCTCTGCTTGAGTAATTTCTACGACCGCGTCAGCAAATGCTCTTTCGCTGGCGGCATAGAAGCTGGCTGTGTAATTAATATCAGGGCAGGACGAAACCGGCTGTATTCAGGAGGACGGGAACAAGGGAGGGCACGACAAAGAAGAGGCCGCTGCTTGTTGAAAGTAGCAGCTGGATTCCCTCCTCTCCCTCTTTTTTGTTAAAATAATAAAAGAGAAAGCGTGCTGGAGTTTGGGGTCTAGAGTCTGGAGTCTGTATTCATTGAGTTTAGAAATATACAGGACGCAAGTCTATAATCGGGTATCTGTTTTTCTTTTTGTTCCCATTTTCCCATTTTCCCATTCTTCCCTCGCTAAAATGCTTAAACTTCAATGCTGTTTGCTTGTTTGCTCTATTCAATCTTCCCCGTAAACTTACACATGCGCCCAGCCATTCTCAACCAGGACCTGCATCTCATTAATCACACAGAAATCCCCAGGCTCAGAATTGCCCACCCTCTCCTCCATCCACCTATCCATCCTCCGCTTCACGATCCAATCTCTCGTCTCGGTTCGGTACACCCACCGCAGGATGCGGCTACCCCACAGACCCTTGAAGATCTGCCAGGGCGACACCCAGCTCCCTGACGTCGGGTTGACGGCCTCGTACGCGGCCGAGGTGTAGCCGACGCGCACTTGCGGATTGAGGTAGATACCGAGCTGTTGGGATAGCGGGTTATCGGCGTGGATGAGACAGCATTCGCTCGCTTCGACGTGGAGGGCGGCGAGGGAGTCGGGGAGGGCTCGGAAGCGAAGGGGTTTTTCGGAGACGAAAGGTTTGGCTTGCATTGCCACTGAGAGTGAGGGGAAAAAAAAAAAAGGAGATGTTAGCCCAATGCATTATTGTTGGATGACATAGGACAAATGAGGTCTCCGATGCGCTCACCTATTCCGTTCCAGCAGCTCTTGACGGGAACGGCGGGCCAATTTGCAATCATGGCATTTCGAGAAACCTCAGACCGGAAGTATGGCCATGTTTGCATAAGGTGCGTATCCCCATTGGAGTCGCGAAGAGCAAAGGTATCGTAGTAGTTGGGCGGATTGGAAACGTCTAAGGAGCAGGCGGCAGCGTAAGTCCCATCATTGGTATCCAAAAGGGTGAGGACATCCTCCGTCTTGTCATTGTTAAGTCAGTAAGGGGATCCCATGTGTAATGTCACAACGTCCAAACATGCGCGGGGGAGAAGCGGACGATACCCTGAACACAACATCATTAAGGAACAAGACCTTGTCAAAGTGTATACCCTGATCCCTCAGCTTAATCAGATCCCTCAACGTCTTGTCTCTGAGCTCGGCAAGAAATGGTATGCGCCTCAGCTCCTTCCTGCCCCTCGGCGTCTCAACCCAACCGGGACCATCGGGGTCCTTCGCCATCTCTTCCTCGTGTGTAACATCGGAGAGCGTAATGTTCCTCGCGACTCCCATCCGCCCCAGCGTAGAGTCCAGCTCTTGCAGCGCCTCCTTCGTGTCGTCCCAGCTCCCGCTCTCATACACGCTCACAAAGACGTTCTGGGGCCCCAGCGCCTCGGCCAACCCCACGACCGCATCACTCCAGTATTGCCGGACCAGCCATCCGTCGTTCCAGTGCAAGCTCGCGATATATATCCTCTCGTTTTTCCGTCGGGCATGAGCTCGCGGATGCGGCGGTGTTGCGAGGTTCCTCCTCACGAGAAGCACTTCGGCGAGGTTCCATATGCAGAACAAGAGGAGAAGAAGCCGGGCGATCCGGGAACGGAGGAAGCGTCGGGCTCGTTGGCGGATGGTCGACCGGGGGCTGCGGGAGCGGAAGTGGGTGGATTCTGTAAGAGGAAGCAGGGTGGGAGGCGACGACCTGCCTTTGCGCCGGCTAGCAGAGAATATGAGGGTCATGTCCACCTGGCCATTACTAGGATATATTGGCTACGGATTAATCGCAGACATCACCGGGGGAGAGAAGTTGTAGAGGAATCGGCGCGGAAGGGGAACGGAGACAGCAGCGAAGTCTGGAAGCACGAGACCCACGAGCTGACCATTGAGCTGACAATGACATCGTCTTCTAAGAAGAGGTGGAAGGACGGATGCAATGGTGGGAGGTCTCGACACAAGTAGTAAATTTACTTGGGAGAAGGCCAAGCCAAGACCGGCCAACCCAGATTAGGGAAAGCGCAGGCGCCACCAGCTCTGGAGAAGCTCTCGACAAACAGCAAGGCTCTAAACTACCCCCAGCTCACACCAGGTCTCAGGTGCTTGAGTCTCAGTTGAACTCTTCCTGTTTTCTCTTTTGCCTTCTGCTAGTAGATGTAAGCGCCCTTGTTAAGCGGAGGATCGATGAGAAGGTTATGGTTTATTCCTACTCCCAAGTCTACATACTACCTCGCATGTGTTCTACGAAGCAGTTTCTTGTGGAGCTGCGCGCAGTAATGACGACCCCCATCATCCCTGCCAAGGGCCGCCCTGCTTCACCCCTTACTCCAGGCTTAGTGGATATGTACAAGTACTAGACATTGCAGCCACGTCAGTCTCATTACGAAGTAGCAGGGTGGGGTGAGAACACACAATGGGGATTGCGAAGCACGAAGTACTGAGGTATGTACACTCCATGACGATTTCCTCGCCTGGTCACAGAGACAAGGATGACATTAGGGGCTGTTAGTGGCTCGGCATTGGACAGCAGGGTCACAAAGTTGGTCGAAAGCCCTACCCAGGAAGTACACTACATAGACGTGCCTCCAATAATCAACCACCATTCTAAGATTCGTAGGAGGTGGCACCTTGTTGCTCTCAGGGGTTTTACAAGTACTCAGTATTATCGTGACAACCTTTTTACAAAGGGATATTGCAAGGAGGTCATCGCAAACGCAATGCTTCATCTGCCAAGACTTCACATCAAATCCCATGAAGAAGTTGGGACATTATATGATATACGAGTCTTATTATGTGGGGCAACTTGAGAGATATGTAGTTTAGTGTACGAAGTACAGTTGTATTCTTCCATAGAGTTTGTATGGAACATTACAATTGACAAACAGAGAGGGAACGTGGGCCGTGCCTTTCCAGCAAATGCAACAGTTTCTGGGAACTGCCAGCTCCTTCTTTATCTGGCAACTCGACACAAGCAGACAGGCATCGAGTAAGAAATACATACATAGGTAAACAGTAAAACGACAGCATCAGGGCGTTGTGGATTCCACCCGAAACTTCGGACATGCAAGTGTTCAAGGGAGAGTCTTGATAATACGAAGTACGAAGAAATGAGCACTTGGAAAAGCAAAGTACATTGTACCTCGGTACTCTACCCCTGAAATTCCCAGATTGATTAATATTATTGATCAGAGCTTGTGAAAGCTTGAGCTCCTTCCGAGCCATCATCTCCATCACGATAGCAGCTTGATACATACGTAGGAAGTAGCCCGATTCATTGACGAAAGGAAATTTAAATTTAGCATAGTTTCATGTTTTAAATACACGAATGGTGGGCGGCCGTTCTTTATCGCAAGCTCTCTCCCAGACATACTAGAGGGAGAGAAAGAGGGAGAGAGGGCAAATGTGTCCTCGGCGGCCTCGGTGGCGATTCCTCCCATCTAATGCAGACGCCGAATCCTGTATTCCGATCTACCGTTCCAACGTGCCGTACTGTGATGCAGAGAGCGGATCGGATCGGATCCAAGAATTGCCCTCTTTTCGCCCGTTCCCTGAATTTTTTTTTTCCCCGATTTTGTTTTGTCCCTGCCATTCTTGACAAAGAGAAGCACGTATCGTACAATGAGCACCACTCAACTTGTAGCTTCGCTCTAACCCCCAACCCCCCAAGAGAAGAAATTTGAAGTATTTCATCGGTCTCCCGTCGATCCATCCCACGTTTATTTGGCGAAATGGAGGTCATATCCGAGCCACTTGCGTTGCTGGACTTGCTCGACGGTAAGGCCGGGATATCCGTACGTCAGCGGCAGGAAGAAGTACCAGCCGGCCACGACAATCGCGAGGACGACGCCACTGGCAATCCAAGTGGACACCATGCTCTGGTTAGCGAGCCGCTCGCCCGCGGTAACAAAGTGCTTGGGTCCAGGAGCCGGTTTCTTGCCCGACTTGACGGCCTGGTAGGTTGGCTCTTCGGGCGCAGGCTCGGAGCAGAAGATGAACTCCACGAGTGCTCCGGCAACCAGGCACGAGGCAAGATGGGCGGGGAGGTAGTGGTGCAAGAAGAGTTGACGGCCCATGACCCAGAACGGGAAGTAGTGGGTCGCCCACGCGAGGAAGAAGAAGCCAGTCGAGTTGTAGAAACGGGACCGGGTGCCTAGAGCACAAACATAGTCAGCAAGTAAGCCTAACTCCCATCATAGCTATCTATTGAGTAGGGGAGAAAAGGAGAAGAAAAGTCAACTTACGGCGATCCAGGGCGTCGATGCCACGGCGCAGAGAGAGCTGGTCAGCGGCAACAATGCCGGCGAATACAGCCAACAAGCTGCTGGCGAACCACCAGCCAATGGGGTTTCCGAGGAAGTAAATCTGCTGCCGCGTCTCATTCTGCGTCCAGAAGCTGACTCCGCGGAGCAAGAAGGGCCACTGGTAAGGGTGGCTAGAGTAGGGATGGCTGCTGGTCAGCTGGCTGTTGTGCCAGAACATCGACCTCTGCAGCTCGAACCACTTCCTGAGGAAGGGAAGCGTCTTCACCTTACGCGCCGGCTTCTCTCGGCGCTTGTCGTCGGCGGGGAGAGAAGGAATGTCCTCGACGAACCAGATGTTGGAGCTAGGCGCAATCTGCTTGTTTCCGTTGATCTCCTGCTGGCGATGGCCCCAGTCGGGCAAAGGCTTCGTGTGCGTCCACATGGCTACCTTGCTGGGGTTGTGAATGAGTTTAAAGTGGCCAGAGATACTCTTGAATTCCTGCTTGTTCTTTCCATGTTCGATGCGGATCTCGAATAGGGTATCGTTGAGACGAGAGCCGTAGGCGTCCGCGAGGGGGACGGTGGTAAACTCCTGGTTCGTCGGGTAGTAAGGAGAGGCAACGTCATGAGAAAGAAGGATGGTGTCAGTGCCGATGTGTCGGAGACGGACAAGGTCGTGGTTCTTGACATGACGGCCGGCCTTGTGGTCATCCTGGAGAGGGATGATCTGCCAGTAGTTGTTGGTATCATTGTAAGGGTAACCTGTAACCTGCTGTCCCTGGCTGGAAACGCGACCGTCGTCGTAACGGAGAGGGTAGCGGTCCGGATGAGAGTGGAGGTAGGTCTTGGTTTCCTTGTGTCGGATCGAAATCGTGTCGTAGTAGTCAATGGTGACGGCATTGGCGAGCATGACGTTGTCGCTCAAAGTCTCTTGGAACTCGGGAGTCATAAAGTCATCTCCGGGACCCGATCGGGACAAGACGGTGAAATGGACTTGGAACCAGAAGAGGTAGAAGAGGAAGGGCATGATGATCAGACCAAAGGCCCTAGCACAAAAGTGCTTGATGAACAGGCGCATCGGAAGAGCGCCACCCGGCCTCTTGATATCCAAGAGATCCCACAAGTCGATGATGACGGCGGAGCCGATGGTGACAAAGGCGAAAGTGCCGACATACTTGGTGGAGATGTCGCAGGACAGCGCAAAACCGGTGAGAATAAGCCACTTCCACCACTTGCGCGAGAAGGGCTCGTGCCGCAGCTTGTAGAACCTAATATAGAACAGCAAGCTGCACGCCATGGAGAAGACGAGGGTGGCATCGAGAAGGATCAATCGCGTCTGGCCTATGTGGGCATTGTCGAGGAGGACGAGACCAGCGGCAAGGAGACAGGCAGGCAAGCTGTAGCCAGACTCCCACATGATCAAATAGACAACCGAGACGGTCAAGGCGCCCAAGATGGCGGGTAGGGAGCGGAAAGCCACATAGGGAATATTGTTCGCGATATACGAGTCGCCAATGTTGTCGAAGTGGAAATGGCCATCGTAGCCAACGAGCCAGCCCATGAAGGCAAAGAGGAGCTTTCCGAATGGAGGGTGGACATCGAAAAAGTACGTTCTCTCGAGGTAGTAAGAAGCGAACTAGGCAAGGAGCGCAAGGGGTCAGTTTATCCGTTCGCTCGTCGTAGACAATGGCAGGTAAAGAGGGAGAGGAGGGCATCTCACCTTGCCAAAATGGACCTCATCGAAGACGACCTCATTGGGATGGCTGATACCCCAGAACCTTGTGAGGAAAGCCAGACCCGTGATGAGGCCAAAGGCCACTCTGTAGGATGTTTCGGAGGGAGCAGGCTTGGCCTTGGTCTTCGCTAGTGTATCGAGAACATCGTCGTCCGAACGCGCCGCGGGAGGTGCCGGCGAAACAGACTTTCGGGGCACGTTGCGCTGACGCAAGCTACCCTGGGGAACGCCAGAAGCCATGGCGGGCAATGGCATTCAAGGTACTCTAGTAGGCAGAAAAGGCAGTGTTAGCTGAATGGAGATGGTAAGGCGACATTCAAGCAGCCCAGTACGAGTTTGATAATCGACGAGGATCATAGGAATAAAGCAGAGGAAGGCGGCAGAAGAGGTAAGTGGAAGGCTCTCCAGATAGGGGAATGGATGGTGGTGGTCTTCAGCTGACGTGGACAAATTGACAATGCCCCAGACAGTGATATGTGAAAAGGAGAAAGGATGGCTTCTGCTTGAACTTGAAGTTTTAAAGTCTGAAGCTAATGCGATTCACATACCTTGAACTGCACGTAAGGATTGACTTGAAGTCAGAAAAAGAAGAAGGTGAATAGAATAATACAAAGAGAGAAGCGAAAGAAGCAGATCAAAGGAGAAAAGGATTAATATCTGCGGCAAACTGGGGTGTGGAGATGCAATTAATATCAAGGTGGCCTCCTCGAAACGGGTGGTCACACCAGGTTCAAGGCTTGGTTGGACAGACCAGGTCAAGCTTGTGCTCTTTGCTATGTTTAGCAGTGGAAGGAACAACTCTAGGGTCTAACTTTTTGTTTCCTTGCCTTCCCTGGCAGAATTTGGACAGCTGGCAGCTCCGGGACGTTGGACACTGGACCAGGTTCCAGATCCCTGTTCAATTAAATCTTACACGGTTGTGCCAAGTACCAACACCACCAACTCAAGGCATCATGGTACCACTATAATTCCTCGGTGCTTGACAACACGAGCAGCTTCAGGAATGCTAATCCCGATTTGGAGCATCTGCCCACCCACAGCGTCTCACATGTGGGATTTCGCGGGTCGAATTATTGATTTGATCCTTGGTATCGACCGGAAACCGGCGTTTGCATGATCAGCTCTCAGGCCCTCCATCACTTTTGGAAGGCGTTGATCTTTTCCACTGATTGATAAGAGTAGGGCTACAATGGCCTGGTTCTCGAGCTTTTCGATGCCACCATCGATCTTGGCTCCGCTTCCTAGACAGATTAAGCCAGTCAGTCCTCTTGCCTCAACCCCATCTCGAAAGGAAGTCTCCTCGTCCATCCCTTTATTCCTCGACCTGCACCACGATGCAAGAAACTCGACCATGGCCTGCTTCAGGATGACACGAAACGAATAATCCAAACTAGCTTAAAACTAAGCGCACCTCGATGTTGTACTACCCATATTGAAAGCAGAAGTTACGCAGGACGAAGTATAGACAAGCTACCTCGGGACAAGCAGCGGTCCCAAATCTCCCACAGATCGTCTGCCCCTGCAGCAGAAGCTACACTAGTGTAGTCATATCTTTTTAGCTCAGCCAAGCCGACGAGATCGGAGCTGGAGGAAAGATTTCGCTCAGAGCAAATGAGAAATGCAGAGATACGGGTAGCCAGCAAGGGATACCGCCAGGAATTCCATACTCGTTCGCAAACGACATGATATAATACTGAGGTAACATTAAAGCATGGGAAATAATGTTGCTCGTCCCAAGATCCTCCTCCACGCACCTACGTAGACTTCCTTCACTCTTCGCACGAGTCGTTCAGGTCGAAGCGCGGGTAGAAGAGATTTGAATGTTTCAGCGCGTGGTCCAGCCCAGCGCGGAATTGCCAATCATTACTCCACCAGGAGCTAGCAAGATGTTACCTAATAGTGAACTTGAAATGTGCTGGATGAGGGGTCCGAAGGGCGTGCTCAAGCTCAACGTGCTGTTATAATTGTAATCAATTCAGAACCCCTCTGCGGGGTATTTCTCAGCAAAAGGGCTCATTGATCAATTGAAGCACGCTTGAGCTCACATCACTCCGATAGCTACTGCGTACTTAGATGCCGACGTAACCCGTAACCTCCGCCTAGTTGAGTCCAATTAAAGGAAATAGAACCTCCCAGAGCATGAGAGCCTTTCCCCTCAGGTCCCTCCCCAGCCTCTACCGTTCAATTCCTGCGCATCGTTCTGCAACCCGTGGTTTTCTTTTTCAGCTTCAACCAGCTTCGACCAGATTCAGCTCCAATACCAAGACCATGGCTACCCCCGTTTTCACCAAGAATGCCCCGCCGGGTATGTCTCCCCCCTCTCAGACCTAGATTCGAAATGACATGCTGACTCTAATATGTAGCCGTTGGCCCCTACGTAAGTCCCACGTTAACAGTCCTGCGCCCAGTCTATAGCGTCCAAAGCGTCTAACCGGGGATTGTGTGCCACCGTTTAGTCCCAGGCCATCAAGACCCCTGGCGCCATCTACTGCTCCGGCCAGGTCCACTTCAACACCGAAGGAGTGTTGCAGGACGGAACTATCGCAGAGAAGACTGCCCTCTGCATCAAGAACCTCGAGGCCGTCCTCACTGAGGCTGGCTCCTCCATCGAGAAGGTCGTCAAGACCACCGTCTTCCTCTCTGACATGGCCAGCTTCGCTGTAAGTGATCTACCGACGTGGGAGGAGGTTTGAAAGATCCCGAGGTTCACACTGACACCTCATGCTAGGAGATGAACGGCGAGTATGAGAAGTGGTTCAAGCACAAGCCCGCCCGAAGCTGCGTCGCTGTCAAGACCCTTCCTAAGAATGCCGACGTCGAGATCGAGGCCATCGCCCTCCCTTAAATAGCCTGAAGCTTCGTATCGGTTAGGCACTAGTCACAAAATATCAATAACCATATCGACATGAACAAGTGCATCTAAACAAGAGCTCCCCACGCTTCCTCTTCCATCGTATTCGTGAATGAAAGTGATCGATATCCAGCCGTCTAACTGAAAGAAGCGCCCCTCATTTGTCTAATATCCCCTCACCGAAGCTATAAACACAACTTTTGTCAGTAATCACAAGCCAACGCCTCAATAATCTCCCATCCCGGCTCATCCCCCAACCAAGCACAAATATTCTTCGCCGCATGCTCCGCCCTATCCACCATCACCTCCTCAGTCACCCTCCCCATCCACGCCCCCATATCCCCAATAAACGCAATCGTCTCGGCCCACCGTAACAGACAAGCCATGCTCTCCGCCGCCGTGCGCTCCGACTCGGGGACTGTAAGCCTATCGCGCTGCGCGCGGCCCCAGAGCATGTTGCAGATCGTGCTGATGTTCGTGAGGAGTGACTCGGTCACTTCAGGCACCGTGGTGACCCCGGGGAGCGCCACCATTGTTGAGCGTTGGCGAAGAACTGGCGATGAGGGGTATGGTGAGTATCGTTGGGCGGAGCAAGAGCGCCGTCGGGCGCGACGCTGGATGAAGGGGTTGCCGATGGCAGGGTGGCGGAGGGCCCAGTTTACGCGGTGGTTGTTGATGTAGACGCTCGTTGCGCGGACGCAGACTTCGTACATGGATGATAGTATCTCCCTTAATCTCGACGCGTCCCTGGTAGTGTTTCTTGAAGGCATAGGAGGTCGAGGAGGAGGGGAGTCTAGCGAGCCGTCAAATCCACCGCCGTTCGATATCAGCCGAGTTTGTTCAATATCGGTCCTTCCTGTAGGGTATTTGTTGCCCAAAGAGTCATTCCTTAAGTTCCTTCCTGGCAAGTTGATAACGTGAGGAGACGTATGGCTTGTTTGGGTTGCATTTTCCTCGGGAGTAGCTGCAGTGTTACTCGCCATTGGATCCGTTGGCTCTCCATTCGAAAGTTTGTGCTGGTCCCACTGAGGTGATCTAAAAAGAATGACCTGGTCCGGACGGGAGGACAGCGCTCGGGTGGAGCCCTCCGGTTGTTGTTCGCGGCGGCCGCCGGAGTACACGAACGCGCTTGGGGATTCGGATGCAGACATGTTGCTTGGTTAAGATGCGAACAGGAAGATGTAGTCTATGAACGGAGGAGAAACTACGTGGAGGTCGAGGGCACCGCATCTGGGGGATATCCGCTTATATAGATAGGCACAGCGAGCGAACAATGGAGAAGACATAGGCAGTTCAGGAGAAGGCATATCACCTTGTTCAGATCTTGCCTGTTACTTAGAAAATTCAATGTTCTGTCACAAATGGAAAAAGACATACAATAGTTCAAGGGTTTTGTTGTGTCTAGAATACTATGAGTGGCTCCAGAATAATGGGAGAAACAGAAACTCTTTTGTCATCGAACTCAGGCGAAACATGGCGTCCTGCCGCCATTGTTTCTCCCTTTTAGGTATGCCAGATGACAACCCTGCCATCAACTCCGCTCGCTTCAGCATATGTTAGTTACCTCTCTTTCATAAACTTGAGCACAATGACTGGATGAAATTGACCACTTACAGCTAAACTTGGTAACACGATCGCCAGAAGTTTCGTAGGCTCGAATAGTGGAAATGGTATTTTGGTGCACGGTCTTGAGCTGCGTATCATCCTTGACCTTGCCTTTGAGGTCCATCTGCCTAAACATATTCAAAGCAGACTCCTCTCGGACGCTATCTGCGCCGGGCCTTCCCTTGGATTCCAGGGTGCCTACAAGATGCCAACCGCCTGGGCCCCCTTGGAACCTGAACGCCTCGCAATCGTAGCCAGCAGCGATTATTCCGTCTTCAGCGCTCCAAATCAAGCTCATGAAAGGAAGGAGCTGAGTGGAGATGCTTACGACAGCACGGGGAGGTTGATCAGGACCGCTGGGGTATACGACGGTGATGCTGCTATCATGAGCAGCAAAGGCCAGGACATCTCCGCTGGGCGAGAACGAGACGGAGTGGACCCAGCCAGCGGAGTTGTTCAGGAACTCTCCGCACACGGTGTTGAAAGGAAGTCGCTCACCCCACACACCGGGGGCGGGACGGCTATCGATACCTTTGATGAAGGTGGAGAACACCCTAGCGTGGGCGTCGGTAGACCCAGCAGCAAGGAGGACGGAGTTCGGGTGCCAGGCGACAGTGGTAATAGTACTTCGGATAGGCTTCTTCAAATGCTTCGAAACCCACCAGTCATTCTCCTCCTCAAAGTAACAAATGGCAATGACGCGGTCGCCCGATCCTACAGCAAACTTGGTCTCGGAAGGCGACCATCGGGCAAATGTCGCAGCTCGGGCAATTCTCAGAAGCACAAGGGTTGGCTTGTATCCGGTCGGCGAAGGTTCCCATACCAAAGCATTACGATCTAGAGAGAGAGAGAGAGAGATGCGTTAGCTTCCATAGGCTTCTTCCATCCACTGCCAGCATTACATACCCTGAGAGCAGGTAACAATGCGTCCGCTGTTGGGTGCAATGTCAACGCTAGTAACGGTCTTGTCATGACCCTTCAGCTCATCCTTCAACTTGAAAGAGTTCGCAACCCTTCCATAGAGCTCGACCGAGGTGTTTCGGGCAACGGCCAGGAGCTTCCGGTCGGCGGAGAAGGAGTGGTCCGCAATGGGGTTGTGGAAGAGATGGTGGACTTCTGGGGCAGCCATTTTGGGCGGTAGTGATAGGAGTAGCTCTCTACTATCACTGTATAGCGGAGGTGCGGATTTTCGAAAGGGCTGGTCGGCCTGTGATACGTTTGTTTCTGGGGTTCTGAACTTGAGGATTACGATGATCTGAACGGGGGAAGTTGGTGGGGGCAGATTGCGTAGTGGAGTTGGATGTTGTGAGAGAATGTGGGTTGATGCGCGCACCCCGCGGGTGGCCACAAACATACCCCACGAAATATTCAAGTTCAGGGGCAAGTCAAGCTCCCATCACGAAAGCCTTCAACCTCAACCTCATCGCAACCAGTCCCCCCACCCCAAATTAACGACGCGAAAGGATTTGAGATACGGTAGTAAATCATATCTATCTGTTTTAATACGACAGAAAGTATTCGCAATGACATCTACCTTGGCAACTCGAGGGTTGCCCTCTAACCCTTCCCTCCCAGCCAAGGTCCTACCCATCCAACCAAACCAAACGTATGCCAGCAGTCACTTACCCTTCGGCTCAGAATTATTCCCATTGAACTTGCTAACGCAGATTCCTTGAAATAGGCTCTATGTTACAAACCTCCCCTCCGCGAAAATCAAGAAGCCCGACCTCCGAACCGCGTTATACCTGCTATTCTCCACATACGGCCCCGTGCTAGATGTCGTAGCTCTAAAAACGATGAAGATGCGCGGGCAAGCACATATTGTATACCGAGATATCCAAACTTCTACCCAAGCTATGAGGGCTTTGAATGGCACCGAATTCTTGGGCCTACCGATGGTCAGCCTCGAGACCCCCTACCTCCAAAGATACGCGCCAAGCTGACACGGATGAGCTTTACAGAAGATTGAATACGCGAAGTCGAAATCCCATTTCGTTTCTAAACTCGATGGCACATTTAAGATGCCAAGTGCCTCTGGCGCCGCTGAGGTCGAGGTGACAGATCTGCAAAGCAGTATATTTAACGCTCCGGCGCCTGGAACGGCAGCCGCTGCAAAGGCGGCAGCGTTACCGCCAAAGCCCCCAACGGCCGAGAAAGCGGTGGAGAGAGGGGAAACTCCCGAGGGCAGAGGCCAGAAGAGGCCCAGAGATGAGGAGGAGTCGGAGGAGTCGGAAGACAGCGATGTGGCTATGGAGGAGGACAGTGACGATGAATGAAGGATTTTGTTTTTGGAACGGACTGGTTTTACGGTATTGGAAACTATTATTGTCACCTCTGAGGGGTGGGATTCCCATGTGCGTGGGGCACTTGGTCCATTACCATCTCCTTTGGTACCCAGAGGCCGACGCAACCCCCAACAAGGCCGAGCCACATGGTCAGGTAATTGTCTCTTGAGCATTCAAACCTCGACATGGCGTCTCCAAGGAGGCATGGGTGGATGAAGAAGGAGGGGAACCCCGTTACTGGGTGATGCTGCATCCAAAATGTTAGTTTAAGTCGCCCAGTAGCCTTTTCCTCTGAAAACATAAGTAACGAATAAATAACGACAGCGGACACTCACGTCGCCTGAGATTCCACCTATTGGCCCTGTACCTCGAAGGGCATCTTTAAACTGATCGGGGACCAGATATCTAAAGACGGTGTCGAGGTTGAACGCTGGTTGATCGGGCGGGAGACCATGAAGATTGAACCAGAGACATGGCATCCGGTACGTGGGGTGGAAATGAATTTCGTACGTCACGTAGCCGACATCAGGAGGAACGTCCGTATCTCTTCTTAGAGCAGCCTGTGTGCTTGTGTTAGAGTATAACCTCAATGGATTTGGATACGAGCATGAATACGAACCTCATCCGCCTCCTCAGCTTCCATCATTTCGTGGTCGCCAGGACCAGCCAGAGTATCTTCACTGAGAGAGAACCTCTCCATTTCGTAAGAGAGGTCCCCATGATCTAAGACCGCCTGAATCGGCCGAGTAATCTGTACATATGTGCTATAATCTGTGTCTATTCCGAACGCCGTCGCGAAAGACGTGCAGACTCGTAGTTTCCAACGGCGCCGGAGGGGCCCAAGTGTGGCCTGCCTGTACTGGCGGTCAAGGAAGTGGCACACCTCAACGAACTCGTCTCTTTCGAGATACGGATAATTCTTGAACTCCATCACGATTCTCTATCTTTCACTGGGAGACTGTCAAGATGTCAAGGAGGGTGGTTGAGAGGTTGCAAGGCGGGGTTTGAATTATCGGTGCCCCTTGGGCAGCGCTGGTGGTGGTTAGAAATTTAGAAGCGAGTGATGAAGAGTCGAGTCTCGACATATGAGAGTTTCATTCACGTGGCAAATCTCAAGCGTCTGGAACCCACGGCTACTTTTTGGTATCGGTATAGGACGGGGGGAATGAGAGTCCCTACTATACGGTCTGGTCGGTTTATTCTCATTTCCAGCTGCCTGGCCAAGCCCACTCAGGGAGGTATTGATGCTCTTGATGCGTTCTGGGATCTGTATCTGCCGCCCGGTCACAGGATCAGAATCGCATGCTCGCCATTCTTGATTATTATATTTCGAGAAGATCAAGATTATATCTTTTAGAATATAGAGTGGAAAAGAATCTCTCCAAGGCCCTCTCTGCTTGAACCTTCCCTGAGTGCCGAATCGTTAACCTCAGAGCATGGTGCATGCTGGGTGTACGTATTTTATCACGTGATTCGACATTCTCCAAGGTAGTCTGGATTTTTTTTGGAAACCGTTCAAACTTTGGCGCAACCAATAGGCATGAGGCGCCACGACTTCAATCCAACCTACCGCGTCCTGACCTCAGACCTCATCAATTGGCGACTGCATTCTTGCTTTATCCCATCAATCCCCATCGCATCGCTGACACCATATTGACCCTCTTTAACCACAAATCTTCGGTTGCAGACCGACGGCGACAGAACGTAAATAGGGTGGGTCGTAGTGAGGAACGATGGGTCGCAGATCAGGACGCGCCGCCGCCAGGCGTGCGGCTGCTGCTCTAGGTATGTCTCTATTCTTTAGATGCAGATAGTTTTTAGGGGCTTCCAGATATCCTTTTTTAGACTTGTGTTCACTGCGCCACGTCGTACGCATAGCTAACGCCCCCTTTTACGGAAAGAGAGCACACCCAAATCCTTTGATGCCATTGTCGACGAGGACGAGCCCATGCGCGATGCTGACGCTCCCGAGCCCGAAGAGGAGAAACCAGAACCCGAGGTTGAAGCGGATGAAGAAGCACAACCCGAGGAATCTGGAGAAGAGGCGGCCGAGAAGGAAGAAGAGGGGTCCGCCGCGGAGTCTGTGAAGGAGCCGACACCACCCCCAGAGCCTGTAATCAGGCGCAGGAGGGTTGGCCGACCCCCAAAGAATCGCCCTCCCGACTGGGATACGGCAGTCGCGACGCCCGACCGCGATAGCGATGCGACGCCGAGACGACGTGGCCGTGGTGGTTGGCGTGGAAGGGGCGGGCGCAAGGGCGCACCTGGACCTATCAAACAGCAGCAAACGATTGATCGAGAGGGCACCGTCGTCGATATTGTCGATGATGAATGTGTTCTTCCCGAGGATCCGGAAGGCGAGACCAAGGTTGATAAGCTGGGGAACCTACTGGGCGGCCGTGACTACCGATGCCGTACATTCACCGTCCTAGGCCGAGGGGAGAGACTATACATGCTTTCCACCGAGCCTGCCCGTTGCGTTGGTTTTAGGGACAGTTATCTGTTCTTTACGAAACACCTGAAACTGCATAAAATCATCGTTGACGATGACGAGAAGAGAGACATGATTGAGCGTGAGATCATCCCCCATTCGTACAAGGGTCGCGCGATAGGAATCGTCACGGCTCGCTCGGTCTTCAGGGAGTTTGGCGCACGCATGATTGTCGGAGGCAGGCGCGTGATTGATGACTACGAAGCTGCCAAGGCTCGTGCTGAGGGTGCCGTTGAGGGCGAGATCGCCGACCCGAGCGATAGGTTCGTCGAAGGTGAGCCTTACAACAAGAACCAGTACGTTGCATGGCACGGTGCCAGCGCGGTCTACCACCAAACTGCACCAGCTGTGCAGACACCTATCGGCAAGCCTGAGATCAAGAAGCGGCGAGTGAACGTTAATGACACCAATTGGATGCTCGAGCATGCTCGGGAGGCGAGGTACGTGCAACCGGTATCCTTCGTGTTCTTCTCCTCTAACCTGACGCTAACATTCTGTTGTCGATAGCCATTTCAATAGCACTCTGACTGCCGTTCGTCTCGGCCAAGTGAACGGTGTCTACGACATCCACACAAACATGATGCATTATCCCGCAATGATGCAGCCAACGCACGTCAGGATCGAGCAGGTCCCTCCCGCCGAAGAAGAAGATGCTCCGTCCGACAGCAAACACTTCCCTCCCCTTCCTCCTCGTGTACCGCGCAACTTCCAGGTCATGGATTTCCACATGGAGACACCACCTAGCGGTGTCGCGCCATCGGCCTACGGAAATACTGTGACCGCCGATTTCCTCACCCCCTTCCGAGGTCTCAATGCCGTCTCGGATGAGATCAAGGACCTTTTGCCCCCGGAGTGTCGACAGGCCTTCGATGGTGCCGCTTCTAGGGAAAAGGAATGGGTCTCCAGCCTCGGCAAGGAGAAGAGCGTCACTTGTCGTCGGCTACCTATGGTCAACAAGGCTGTTGTACCGTTCTTCCCTACTATTTAGAAACGAGGAGGAAAGGAGCGGTGGTCAAAAAGGCGACGAAGGAGGTCTTTGTAAGGTGTTTTCGGCGCAAGGAGGGTAGAAATTTATGGTTTGATTTTTGTACAATACCAAGCTGCTGCTTAGAGGCAAGCAGGATCAGTTACGAGTTCAGTTTTCACATTAGTGTCTGTTTTGAGGTGCACCAGTTGTAACATGGGTTATGGCAGCTTTGATGGATACCGCAACATGGAGATAATAGGAATAAGGCGTCTTCCAAACTCGCCATCGACCCAGATGTTGGTGATTCAAGGGCTGTAGATGAGACGAAAAAAGTGATGCCAGCAGTCACAGCTTCTCTGATCCGCCCCGTCACCATCAGCCATGGGACAGCAGTGGATGAGTGGTGTGCATGTGTAGGGAATCCACACGAGGCTGGTAAGCCTCGCACGTTACTTGACCGGCAGGATACACCATACCTCTATCACGAATGGTTACAAAATACAGTCGCCCATATACCGCTTTTCATACATTAGAACTTCCTACAAAAGCAGGAATAGCAGACGCCTCGACTAGAGGGGGAACGAGCGCTCAGTACGAGGCCGTGTCCCAGGGCCCGGAAATCCCAAATGAGCTGTGCACATCAGCCCCCTGTACCGCCCCGACTGGGCGGTAAGAACGGACACATTCCTGGGATCCATGCGTCACAGTGATTCGGACGCATCGGGCTTTAGCCACGCTGGAGTGTGGCATCTGACTTCTTCATTCTCCTTGCTTTAGAGCCAGCCTCGGAGAACGCGGCCAGCCTGGAGTACGAAGTAGGCAACATCATTTGCTACGCTAAAATACTACCACGGTCACATTTCACAAAAATCTCACATATGTACACGCTTTCACACTTACATAGGCGCCCATGTATGTATGTACTGCGCTGTGAATGGCAAAGCTGCGGGGTCTAGGCAGCATGGATCGAGGGGTTGGGCATCTCCAAGGAGAAATCGTCGAATTACGAGGTCGGGACTGGTCGGTCTGTTACAGCTCAGAAAGGACCCTCTCTTCTCCTCTCCTGACTAGCCCATCCAAGAAAAGAGATAAAAAAAAAATCAACGTGGAGGAAGTGGGACCTAAGAAGGGGAAAAAAAAAATCATGTTAGAAAAATGTTCTAAATCTGTCAAGCGGGGAGACTAGCATTGACATGCAGCTGTGACGAGAAGGGGGAATCATAGGCGGTGTGAGGAGCACCAGCACGCGGAACATCCCAGTCAGATTCGACAGAAATGGGTCACTTCCCGGGCCTCTCTCTCCCCCCGTTCTCCAGGATATCCGCATGCCTGAAGCAACATTGATCCATTTCCCCGCTCACACAGAGGCTAGATGGACTTTGTCTGACCCGCTCCCCCTTTCAACTTTGCACTGGGGCGGCGCTCAGCTTTTTCTGTTTTCTAAGCCACCATCTCGATGTTTGATGGACCCCGAAAAAAAATTCTAGGTCGTGGAAAAGGCCTCAACCCCCCCCCCCCTTCTTCCAAGTGCTGCAGGTTGTAGTCGAAGTGGTAAGGTGGACTGGCACTACGAAAATTTTGAACGGCAAATGGCTCGATTTTTAGTTTTTTCCTTGATATTTCCTCGGTTCTCGATGCAGCTGCCCTGTCCCCTCTTCGATGACATTTGATGTTACCCCCCTCCTTATGGCATGCGCCATTGCTTGGCTAGCCTCTAATGATGAGAGCCATTTTCTTTTTTAGCATACCTTGAAGCCCTTGGCCGTGGGACACCATATTTCCCCCAAATTTGGGTAGTGATACATCTCGAATGCAGGCACCTTCTTAAACAAGGAGGGAGGGGAAAACGAAACCGGCGTCTCGTCCCGCATCCACCGAACCTTGCTATCCACCACATGGGCCAAGCATCATGTATGATAAATGAAAATAAAAAAAAAGGGAAAGGCAAACTCGGGATGTCGACCTGGCCGAAAGGAGAGAGTCGCGGGGCCCCCATGCGTATGCATAGTGCTCACTGCAGCTTCCGACGCAGCAGAAAGCGGCGAGCTTTTTGCCATTCAGACAATGACGTAACTAAGAGGTACGCAAGTTCCACTACGCCCCGATTAAAAAAAGCCTACCTGAAAGGGTCCATATTCCATCCCTTGATGCTCCTTGGCAAGAACTTGTTTGATGGCTACACGGACGAGTAAATCGAGGGGAATCCCCCCAAGGATTAGAGGGATCGACTGATTAACTGCTCTTCGAATCATCGAGCGCCGCAGCATCAGACGCGAGCATGACAGTCCCGAGCGGGAGGCATCGAAATCCGCGTCATCTTGGGGGCGGGTTGCAGACGTCAGATGCCGCATTTTCGGGATTTGTCATGGAACATTAAACTGTGATTGAAGTCTTGATCTCGAATTCCTAGGGTCTCCAATTACGGTTTAAAAGGTACATAGGTACAGTGAGGCAAAGTGGACGCCGCTTTGTTCTAGTCATGTGCCGGCGCGGCACCAGCGACTTCCAACTTAGACCGTGCCGGTTGCAAACTGTTCGAAAGCGCTTCGTACAGGTACCCTCCACGGTAGTCGAGGTCACTTTCTCAAATACTTGCGTACGTTCATTGATACTCCTGAAGAAGAAGTCGAGGTACAAGTATTCTTCGTCGATTTCCGTCCATCCTACGAACGATTATACTGTACGCATACAAATAGATTGGTTCTTATGACGGGCTCACATCAACTACTCAGTATTAACACCCAATCCAGAAGACGTTCCTGGAAGGGTAGTGTACGAAGCACTGACGAAGGATGTATTAATGAGTTGAGGGCTGATCGATGGCTTGGCTCAGCCCGCACGGAGTACGAATATTTGTCGCCCCATGGCTGATTCAAACAGCTCAGCAGGAATCGTTGGATCGTTCAAGGATGTGATCCTAAGCCTAACCTCGTCCGCGAAATATCCTTCATCTGGCACGACAGCCTTTTCTTCGGCCCAAGCAGAATTTTTTCTCTTTTTCTTTTTTTCCTTTATAAGTGGAAGACGAGAAAGGAGCTTCGGACACTACGAAGTAATCTAAACTTACATACTCCGTACTATACCTCGTAGCCCTGACAGGCGATCTGGTTCGTACGACTAAGGATCGACATTAACATTAACCCCAAGTCGGCTCGAAGCCAACACGGGAACCGAGAAGTTGCTAGTTTTAGCTTCATTTCTTCGAGCTTTGGTCAAGAGACGCCTAGTGACGATAGGCACCACTGCTAACGGTCATCCGATTCACTCCTCCTCCCATTCGTTGTCATCATGCCAGCCCTCTCTCCCTTGAAAGTTACTGGTGGCAAGCTTCTTGCAGTTTAGTTTACAAGAACGTTTAATAAAGTACTTGGAAATACGTACTGTACTTCGTAGTACTGCACCACTTCAAGGGCATGTCTCTCTCTTGTCTCTCTTCGTCTTCGAAAGGTCAGAGGAGAATATTTCGTCGCATACTCCGTACTTGTAGTGTCATCACGTCCGCATGCTCATCCGATGTGGCTGCCGAATACCCCACTGCCAGCCAGGGTCTAGCTTCTTCTCTAGGCAGCCCTGACCCCATTCTGACAGGATTTCCACACCCACTCTTTCGGAATACGTCGGTGGGCACGCGGCCGATTTGGTTAGAATCGGCCTTTATTGGCAGATCATTTTACGAGAAGCCCCCGAAATGCCTTCTGGCCTCCTGCAGAGTCGTGGAGGCACCGTACGTCTCGTGCATCGAAAGCGTGAGGGTTTGCCTAGCACTCCAGCAGCAAGCGCAGGATGGCGGGGTGGCATCTAACTTTTCCCGCCTCCTTCCAATTCCGTTCACGTTCAACCGGGCAGCCCAAGCCTTCGTGGTTCTATCGGGCGGATTTCGCTTGACCGGTCCCACCACTGGACCGCATGCTTCGAACCAATCTAGCCATACAGAATGTTGAGCAGCTGATCGGGCGGGGGATAGTGCAGTGTGGTAGCTAGTGTAAACTTGGTGGATTGTAAGTTTAGGACTCTGAAATTGATCTTGGGGGAAAAGTTTTAATCAATTTTTTTTTGCCCCTCGTGGGAGGTTCTCCAGTCTCCACATGCATTGCGTTCTTGAACAAGAAGAAAAGAGAAAGCAGAAAAAAAAAAGAAAGGGTGGGATCGAAATCTGTCTCGAGGCGGGGCAGATCGAGATTCGTGGAATCGACCGCGGACTGTTTCCTAAGCAAATCTCTTCTTGATTATTAGTTCAGACTTAGGCAGAAAGTGATGCCCTCGGTTGCCGTGGTGGGTGACAATCCGAATCTCCAAAGTAGAGGCAGAGTTGCACAGGATATTGGCCTCATTAATATCTATTTCTGTTTTCCTGTCTCTATGAAATAGGCTTGATATTGATGTCGAAAGTCACAGGCATCAATATGCTTCATCTGGATGGAACGTGGGCAGTCTCACCGGACTCGTCCCTGGTAACAATCTGCACCTTCTTCTAAACCGTCGGGAACTCCAGGTTCCATATGCAGGCAGTATTTTTGCGCCGGCTTCACACCCGGGATTCGCTGGGGACGACGAGAGGTCTGGAAGGATAGCAAGCTACACCACATCGAAGCCAGCTCACAGTGGAGTCGAAGGGAGATTTGGCGCTAAAATCTCTCACCGAGTGGGCGGATAGGGTCCAGGAGTTCACGAAGCCGTGATTGGATCCTCTCGAGTGCTGTGTCTGCGGAATCGGAGTCTGCACTCCTTGGAGCTGTTCGTGGTACGAATAGTCTGTGCTCTGACATCCGCCCTGGAGGATCATGGTGATAGGAGACACGTTGTGTCTCCAACTTTTTCTTTGTCGCTTTGTTGCCTAGTTGGGGTTGATATCAATTGATGGGAATGAAACCTCGGTATGAAGTACAAAACCCTTGACCTGCCACCCGCCTTGGAAACATTACAATAAACTGTATCCGCCATCGGATCTCGTCCGCCCAATTTCCAAGAGGATGTTGCGGGTCTGGCCCGAATAAATTTCAAGGCGCTAACATCAGTTTCGT